TGCTATGGACAGAAGGCTTTGGGGAGACATGCTGAGGAAGCCCTGATGCAGGGAACCCTGCCAAGGTTTCTGAACATCGATGGCAGGAGGTTGCAGCCACCATAGTGGGGGGAAATGCTCCTTTAACACACCCACTGAGGCCTGTCTTGTTCTGTGTGTCTCTCAGCACAACCCAGTAGTGATGGAAGGAATCAGAGTCAGTCGTGTTTATGGACTTTGCCTACAAGGGATTTTTCAGTTCAATGAGTATCCCAGAAAACACCTCATGTCTCATGCATCTTCACGCCTCTAGGAGTGGGTGTCTCCACTTCCTGCCTGGATGGCAAAACACTCCATCGATGATGGGATAAAGATTAACCAAAAATGACAGTCACGGAGTTTTCTCTAACTCCTCTTGGTTTTAGTTTCATTGGTTGTTCTTAGGCTCCAGAGACCCTCTAACATGGAAATTTACTGTGCTTCTCTCTTGGCAGTTTGGTCTATTTGGTAATTAGAGTCTTCTCATTTGGTGAGCTGTTCCCATGGTCCCCCTAGTTACACTCATGCTTGCTCTTGTACTTTGTGTTCCCTTATTACTTTCCTAATAACTGCTTCTGAGGCTCCTCTCTAATGTTTCTTGTGTGTTTGGCTCGGCTTCTCTGCATTCTTGGTGTGGCATACTATGTGCCATCACTGAAACAAGACGTCACAGCTTTTCAGGGGCTGTGTGTGTGGTTATTCCTCTAACAGGCTTTGCTTCACTTGCCTGTTTGAGCTCCCTCCACGTGAGTTTGTATTCTGCTTTGTGGTGGGTTTCTGCTATAGCAGTGAATTTCCAAAATGGATAACACCTGGCCTTGTAAACAATTGCAAGTATCTTGGCTTCAGTGAGACACCTTTCAGTTGGAGCTGCTGGAGTCTTGTGGGCTGGAGTCTCTACCCTGTCCTGTGGTTCGCTAAGGCTCTCTTCTGTTTCTTGCTCCTGGCCGAATATGTTTCCTTGTTTGCTTTAACTAAGTATCTTAAGGAATCTCACTAGTCTATATAATTATTTCTGGGTTGGCATTTTTTGTCAGTTCCTGACTCTATTACGCCGTTCTTCTTGTTCTGTGAGCCAGGATCTCTGGTCCCCTGTACCCACAGCATCTCTCCCTTCCTCTCTCAGCTCCTTCCCATCACAGGTTTTTGTGTCTGCAAAGCAGGAAAATCCTCTCCACTCTGAATGCTTCAGAATGTAAATTGATGCTAATTTTCTCTTTAGTTTCCTGGTTGGAAATTAGAAGGGATAAGATTAATTCAAATAGTCATCAACTGTGCTCTTTAAAGGCATTTCCAGATTTTTGGCATATTCAAAACTCTCCGAAGGTAACAGACATAACTCGAGAGAAGACAAATGCTGATCATAATACTTTCTTCCATTTTCTACAAATAGGCAAGTCGAATGGTTTCAGATCTGGAGTCCTCCTTTCTTCAACTTTAGCCAATTGTTGTCAAAAACATGCTGTAATCCTTTCCATTTCTTGTACTTCTTAATCACATTTGATAACTTAGTAACTTTCTTTAACCAGAGCAATATGTTAAACTTTTTTTTGGCTGCTACAGAGAATTCTAAACAATTTTGCTGAACTAGGTTCCAGCAGTTCTGGTACGTAGCCTAACACCATATATTGTGGTGTGCAGAGAAAATCAGCTCTCCAAAAGGAACTCAATAGCAGCATGGACCTTTCGCCAAAAATTCCTAATTTTGGGACAGTACCAGGAAACTTGTGTGGGTCCCATTTTGCTCCTACTCAATTCAAAGGTAAAGCTCCCAGTTGCAGAGGGATAAAGTTCAGGCTCCAACACTCAGTCCTCGCATTCCCATTTCACACATTTTCCTTCAAATTCTTTTTTTCCCTTTATTTTTAGGGTCTGGCAAAACCCTTGTACTCTCCAGTACATTTTCTGGAAGGCAAATCACAGATAGGAACCATTTTCCTCATCTCTTACACTGTTAAAGAGCAGCTCCTGCTTTGTGCACCAAAGCACGGCTGGAACTCAGCAGCTCTAATCTGGAGTGACAGATGAGCAAGTCAGATCCTGAGAGGAGGAAAAAGCTGCTGGAAAAGGAGCAAACAAACAGAAGGAAATATTGTAATCGTATCAGAAAGGCGAGGAGTGATATCTCGGAAGAATTAATTTTGTACTTCACTAATGCCCGAGTTTACTCTGAAAGATGATAAATTGGGGATAGGCTATGGACGAGCAGGAGATAGCAGATGTAGAAAGATGGGATCTTTGGACATTTACCACAGGAAATGAAACTTCCAGCATCACTGTGTTGCAATAAGTGCTAATAGGTTTGGAGCTTGACCACGTCTTAGGTGTGTGTAAGTATACAGACTGCTACATACAGCTCTGGAAATAAACACGTGTAATCTGATAGTTTTAAACATAGTCAGTTTTCTTATTAGGCTGTAAGAACACTTGGAAGAAGCAAGTATAATAATAGCACTAACACTGATTTTTGCCATGAAGCTCAGAAGAGAAGCAGCTCTGTAGGGTCCTACTATGGAAGGAAAGGAACTGAGGTTGCTTCTCAAAAAACAGCAAAAGCTTCCAGGTAGAGGGGCACAGGGAAGGGGAGAAGGAGCATGCCTGGCACATTACTGACCCATTTGTGGATACATGGCTCAGAGATGCATGAGCTGTGTGCAGTGAGGCAATGGAAGGACACAGGTAGCCCTTCCCCTGGCCTGTGTCTCCCATGGCCACAGAACCTGTCCAAACAGCCTAAAGGCTGTGTTCAACCCAGCAGGGGCTGCAACATCGAAACAAGGAGCAAGTGCCAACAAGAAGTCAAGAGACCTTCTTTGTGAAATTAATTGGGTAGTTTTGAATATAGAAAACTGAACAACCAATGCTAGTTTTTAAACTTTATACTGTCCTAAGTAACCACATAATCAGGGTCAGCAAGCTTTATTTACACCCTGTGTGTGCAGCTGGCAAGAATCTCAAGTTGTGCCTTCTCCAAGTACAAATGCTACTAGAAGGGAGATCTGTGCACAAAACGTCCCCAGCCCATCTCAGGATGGATTTATCCAGGGTCACTTTCAGGGAAGAATTCTCTCCATAATATCCCTAATGCTGATGCTAAAAAGTTAAGGAAACAACTACTTGCCTACTTCATATAAGACACATTATTTAAGAGATTGATAGATTTCAGGGAAGGGCACCAAACCCAATCAGTAGTGCTTGTGTGGTAGCTGATTGTAATGCTGATAAACAAAACCTAATAAAATGTAACACTTCCATTGTTGGAAGCCATTAAAGTGTGATTTAAAACAGAAAAGCTGACAAATGTTTTATTGCACAAGTGCCCAATATCTGCCTGGGCAGGTACCACGTTCCCTTCAGTGAAAATGCACATTTTCACATTTTGCTGTCATTATGGCTAACATAAGATACATAGACAAGAAAGTAAAATGCCATCAGCTTTTACCTTTGGCTTTTAAAAAGTGAAGTAAACAGAAAATCCCATCGTAGGTAGTCTATGAGAGTATACAAGTTCTGAATTATTTAAGATATTGAAAATTAATTTTAATTTGAAATCAAACACTATGCTGCATTGCCTGAAAATAACTTTTCTCCCTCTAAGTTTTGGTTCTTATCCTCAGTAAAATTCAGCATTGTAGGTTTGCTCTTGGTTCTCTCAAAATTTCTCCCCCCATCTTTTTGACAGTTGCCAGCTACCTGGATCACCCAGAGAAGTCCTTTTTGGTAAAGGGGGGCACCCTCAGTGACAACAATATACCATTTTTGTCTTTTGCACCCTTTCTTTTGGTTTTAGCACTTCCATTATTTTCTGCTGTTTGGGACTATCTTCGGTTTTATTTCATGACATCTTGCTTCAACTTATCTACAACTAGAAGGCAATTGCCTCATATCATGATGGTATTTGCATGATGTGAAATCTTCATTCTTGTAGCTCCCAGAAAGAGATAAATACCATAACCCTAACTCACATCAAATTTCTTCTGAACTCCATGGATGTTTTGCCGAAGCAAGGCTGCAGGACTCGACCACGTGTTTGCTGTACAGTACGTACTGCAAGGTCTGGTATTGTTTAACTCTACCATGTTTGTCTTTAGTGATGGTTTGCAGAAAAATTTCTTTTGGGATAAAGTTACAAAAAGGCTTTGTTGTGGGGACAAGGTAAGAACACTGGAAATTAAAGCTAAAAAATACCTTTGTCTCTCTAGGGAGACAGTGAAGGGTGTCATATTTCTTTGGCATTGTAATGCTACTAACTTACATCTGCTCCTCAAACATTTTTCAGAGGGAGGATTTCTAGACCCAACTGCAACTATCCTAGAGATACAAAACGTCCAGCGCACTCAGCTTTTTGTGCTTAGACCAACTTTCGCCGCCCGTCCTCAGATTTTAATTTAACTTGCAGCTTCCTGCCGAGCCTCCGCAGCTGCAGCCCAGCGGCAGCCGCAGGCTGTGCCGCACCGGGGGCATCACCTGTGCGGGCGCTGCCGCCGCACCTGGGCCCGGGCGGGGCCGGGCCGGGCGCTGCGCTCCGGCAGCGGAGCTCCAGGCTCGGCCCGGCTGTCCCGGTCCGGGCTGGCTCCGGGTGCGGGTCGGAACCCGGGAGCGGCGCGGGGCAGCGCGCACCACGCGGGGCCGCGGCCCGGCCCGCCCCGGGGGCCGCGTGTGCTGATGTAATCGCCGGGCAGCCGGCGCTGAAATCCAACACCGCGGCGGGCGGGAGCTCCGCGGTGCCGGGGCAGGCGGTGCAGCGCCGCTGCGCTGCGCTCCGCTCCGCGGGCAGCCCGGGGCGCCCCCGCCGCCCGGCCCCCGGGCCCCCCCGGCGCGCCGCCCCCGCGGGCCGTGCGCGGGCCGGGCCGCCCTCGGGCTTGCGCGGAGCTCGGCGGAGACCTCGGCGCCGGCGGGCTTTCATGGACAGGAGCTGACCCTGCGGCGGCGCGGCGCTCGGCTTTCCCTCGGATCTCCGCTGCCCGGGCCAATGCATACAAATGCATTTGGGAGCCGAGAGGACAAGGCGAGCACGCATCTCTCCCGCGGCACAAACGTAAGCGGCAGCCGGCGGGACGGGACGGGGCGCACCGCGCCGCCAGCCCTCCGCGGGGCCGGCAGGGATGGGGATGGGGCTCGGCTCCCACCGCGGGCAGTGGTCCCCAGTGTCTCCAGCCCTGCCTTCCCAGCGGCAGCCAGAACCCGCGGGGTCCCCGGTGCCCCCGGCGGACCGCACGGAGACCGCCTGTATCGCTGGCTATTCCCGTCTCTCTCGTGCTCACCCCGCTGTCGTTCTGGATGTGCCCTGTCCCGTCCAGCACCCTGGTGTCGTCTCGCCCGAGCCCACACCAGTCAGCCTGGCTCTGGTCCCCGGGAGCCGGGACAGCCTGACCCGAGAGCCAGTGCCCCCCGATCCCAGGGGGATCCCAGTTCCGCAGTGCCCGCAGTAACCTGGCGGCTCCTTTGGTACCTAGCTAGCAAAACGCGGCAAACAAGCAAACACCAAACCTGTAGAATTTACGCTAAAGAACTACGGCTACTCTCTTAATACCAGAGACAGCCAGATGAGCTGCTCTGTATTCACATGTTTTTGTAATTGGCTGAGGTATTTCTGATGTATCCTCACCTGTGAGGCAAAGGTAAAGCTCTGCTCTCTACAGTTTACCTAAAAGCAGCCTCGGTAAAATGACTGTGAATTTGTGATGGTTTGTAACTATGTTAGAGAGGTTACTTGCATGTGTCTCTCTTTATAAACAGCTGGTTTTGTTCTGGCTGTGTCTTAAGTTTACTGAGCGTTGTGAGCGGGACAGAAGAATTTGTTAAGTGTTGTAGTGAGGATTATGCTGCTAAAGTGTGCTTGGTCTATAATCTGGGTGTACTCGAATGCTTGTGAGCAGTTAAGGGGCTGCCTGAAGGTGGCCTTCCCAGGAGATCTCTTTTTAATGGCTCTGTCTTTGGGACTTCTTCAGGAATTGTCTGAGTGCAATTTCAAAGAATGGTTTTGTTTGAAATTTGTAAAGGGGTATTGCTGATGGAGAAACATAAATTGCTTTACAGGAAAGAAGTGTACAGTAGCAGAGATGCAGTTTACTCAGGCTCAAAATCTGAGATAGCTTCAGAATATGTATCTATATGCTCCTGTAATGTTTGCCCAATTTACTTCTATAGAGAGTGAGCAACCTGGTCACTTGCCTGGATTAAGAAACCAGAATTCCTCACAAAAGGATCAAGTTTCCTTAGTGTATGTCAAACGAGTAAATCTCTTGCAACTTCAACCACCTTTTTGTTAAAATACAATTAGGTCAGGCCACTATAGGGTTGTCTCTGCAGGTTAAATAAATAAAACAGCTGCATGACTTCTAAGTGTCTCACTCCAATTCTTGACAGAATATTTAAAATATGAACAGCCTTGTGTCACCCTTGTTTTTTGCAAGCACCAAGTTGTGGTATGTTTGAAGAATGGTCAATAAAATATACAGAGACAAACCCTGTGAAAGAAGAGTACTTCACATGAGTAGGAATTCAAGCTGTATACTTTTGCCTTCTTACAGAAAAAAAAAGATGTATGCTATCTGGAGAACTAGTGTAAGCAATCCGAGATTTATTCATAAAACTGTTCTAAAATCACACATTTTCAATTTTTTTTTTTTTTTTTTTTTTAGAAATACTAATAGACTTGACTGTTCTTCTGGGTGCAGTAGTTTCTCATCTTAAGCCAGATGCTGTCCAAAGAATGGGCCACCAGGCAGGGAGTTTCCTTTCTCTGAACCTCAACCCTGTTGTAGAACCCTTCTTGGGCCATTTCTCCTCTACCTCTCACCTCATCTCATATTTCTCCTGTTTCCCATTCATTCAAATAGTGAAATTTGCAAAGGATTCAGGAGCTTCCCCCCTTGCTGGCTAATTGCATGGTGCCATCTGTGACCAAAGGGCATGTGAGTGTCACACCAGAGAGGTTTTGCAGGCTGTTGTGTCCCCTCAAACTGTGTTGCTAGTAGGTCTTTTAAAATTTGGGAAGCAACACTGGACCTGCTAGCTAATTTCATTATAGCAGCATAGAAAGTAATATTTCTTTTTATATCTTGAAAGATAAGATTTATAACATATTGAGGTCTTTGAGAGTTCCAGGGCATCTCTGTTCACAAGGTACTGTGATTTTTCTCAAGCTTGATGGACCCAAACTGTGCCATTCTCCTCAGCAGTCCCCAGACAGATCCAGTGAAGGAAGGCATGCAGGGCAGGTGCTGGTGTTTAAAGCATCATCCCTGAGGAGTGCAGGACTGAATACACCTGTGGCAGTCATACTGCAAACAGGTTTACATGTCTTTGCCAGCAGCCAGCTAGTGGTATTTCTTCATTTAAACTTGAGATTTAGGAAACTAATGTTCCATGGGTGGAATGAAGAGGATACTGCTGTGCACTGACCAAACCTGAGCTCTGTATGCTGCTGAGTAGTCTTTAGAAGGTGAAATTTTTCACTGTAGCTTGCCACAACTTGCTTTGAAGCTTATCAGTTTTCTCATTCATCTATCTCCCCTAATGCAAAAGAACATCATGGATAGTTGTTGTCCACTCTGTAGCAAGAAGCAAATGGCCACAAGATCTCAAAAATTATCAGAAAGATAAATTCAGGTTTTAGTGGTAGAATATCTTAATCACATCTGGTAGTGCCTTCATCCAAAATGATTCAATAGTGGCCCTCAGCATATGCTTGCATGTAAAATAGAACAGATGAAAAGGTAGGAGAAGGGGAGGAAGTTTAAGAGATAACCCTTGGCTCTGCCCTAAAGGCTAGGCATTGGAACAGCTTCAAATGTGATGTTAAATGGGGAAAAAATAGCCAGCATTTGGGTCAGCTGAAGTCTTCCATGCCACAATTCTGCATTTTTCTGTTGGAGTCCCAACATCTCCAAGAGCTGTGGACTCAGCTGAGACAAGGAGCCAAGCTCCATTCAGCTATGGCAGATGATGGGTCAAGCCACATACAGGTTGTGCAGCAGGGACTCTGATGTAATTCTTAGTGGCTGTGCTGGTGTGAGAGTGAAGACTGAGAACTGACTGTTCTGCAAATGTACAGAGTAATGATCTCAGCAAAGAGGGAGGGTTTGCATGGATTAGGTTGCACATGGTTTCATTCACAAAAAATTTTGTGAAAAAATATAGAAGGAAGTCTCACTTTTCTCAGGCATTAGAGGACCCCCAGCACTATGGTTGTCTCTGATCCCTGTTTTTTCTCTTAGTTGATAACTCATCTGTTCTTGACATTAGCTGCAGAGCACTGTGTAAGCCAGACATTTGTCTTTACTCCTCACTAAATGTTTCTGTATATCCAGTTACATCTGTGTAATTTACAGCCCTGGGAACATTTTGGATTTTCTTGCTTTCCTACAATGTTTGCTGGGAAGTGACAGAGGCAGGTACCTGACACACACAGCTTTGTACCTGGCTGGTGTAATAGAAGAGGCTGTTGTAATTATTAGCGGAGTCATATTTGAATTTTGGGCTCTGGGATTCTTTGGGCATCCTTATTTTGTAGCTAGCTAAAATGTTTTATGTGATTTTTAATGGCAAAGTCGTTTTGCACCTTGGAAATAATAAGGGTCAGATAAAGGGTTGTCCTGAGTTTTAGCTGATACAGTGCAATGCATGGACTTTCTTTCTGGCACAGCTGTCTCCTGTCACTGAGCTCTTCATTTGATCAAAAGGTGATGCATTGTGTGATGCATTGTGTGATGCAGAAACTTTGAACTTGAATGCTGGTCTTTAGAGCTCTGAAAAAATTGAAGTGAGTGTCCTGTAGTGGACGAGCTGTTTGGACAGCAGTCGGTGTTAGGGCTTTTTTAGGAGTGACAGAACTGCTCCAGTAGAAACTTCGTGGCTGTAGCAGGAGAAAGCTTGAAGGGAGGAATAGCTAGGGACTGTAGTGGTGGTTAATTAAAGAACATGCCCCTACAAGCATGTTGGGATGTGTAAGGTGTAGTTTCCACCCTTCCCTCCCTCTGTGATCAGAGCTGAAGCACTGATGCATGTTTTTGAATCTCCTGTATGTTCTGTGCATTTTCTTCTCAAAGACATGATGTATCCACCATTTTACAGTGGCAACGAATATCATGCCTTGTCGTTCTTTAAATTATTCATTTGTTCTGTTTGCCAAAATTTAAGCTCTCACAATATACAAATCCACTTGATAAAACCAGGTTATTGCTCTGTGGTTTTCAGACACTTGGATGTTTCTGAAATCTTTGAATTCCAAACCCTTTAAAGAATTAGTAAGACTTTTCACTAAATACTGCTGTATGTATGTATGCATATATACTTTTATATATTTTTTTTTGTTTAAACCATATGTTTCTGTATAAAGTGGTAGTGTTTTCTTCCTACCTTTTTTTTTAATGTGAAAATCTGATTAATCTTAATTAGCTGTCAAAATTAGGTGACATGAGGTTATATGTGTTTAGTTTCAACTATGTTACTTTCAAATACACTTGATTGCAATACATACTCTAGGGCTCTCTGACCTGGTCCAGGAAACGTTTTTTAGTCACTCTAGCATTCTAGACTATGAAGAATCACTGAGATTACATACATTAAGCAAGAGGCTTGAGCTGGGTCTTGAGTGTGATTTGAGTAGTTAGTATCAGAACTATATTTCTGATATTTTTGAAATATTTCTTCTTGGAACTGAGTAGATAGAGATTACTCTAATTGTTACATGCATCTGTGCCTGGTTGTCCAATATTAACAGAAAATGTATTTCTCATTTATTAAAAGATTCAGTCACTGATAAGAGAGTGATTAGATGCTAATCTGGCTATTATGATAATTAAGAAACAGCAGACAATCTGTTCTTAATCACAGTAAAAATGTTGTCTGTACAACATTCTACACTTCTAAAGTGAGTTTTGAGCACATAATCTAGATCAATCTTATATATGTTTGTTGGAACATCTGAAACATCAGTGTGCTATCAACATTATTTTCATACTAAATCCAAAACACAACACTCCACCAGCTACTGAGAAGAAAATTGTCTCCCTGGCTGAAACCAGGGCAGTGAGCCTGTGATAGCTATCAGTGTCACACTTTGCTACCTGAGCATGGAGTTTTAAGTTGAAATGTGATGGGATTTTATTTTACTTTACAAAGAGCATGACTTGCTTGTAACATGATAAAATTTTATAATACAAGAACAAAAGTTTGGCATTTTCACTTATGGGAGGATGATGTAATCTAGTGAGAAGACTGATAGGAGGTCCTAAAGTATCTAATGATGACTACAGGAATTAACTTGTCATTTATTTTACGGTTTCTTTACGGTAACATTTTTTTCTTTCCGGGAAGAAATTTACTACATAGCAGCATTCATATTTGAAAGCTACTGCAAGAAAATATAAAGCAGATGCATTCATTTTATTAATAAAAACAGTGTAAAATATATGTGGGCATACACAACCTCGATCTTTGTGTAAGCGCCTTCTCAGTGTCAGTGGAAAGTTGTACAATGTGATGGCTTTGATTCAGGATTTGCTGAAGTCAGTGGTGTCCTGCCATTTGGATCTTGAAGCAGGTTTCTAATTCCTTGGAGTTCTGAAACTGTAGATGTTTTCTCACATGTTTTTTCCCTTTCTTTCCCTTTCAGGAAAGCTCTCCTTTTTATTGCAACATGTATAGCTGTGGGTGTTGCACAAGTACCCAAACAAGGTGAGAATGCTTTGTTTATAACAGGACATTTGTAATATGTTAGTAGATGAAAATAGTAAATGACTGTTGTTATTTGTGACCTTAGGTTTAGTTCATTAATTCATATGACTTAAAGAAAATACCAATTACAGCATAATAAGAACTAAAGTTTAAAGCACCAGTTTGGAAGAGATGACCTTTCGAAAATTACTCAGATTTTCTGTCTATGAAATTGCTTACATATTTAAGCAAGCTCTTCATAAAAAAGAAGCCTTGTACAGTGAAAAGGCTTTGATTGTGTCTTCACTGCAAGTGGGTGTCCTTGGGGGTGGCAAGCTATGGCTGAGTTACCTTTGCACTTAAGCCAGGCAAACCACTGCGCATAATAAAGGCTGGCACAAAATGTGAAATTTGGTATTCATTTGGCTTTGCATTCAGATGCAGATGTTGTGAGGGAATAGGCCTGTCTTGTTTTTAGTTTCTTTTTTAATCTGCCAGCTGTTATAACAGCACCAGATGTGCAGCTTGCTCTGGAGATTGCTGTGGGAATGATAGTGTCCCGAGTGGTGGAAGCTAATGTGCCATTTAGTCACTTCTTGTTTGCCATGAGAGTGGCAGCATCAGTTCTCCACCATGGTCCTTTGCTGTGCAGGTGAAGCATGAGGTAGGTCATCCTTGGCTGCTGAGTGTGTAACTGCTCATCTGAATACAAACAGATGGGTTGCGTGGTTAAGACAAGGCTCATTCCTGATAATGTTTTGCTAGAGCCCTTTGGGATATCTCAGCAGCCTCCCACCATTATTCTCACCAATGCTTTTTTCCTGCTTGTCATTCCCAGAGATTGGCAAAGCTTGGTTTTTCCTTCAGTCGTGGATTTTTTGTTTTGTTTCCCCCCTGTTGCCTTTGTAGTTTTGCCCTCCAATGTTGCCCATGGCTTGCCTGGTAAGATTGGTTGTTGATTTTTCACATCCCGCTCAATGGGGGCCATATGCTTTTGTGATGATGGGATTTTCCTGGATTTTTATAATAGCTGAGCCAAGTTCTCACTGGAGGAGGGGCAGCACTGTTAGATGTGTGTGGCCTGCCCTGCTCCAGGCCTGCAGGGGTGGAAAGGGAAGAGGCATTTTTAGGGAGGCAGTTTGCAGTTTCCCGGTGTAGCGGGAGCGGGTGATGGATGCCACAGACAGCTGTGTGGTTACAATTTGAGTGTCTTCATCCCTCCAGCTCACCCTCCTCTTCTGCAAAGAAATAAACCTTTTCTCTCACTCCTCATGCCCCTCAGCCTGAGAATTGCTTTTCTACTGAGCCTTCAGGTGAGGACTGTGAAGGCTGCAGGACTGTGGGCCAGCAACACGGGAATGGGTGGAGGCTGAGTCTTACCTGCCTCTTGGCTGAGAATGCCTCTCTGCACAGAGCTTTGCAGAAATGGGCTAAAGCCTCCAGTCTAACATGCTTATATAGAATTAATTTTTATTTTGTTACCAGCAGATTAAGGAGTTTCTTTTTTTACCATTATTGTTTTGTTGTTATTGTTATTATTGTTATTCTATAGCATTTCTAGATAGCCATATGAGAAGCCTTACTGAATGGAAACTCCTCTCCATCCTTGATGCACAAGTACCATACATGACTTTATTTTCTTTAAATGCTTGCTTGAGATCAAAATGATGCATTTAACCTGGATGTAACTTTCTTCCCATGAGCGAATTTGATTCCTCTTGCACTTTATTTGCACAATGTGTAAACAAAGCTGGAAAAAGCAGTTCAGAGAAGGAAACCTCCTCAGGAAAAAAGAAAAAGAGCATTTCAGATATATCCTTCAGTTTTAGTACATAGGCTGCAGAGCTGCATTATTGCATTTGTGGTGCTCAGTGTTTGTCCAGGAACAGGATTGTGTGCCCATTAGGAACATGTTAGCACTCTGGTTTTTAAACTTTCTTGGCAGTTGCATTTTGAAAAAAAGAATATTCTGCCAAACACAAAGATGCTAGCTAATTAACATGACTTCTCTCCTGAGCTGAGGAGAGAGCCTCTGGATGCTTTACCTGAGAAGATACATGTTGTTCAATTTGGTATGCTGCTATAAATCATGTTCAGTGAAGTATATGTAAAGATACAGTCTCATTCCTCAGGAGCAGTACTTTGAGGACTCAAGGACATGCAGAATTAATGTGTCTTGCTGACTTTCCTATGCCAGTCATCTGATCTGGTATGTGGGAGAGCATTTGTTGCAGCCAGGTATCTCAATATATCAGGTGCAGATGCATCATCACCTAGAAAATGGACAATCTGATGAGTAACTACTCTTGGTTCTGGTGGAGCTGATGGATGAATGGCCCTTGTCTTTTCCCTTACCCACACTGGAAAAGGGAAAGGGAGAAATGTGTGCACTCAGATTGCTGAAACAGGGAGAGCATCTCAGAGATCCTGCCTTCAGAGCAGTTGTGAGTGTGGAGCAACGTGGGAAATAAGCAAGAGGGACTGAATGGAATATGTGTGTGAAACAGTCCAAGAATCAAATCCCTTCATCCCTCCCCAATTCCTTTGTAGGGTTATTTTTGTGCCACACAAGGGTCAGAAGGCTTTTTGCCAAAGCTGGTGTTAGGTTTTGCCTTCCCTCATGATGCAGTAAGGTTGTGAATTTTTAAAGATCTCCTAGAAGTGGAAAGAAAGCACTTGGCACCAAAAATCCAAAACAACCTTTCCTTCAAGAAGTTGAGCTGTTACAATTTGGGGAACTAATGGGTTGAATAAGCAGTAAGTGAAGACAGATGTTTTACAGACATGGGTAAACAAAGAAAACTGACAACTGATAGGTAAAGCAAATAGTGGTTGTCATGCTGGGAGGAAGAATGAGAGCGTTGCCTGCTCCCAAAATCCTATGTGCTGCCAAGAGCTTCTGAAAGCCTTAAAATAAAATAAAAATGCATGTTGGACCAGAAGTGAAATGACTGGCCAAAAAAGTTTGGAACAGCCTTTGGCTTGACAGTGGGTTAACAGGCAGCAAGTCAGCAAGGAATAATTCCTTTATATTTACTTGCTTGATGTCATTTTTCACACAATATTTATTTTGTGTTTAGCTCTCTCAAGACCTGTCATTGCTTGCAGAAGTGTATTGCGGGATAGAAAAAGAATAGTCTTATTTTTCATCATGCTCACTGATGATTTTTTTAAAAATAACTTTTAAAGTTTTCAAATCAGAACTGCCAGAAGTTTGGCAATTTTGCTTGCAGCTTGCCATTCAGTAGTGATAGACTTGAATGTAATTTTTAAGCTGACTATTTTAAACCAGTTTAAGCTTTTTATTTTGTACTTGAATTTATACTTTGGATAGATCACATGCATTACTATTTTAAATAAAAATATGTAATTAAAAATTTTTAAAAATACAATTGCTTGCCCAGTATTTCAGGTTAGGATGTGATATTTAGACACAACCTTAGGTTGGACTAGCAGCTGTTCTCCTTGTGCAGTCAGCTGGCCCAGGCAGTGCAGAAAAGCAGTGGAGCAGTGTATTGTGCCTTGGGGACTGTTTGCATGTGTGAGACTGCATTGCCCAGAGCTCAGCACTGTGTTTCTTCCCAGCTCCCCTTCCCAAGGGCAGTGCAAGCACAGCCTTCTCCTCCAGAGCTGCAGGCAGGACAGGGTCCTGGGAAAGTGTGGTGGTTCATTAGCAGATGCACTGTGCTTTAGAGCTCCACTATAACCTGACCTCTGTTATCAGCCTGACAGATAAAAATACAGCCATAGTGAATTAATTGCTCTGAGGCAAAACATCTTGAGAAATTGGCATACACAGGACTTTGTGCAGAAATATTCTCTCTCCATACCTCTGTCTGCACTGGCTGCTCGCCAGGATAATCTTGGCCCGTCCATGAATCTCCAACATGACTAGAAACACTACAAGGTGTGTAATTAATTTCCAAGATGTACAGTGTGTTCAGGTTGGTGCTTTTGGTTCCAATTTATAAATCACTCTCAAGGAAATCTCAGGCGCTTCTCATAATTTACCACTGAAACCAAGCCAACATCTGTCTATTCTTAAAGTTTGCTATGAATGCATTCAGTAAACAGACAAAGGGAAACTGGGAAAGGAGACCTTTTTTCCACTTAAAGCATAAACATTCATTTGTTTCAGCAGCTCTTTTAATATAGCAGCAGATCCTTAACTTTTCTTCTTTACTCTAAATTTTTGTTGTGCCATATAATAGTTTTATTTACTTAGTATAAGCATGTGCATTGCAAAAGTAGCCCCAGCCAAATGCTGCAGAAAGTGCCTGTGTCTGCCCAGCGAGGCTTATTTGATCAGTGCAATTATTAGATATTACAAATAGTTTTTAATATAGGTTTTCACTGAAGTTGTTCCAGTGAGGTGGAAACAGATGATATTGTATGCTGTGCAGTGCTGTTTATGAGAACTAGTCTTCTGTTTCTCCTTGTGAAAAAAAATCTGAAAATTTAGGTTAGGGGGACCTTGAACTCATCTGGTCCCAACTCCTGCTGAGGTCAGGGTCAATGTTGAAGGTTGTACAGGTTGCTGGATCCTGTGCTGCTGGTCTTTGAAAATCTCCAAGGATAGAGACTACCTAATGTCTCTGTCCCCCAACATTTAACCACTTTTGCAGTGAGAATTCTTTTTCTTTGCATGGAGCTGAAATTTCTTGTGCTGCAGCTTGTGCCTGTTCCTCCTCAGCTTTTCTCTGTTTCCCCTATGGCCTCAATTCAGATAATGCACAATTTTATTTAGATTCCACCAAACCTTCCTGTCTCCAGGCCAAGCAAATGTTGTTCCTTCAGCCTTTTCCCATGTTATATGTTTTAGTTCCTAATCTTCTCATTCTGTATTTCCATGATTGCATTTTGATTCAACATCTGCAGTATTCTGCACCTTTCACAAACAGGCAGACAGTTTTAGCAATCAATCAATGCCATAAATGTTACCTTAGTTTGAGATCCTACAGAAAGGCTCCTGGGGATGTGTGGTTTAGTTCCTGCTAAGGCCTTTGTAGTGTTTCAGCTGCATCATAAGGGATGTAACAGTGTGTTTATATTTGCCTGAAGGAAGTTGTCTGTGCCCTCCAACTTGCCCAAATCTGATTTAGGCAATAAGAAATAATTGGGTCACCTTCAACTCTTGATTTACTCAAAGACATCTTTGATTTCTTATCCCAGTACAGATATTATTTCAGTTTATCAGGATGATAGATAATTGTTTTTCTACCCATTAGGTGAAGATATTTAGCCAGGTAAAAGATGGAGACCCTGTATGGCCAGACTATGGAAAAGCTTAAAGGACACAGCTCACACTGACTGAGGAACTAGAGAATAAACCACTGCCCATTCTTCCCTGCAGGAAGATCTATCCAGATTTCTACATATCAAAGCCGAATCTATGGAATATCAATGAGTAGCACAGCTGGCTGCTCTGTCTCCTTAATTCTCCTGCTGTGGAGTGCACTCTTAATTCAATGTCATGGTAGCTGCAGCCTTGTGCACTTCGGGGGGAGAGGTGAGCCAGAAGACAGGAGCACTGCACCTTGGGTCCTGACAATTCTCCTCTTTCCTTGCTCCTCACCACTTCCACTGCTCCAGAGTTCACCTTATCCATGGCCCTAACAAGTAAACTACATGGAGGGGAAGGAGATGTTACTGTGCTATAAATAGCTTGTCCCTTCTTATAAACAAAGCAACCCTTCCCTCACATGCTTTGATTTGAAATTTTCAGATAAAGAGGAACAGCATGGATTTATTGAAGAATTCTCTGCTCAAAGAGTAGACAGGATTAGTTAAATAAATAAGGAGCTAACGAAAGTGTATTCATTGATCACTGGAAAGTTTGAAGAGAGCAAATGAGGATTTTTCACTGTCATAAATGAATTAAACTACAATGGGCAGTTTGTGGGCCTTTCTGTGTGTTTAGTTCGGTTGTATTTTTTAAGATGGAAATTTTTCTCTGGCTTTAATTATTTGTTTGATTTATGTGAAAGATCAATGCCTTCCACTAGGGATTTGATGGCCTTACTGTGTGAAGTGTATATGCTCTGAAGGTACAGATTTGTTAAAATGTTGTGTGTACATTTGTTTATATGGATCTGAATATATGAACTTGTAAATTAAATCAACAGTGTGCCTTTATTTCTTTTTACAGCAATAGATGTTCTTCATCAACTAGGCCTTGTGAAAGATGTCCAAGAGCCATCAGAGGCAGCAGTGCCCTCAACTTCCTCTCTGTTCCCTCGGGGTGTTCGTCTGACTGCGTCAGGAGTGGTGCTGAGTAATGATGCACACATTGAGTGCCCCGTCTCTCAAGTCATACCATCGAACCTAGGGCATCAGTTCACCTTATTGGTTGGGTTGTACTCTTACAGAGCCAGTAATGCTTTTCTGTTCAGTGTTAGGAGCAGAGGCAGACTGCAGTTTGGTGTCCAGCTGCTCCCGAGAAAGGTAGCGGTGTACACTGGAGGGAAGCAGCCCGTGTACTTTGATTATTGTGTTCATAATGAACAATGGCATTCATTTGCCATTGGCACTGGGGACAAGACTGTCTCGATGTTTGCTGAGTGTGGAAACAAGTTCTACAGCAGTGAAGTGCTTTCTGAAGTGGAGACATTTGGTTCAGAGGGTGTATTTACCCTGGGAAGGATGAACTCTCACTCTGTCAGCTTTGAAGGAGTTATCTGTCAGCTCGATATCATTCCCTCTGCAGAAGCCTCTGCAAACTATTGTAAATATGTGAAACAGCAGTGTCGCCAGGCTGAGACCTATCGATCTCTGCGAGGGGCTCCACTTGGGTCAGATGGGCTGGATGTGTTTTCAAAGATGATCATTGATGAGGAAAACCAGGAAGATATATCAGCTTATAGATGGAAAGAATTGTCAAACGTGCCTATTGCCAACGGTGCTCAGATTCAGTTTCTACCAGACCGCTTTGAGTTAAGAAATACCTCTGCATGGGAGTTTGCAGAGACCAAACCTCTGTTGCTGGAAGCTTGGCCTCAAACAGAACTCCAGGAGAACATCCATCTGGCTCTTCAGCAGCAGGAGATGAGCAGAAAAAGAAACATCACTAAAACTCCTGCAGGATCATATCCAAGTAGTTCAGCTAATACCACAGAAGATGCAGGCAGACATAGTGAGCCTTCTCTGATCCCCCCTGTAAAACAGAGTAAAACTAAGAGCAAGGGAATGGAAAAAGCAAAACAGCATTTAGATGAGCCAAGCAAAAAGCAGCAAATCCTCACCACAACCCTGTACAGTTTGCCTGCTGAGCTCCCTCTGGATAATCAACCACGTCTAGGGCAGGAAGGTGCACTTGATGCTGATGAGACTTATCATACAGAAAACAGTTATGAAAATGGTATTGATAATTATGCTTATGACTATGAAGATCTTGGCAAAATGTTTGAAAGGGGAAGTGTCAGAGGTCCAAAGGGGGAAACTGGACCTCCTGTAAGTTATCTTTATTACTCTTTTTACTATATTGCAGCAGCATACATTTAACAGAGCTTTGAAATAAACCTCTTCAAGCATGCCAAAGCTGTGACTGCAGTTTCTCCCAGCTGTATTGTACAAATGTTTATGTGCCTTAAATATGTCTCTTTCTCATGTAATTTTAGTGTAAGTGTCATACACTTTTATTTACTGGAAGAATATAAAGATATCCAAGATATTCATTCTGATGAAGTGGTAGGCAACCCAGACTTCTTTTAAAATTTGGAATGCAGCTGGGTGTTTGTAACCACTAATTACAGAGACTGCTCACTTAATAAAATTGCAGGCTAATTTAATGCTGTTCACAAATATAGGTGCTGGCTCATAAAAAGAACAACCAGGATGCCTGGGAGACGGACACAGTTTTCTTAGCTGAGCAATGCTGTCAAAATTTATAGTTGTAGAAACAGACCAGATGCAGAATCTAGTCTGCAATCATTCATAATCTAAGGTTATGTGGTCAAGTAAACCTGCATGGAAAATAGTTTTTAGAACAGTCTTACAAGATTTTGAGGTATGTTTTCAATTCACAGGGTAATTGATTTTTGATACAATTGCAAATACACAATAGTATTTTTAATAGAAGCTTGTTTATCCTTTCTTATTGTGTGCACAAGGCTCATAAACTTTCTAAAACATAAAAATGTGCCCACATATATGAAGCTACAGACCAGAAAGAACATCAGTTCCTGCTTGGCCTGGGAAATATGATAGATCATGCTTTGTGCTTGTGTGAGATTTTGGTTAAAATTTTTAAACCATAGCATGAAGTAAATAATTTCACTTGCATTTTTTGTCTGTTTGTTTTTGGTTTTGTAAGTGTTCATCTGTGTGGTCATTACTGGAAGGCAATTTGATATGTGTTAAGCAGCTCCTAATATATATTTAAATATGCCCGTAAATTTATTGTGTCTATTCTTTTAGCACTGAAATATTTTTTTCTTTAACTAGTTAACAACTAAGAACCTATTCAAAATTTTAGCTTTTACTCTAAACAGGATCCAGGCACAAAGTAATTGCTATACAATTGAAAAATGTGTTAATGAGTAATTCACACTACTCCAAAAGTGCTCTTGCTTAATCTTTTTTGATTGTGAAGTCAGTCTTTTTTCTGTCTTTGTCCCTTATGATAGCTTTTATGGTGACATATCACTAAGCATATGTAGCTGTCATCAGCATGAGCTTAATTTCCATTTTTGGACCTTAGGATGTTTAGTAACTACTAATGGAAGGTTTTAATTTTAGCCTGTAGCTTGTTTGTTGTAATTTCAGTCAGTCACAGCCAAGAAAGTAAATCCATTCTTTTTTACATGTCACAGAAATGGCTGCTGATAAAGCTGATTGTTTGCATTAGTAAGAAACTCCAAGCAAATGCTCCAGGTTGTTTTTCTAGACACAGGCACTATGCATACAGTGGCAAAGATGACAGCTAATTTGAAGGGTTCAGAGGTGTCTGTGTTACCATCGTCAATGCCTGTCCTATAGACTGGGGATGCAGAAAGAAGTTTGTCTTGCTTAGGAATGCAGAATTCCCTGCTGTAGTCTGTAGGGAATATGGTGCATTTGTGCTGAGGTGTTTTGCTGGGTCAGGATTTAGATAACACGCCCAAGGTCTTAAAGATGTGTGGCAGAGGTGAGAAGTTAATCTGGACCGTTGTGGGCCTCAGGTTGGTTGAAGGGGCCAGCAGCCCCTGCTGGAACAGAGGCAAAGCTAAAACACTGCTCTGCCAGAGGGGCTGGCCCCAAAGGGACAGGAGGTCTCTGCATGAAACTAAGAATTGTGCTCTATGGGGATTGTGTGGCTCAGTATCTGATACTGCTGTTGGCCTCAGACTTGAAGAGATGATCTTGGTTTGCTTTCTCGGTTTAGTCCTCCCATGTAGAGAAAAATTAATGCAGCTTTTATGTGTGTGGCTCTAACACTTCAGTACATAAGCACTCACGGAGTCTTTGCAAGGTAGAGCCTAAAAAAGCAGCACTGAAGAACTTGAAAACTTCCCTTGCAGCAAAAAGTCCTGATGAGGCATGAAACCCCTTCTTTTTACTTCTTTTACTATGTTGTGGTTGGTTTGAATCTTCTTTCAAGGTTTGAACAGAGAAGTTAATGTTCGTTCTATTGGAATTGACAGGCAAGAACTAGCTTTTGTGGTTCTTAAACTACTCGGCTTCTTTTAGCTTTTAATCATCTACCAGAACTGATTCTTGCCTTGTATAATTAGGCCTCTTATATTCCATGATCCCACAGCTGTGGAATTCACCCACCACTGCAAAGCAGGACTCCAGAATTCAGGCTTTCATTTATGGATAGGGTATAAAAAGGGAACAACTATTTCTTCAAAACTATTAAAAGCCTGATTAAAATTCTAGCAGTTGCAATGAGCAGAACCCCCCTAGAAAAATACGAAGTGAGTTTAAACTGAAATAGTAAGATTTCCTGAAACTCTTCTTTCAAGGGAATGCTACTCTGTTCATCTGATAGCCACTCCTTTTTGGGGTGCAGAAGGTGTTGGCAATCTGTAAAGAATACAAAAATAAGTGTGGTGTGTATTTTTAACTGTTTAACTTTCAAGCTGATCTTTTTCATTGCACAATCCTGAAGTAGTTTGCAATAACATGGTGCATAGTCCCACACTGGTAAAAGGAGAGGCTGATGTGAGCTGAAGAGCTGATTTATGTTACTTGCTGGTGGGTAATTGCATCTTCAGGCTTATCTCACAGGATGTGGCATTCCAAGAGAAACGAACTAGGAATTAGTTTCCTTTATTGGAAAAGCTTTCTGGGTTTTCAAGACACTTTGCCAGAAGGAGGAATTGTAGAAGACCAAATGGTGATGTTCCTTCTAGCTGGTAAAGAGAAGCAGTCTGGAATTGTTGTCAGGAGGAATGGGAAATGGCAAGCCCAGCAATAAGCAGAATTGAGTCCTGGATGAGATATGCTACTGCAATCACTGAGAGAGCAGTTCAGAGATCCCAAATGTATATTAAATGAACAGCAGTAGCTTCCCTTTCACACTTATTTCACTTATTTTTCTCTTAGCTAACCTTTCACAGTTCTGCTCTTTGCACTTTGCTTATTTCTCAGTTGAACAAAATTGCTTGTTGAGGCTCCCCCTAATCACAGGGGATATAATTGTCACTTAATCCCTTTCATGCATTTCCCTGCCCAGGCTGAGAAATCTCAGTATCTGATGATTCAGATAAAAAGTTTAGATTCCTGCAGGTTTATTTTTAGTAGCAAAAAGTATTGTTATTGTTAAAAATTCAAACATTAAATTTAATTCCCCTAGAACTGCTGCAGTTTCCCAGTCTTCTGCACAACAATATTGAAAACCTTCAATCCATAACCCAAAGCCATATATATTTCTCTGATATTGATGACATGGCTTTGACTGTTGTAGGAATTCTTGACAAAGGGAGAGTTCCACTACTGTAAAGAAAGGAGGGTAACCCTACAGAGGTGACTGCCTGCTCTAGGGCATTTGGAAGGAGAAGTGTGCAGCTTTTCTTGTTTCCAGTGAAATGCAAATGAAACAAGAATTAAAACAATAGGTGGACATTCAAATTTGGTAGGATCCTTGTTGCACAATAGTTAAATCAGTATCTGTATGAAGTGCTTAAAGAAGGTAAACAAAGCACTCCAGGGGCAAAGAATAATTCTGAGTGACAGGATCGGAATTCCAGGTAATCTAAAACTGATGGGATTAAATGTAGTGCAGAAATTAAAAGTGCAAATAGATTATGGGGGAGTGACTGCTTTGACAGTCATCAGGATGATAGATTGGTATCATTCTGCAGTAGAGGATAAATACATCTTTCTGTTGTGATGTTTGATGCATTAGGAGGAATGGTGAGCATTAGAGACAGGCTGCTTTTTCTACTGGTTTGGATATGATGAAGTTGCAGTTTGGGGGAGTGTCCTCAACTTTAGATGTGGAGCATTAAAAAGTATGTAGACAGATGGAAAGGATTGCAGATGATTGCAGTAATACAGATATAGTTATAGAAAATAGGATTCTGAGCAAAGTTTAAAACAGAAGTGTTTTTAGTAATGAAAGTTAGGAAGGAATATAGTTATAGTTTTGCAAAGGGCTAGTCAATATTGATACTTTTTTGCTTCTTCACATAAAGTGTGGCAAGACAGAATAAAATTTTAGGTGGGATATAAGGAAAACATAGCTTATCAGAGTGATACCTGAACAATAGAACAAATTTTATTAGCAGTGTTAGAAGTGAAATTTCCTCATGGAGAGGTTTTAGAATGGGTTTGGAATCTGATAGTTCTGTTTATTTCACTGCTGCACTGCAGGTATTTTGGTGATGTGCAGAAAGTTTCATGGGTTCTTTGTTTTGCTGAAAGACTGCCTGCCTTCATATTTGATCAATCAGATGTTAAACTGGTATGTTTCTTTACTTACTCTTTTAAAAAAGAATAGTTTGAGCTGAGCTGAGTTTGAGTGGCTGAGATATAGGCAAGATCTTTTAAAGAGAAACTTCATAGCTGCTTCACAAGAGAAAGTTCAGTGGTTAGGATTTAGATATTAAATGGCATGAGAATCAACATGTGCCTGTACAGAAGTTTTAACTACTTAATGCAGAATTTATTGCTGTGCATCTGAAATCTTAGAGACTTGCTATATGTAAATGAAATTACTTCTGGGTAATAGGTCAAGTTTAAAACACATGTAACACAAGTAACACAGGGCTTCAGTGCCTAGGAAAACAGTGGAAGTTATTTTATGTCTAGGAAAGTTCCTTACATTTATTCCAGTAACCATTGGAAGGGCTGTGAAAATTTCTGGAAAAGTAGCATCTACTTTTATTATCTCAGGATTAAGCAATGATTATTTGGAATTTTATCTTCTTCGCTCAATAGCTAAATGAAATTTTTACCATTCCTAAAGACAGTAAGTTGTAGTACCTTTCTTAAGGTACAAATTATCTGTTTTGAGCAAACTGGTTTTGTTAAACGATTTTAAGTTAGCATCTCTAATATTTATACAAAGTAACTTTTTTTATTCTGTTTTGTTTGATAATGGTGGTTAAAGTGTCAAATGCTAAAAATCACATTAACATATCTAATTGCTTCAGGTTTGTTTAATTACTGTTTCCAGTAGTTGGAAGAAAAGCTATTCAAACAAATGACTTATTCCTTGGTTTAAGAGAGATTGGCTCACTCTCAGATGTTGATTTCTGTGGTTTACATGGATGCCTGAGAGGCTTAAGTAGCTTCCTAGCCAGTATAAAAATAGTCATACTGATTTGAAGTTGCAGTTGCTTTCCCAGATTGTAGAAATGCATAGGACAGGATAACGTGTAACTTGGGACAGCATGTCCAGGAGGATTTAAGTGTGCTCCACTGGAGTCTGCTCTCAGCAGAGGCGTTGCCTGAGTTGCAGGGAGAAGTCTGTGGTGGAGGCTAAAGGGTAACATCCTCTGGTTAAGGAGAGTCCTTTAATATTTTAATCAAACACCTGGATGGCTGGGGCTAGCTACTAATTATTGTGAACCAGAGACTCCATCTGCAACAGTTGACTATGTTTTAAAATGCTCTGGGAAAGAGTTATTAATTTCTGTCTGCCTAGTATATATTGTGCTACTTCTTGTAGGGGTTTCTGAGGGCTTGGTTGTGATTAGATTTTCCTTTTTTTATGGTTTACTTTTAGTATGAAAAGAGATAGTTACGTTTGAATTAGAGTAATCAAAGTAAGGGTGGGTTGGATTTGGGTGTTCATTTGTTTGTTTTCTGTTGCAAAGGAAGCAGATAGTTCAAAAAATTTAGAAGTCACGTAGAGAAAAATGTTCTCACTGCCCTCATTCAATAAATCAGCAACAAAGATCAGGAATCTTAATGCTCTGTAAGATTTCTATTAGGAAAACGGTGAGCTATTAATGTATGTGATGAAATGGTTTAGCTATTAATGTATTTTTAAGGAAATGTCTGAAACAGGGATAGAGAAGAGCACAAATCACAAAAGAATGCACACTAGTTGCAACTATTTCACTTAACAAAAAATGTTTTCTTTTATAGTCCCAGGATAATTATCTAATCAAAAGGCATCTCCTAACTTACATTTTGAGAGGAGATATTAAAAACACATTGCTGCAGCAGGGCAGAGTAGGACCTCTCTGTGCCCTTTCAAGTGCATTTTTGAACCTGGACAGGAATGCCAGGTCAAGAGTTTTCCATGTGTCTCTTTGTTACATTTCTTGTGCTATTAAACATGGGGTCCTTCTACTTGAGAAAAATGAGGGTGTTAGCATTTATGTAAGCATAGTGAATAGAGAACATCCTATGCTAAAAGTGTGACATGTTATGGTTTGATCTAAAGACCAGAACTCTTACACAGATTTGTGTCTTCTAAATTGCACAGAGAGGGAAGTGCAGCTATGGGTTTCAGCGTGACTTAATGTAGCATGTATGGACATGCAGATATTCCCAACTGCATTTTAACTTCTACGTTTATTATGATTGATTTGAGAGAAAATAATTCATATTTTTAGTCATCAGAACAACAGTTTTCCCAGAACTGTGCATAAGTGACCTGTATTTTGGTCAAATTAATGTAATTAGTTTGATGATGTCTAAATTCCATAGACAGCACTGTCTTCTCTGCAGTGACATTACCTTTCTAATAAAAAAAAAAGTATCACATAAAACTGGAGGTTTTTAAAAATCCAGCTTTTGTCTTAATGAAATGTTGCTTGCTAATAAAACCTTCAGGGGTGTTTGTCTTTCTTTCCTTTCTCATTTCCCTTTTTTATCTCTTTCCTGTTTGCAAAACCTTCCTGTTGGTAATTTCAGCCACCATAATGGCCTTTCTGGTTTTCCTGGTTTTCTTTCAGCCAGGTTTCAGCCCTGTTGTTTGGTGGTGGGCAGTGTGGTACTCTGTGTTTTGCCTGGTGTCTCAGCTGAGAGGATGTCATACCTACAGAGCAGAGGAGTGTGAGGAAGCCTGGGCTGAGCCCCAGAGCAGGTTGGACCCCTGCTCTCATGCACACACCTCTTGCATGAGGTCTGACTTTGCTGATGCCCATTTGCCTTGCAGAAGGTACATGGCTCCTGTCACAGCTGGGGCTTGCTGTGCAGGCATGGATGGGGCTGAACTCACCCTTGAGAACAGCACATCCCTCTGTAGGACTCGAATTTGATGGGTGAAATAGAATATAAAGTAGAGCAGATTTTAGTTTAGAGCACTCATTTATATTTGAGTACAGTGAAGTAGATCCTGGGGTTTTGAATCTGAACAGCAGTCATTATACAGAAAAGGAAAGGTTTCATTGTTCAAAACAACTAGATATGCAGGGGCTGTTAGACTATCTAATATGGTGACTAATAGTCTAATTCATTTGCAAAAGATACATTTGATCATTTACTAGCATCTTTAAAAGTTTGCATTATCTTTAAAGAGTGATATTCATTATATAGAAGGGCAAATGTGCTACCAGTTATTCTTAGCAGAAGCTTTTAATAGGAAACTGAACAATAATTTGTCCATATTTATTTTCTCTATTTTATATTTGTAATTTCTGTGAGGTGGTATCATTTTTTCACAGCTACTCCAACCTTTCTAAAGCGTTTGGCATGCCAGCAAGCTTATTGAAAAGGCTTAATTATTCTGTGCCCTTTGTTTAGAAATACATTGCATTTCTTTCTTCATTGGATCTTTTCTTCCTCTAGTAACAATGCATTTGAGTAAAAGTTACTATCTGGACTGTTAGCTCCAATTTCTCTGATACAGGATACTTTCTAAACAGAAATCTGATTGGAAGTCAGATCAAAAACATGCTTTCTTGTAGTTTTGGAATTGGTTTTCAAATTGAGGGAGTCAGCACGAGCACAAGGTTGTCAGTTAGCAAAACTGGTTTCATCTAGAGTTGTGACAGTGTCCTTGTGTCAGGTTTCAGCCTCAACTGCTTTGGTTTTCTGTCACCAGGGTCCTCCAGGTCCTCCAGGTTTACCTGGTCCTTCAGGGAAGAGAGGTCCTCGGGTGAGTAAAACAACTCTGCACTTCTGCACCTCTGGGCAGGTCACCAGTAATCAGACTGGAGTTTGCATGGTTTTGTTTTTCTCAGCTTTATTCATATGCTTAGTGATTATGAAAGTGCATGATTCTTAACATTTGGCAGGAAGGTTAAAGCAAGACAAACAAACACTTTCTCCTGCTGTGAGCTCCCAGCATAGTTAATTCCATTTATGGGTGCACACACTGAGCTTTATTATATTTGTACCTGGCTTTTGCTGCTCCCAGTATTAACTTCTGGTTTTTCCATGCTGCTCCCATCTGCTGCAATCTAAGGTCACATTCATTTGTTTTTGGAGTGAGGGGCAGTGAGCAATGCAGGGCACAGCTTCTGAGGAGCAGGTGCAGGATACAAAATTAACCAGTGCACGACAGAGTGGGGGGAAAAAGTAATCCCAAAAATCTCTTTTAGTCTCTTAAGCTTCAGCAGCTTGATCACAGGTTGATATCAGAGCGATTTGCTACAGAAATGAGCTACAGTAGGAATGATTTATTCTGTGTGAGTGGGTGCATCCCAGCAGGAGCAGGGACAGCAGCCTTGCCCTGTGCCTGGGGACAGAGCTGGGCTTTGCCACAGTGGCTGTGCCACTGCACAGATGAGTGATGAGGCAAAAGAGGGTGAATCTGGGTTTGTGCAATTGTAAAAAAAACATTTGCTTGAGCAGTCCCTGAGGTGATGGTTGATCAGGGTGGGTTTTAGGGGAAGGGCAGCTGGAGGGGCTGGTGGAGCTTTTGTTGTGTGGCTGATTTTAGGCCATGGGAGCTGGGGGTGTCAATGGTTGTGGCTGGAGTGCCCTCATCAAGGCAGATGGAAAGTGGGAGATCAGGGAGTAGTTTATATTGGGGCTCAGCAGATGTGTGGGAGGAGTTTTGATTCAACCTTTGAGGAACTTTTAAACCAGATGCTGCCCAATAGCCTATTGAAAGCCAGCACAGCACAGGATATTCTAAACTTGGCCTCATGGGTAGGAAGTGCACTGGTCAAAGAGGCCAAGAACTGATGCTCTAGAGCATTTTGGAGGCAAGGGAGTAGAAGAGACACACTTAAAAGTACAAAATGAAAAGCATTCCTTCAAATTCATCTCTTCATGACTTCTCAGATCTTTCTGTGTAAGTGCTGACAATTCTCACAACTCTACTTTTTTTATGTTGCACACAGCTTGTGGTAAGGATATGTCTCGCATCAGGGGCAGGATCTCACATAACCAAGTAGATCCTCACAATTGGGAAATTTTCTTTGTTTTAGAGGAGGTGTTTATATGTTTAAGACCTTGCCTATTGGTGAGACTGCCCTTGCCCAGCTGCAGTTTGTTTGGGATTTTTTTTCTGAAGGTCTTTTTACAGGTATAGAGTACTTAAAAGCACACTCATTCTGTGTGAGTTCTCTGGATTAATTGTGTAGGATATGCTTTCCAATGTGAAGGGACATCTTACAGCAAGGTGCCTGGAAAAGTATGAAAATGGCTGAGATCAATATTTACCAGTAGTTCTGAGTTTAAAATATATTTATATGGGCCAAGCAAGTCTATAAAACTATTTGATTTAAAAAAAGTTTTGAAATGTCAGTGTTCTTTACTTTGTACAATACTGATAAACTCAGGCAGGTGCAGCTAGTGATGATGTATGTTATGACACGAGTTTTGTGAGCCAAAAAGCCTGTGGAAACTTTGTTGATTCAAAGTTCATTTCCTCATCTAGCAGCTTGCCCTGTGACTTCTGTTTTCCTTCACACAAGCTGCCATTTGTGATCCTGAAATGTTACTCAAGGTGTCAAAGGGAAACAGCAGAGTGCAGAGCTGCCTTGCCTGGACCTTCATCAGAGTGTGTGTCCAAACCTGATCCTGACAGAGACCCACGTGTTTGGGACACTTGGGGCATGTGTCATTAATGGGTAGAGATTTCCACTGAAAGCTGATTTTGATACCTAAAATTCTATGGTAAAGCAGCCCACGTCTGACTGTGTTTTCTAATTGTCTTGGCTTGTTCCAAGTTTCTTGATAATGAAGTTTCAGAATTAGTGATACCTAAAACTGCTCTGCTGCCTCATTCCATGAGAATACTTTTGCACTTGTGTATTCCAGTACGGTGCCCCAGGACAGTGACACTGCAGGCAGCAAAAGCAGGAGCCACTGCAGCACTGCAGCTATGTTGGCACTTTCTTTCTGTTTGTTTCCTTTCTCCTAAATCCCCGAGAGTGCCTCCAAAGTTGCCAGTGTGCAAATTAATCTCTCAAACAGCACATGGGATTAGCATTTCTGTGGAGTTATGTCAACATTGTCATTAGTGAGAGGCAGCACTTAAGGGATGCAGCTTCCAGTGTTACTGCAAGGTGAAATTGATAAATGCAGCCTCGTGTGGCAGAAAGACAAACACTGAGTTTAGCTGTTGTTAGACCACTAGACATACAAGAAGGTTCAAAAATATTCTTTTTATACTTGATATTTGGATTTTGGAACAGTTTTGGAAGAATTTTGGCCTTAGTGAATTCAACAGAAGCTTCGTTGCCAGTTTATCAGGGATAGATTTTCGCCAGTTTGGTCCCTCAGTACTTGGAAGATGAACAGCTGCTGACAGCCATTGCAACAAATATTGTCCCTAATGTGCAATTTTTCAAGGAGTGAAGATTGCTGAATGTGTTGCAGGAACAGACACTTATACTGGATAGTCTTGATAGCTTATTCTATTCCTGGAATAAGTTAAGTTGAATTATTTTAGTAACAATTCCATTTTCTATATTAGCTGTGGGAGAATCAGGAGAATCTGTGATTTTTTTTTTAAAGAAGGTGGGATACATTGCTTTGAGACACCTTTTAAGTCACTAAGAACTCATCCACTTCCTTCCCTTTGCAGTGTATAGCTTTGTACCTCAGAATGTGATTTCACTGATTCTATTCCATACCTTCAAGTGTTGTAGCTGGAGAGCAACACTGCAGTGACTATGCCAAACACCTTTAAGAATTACCTGGGAAGACAATAGAAACAGATTTGTAAAAGAAGGGGGTGCTCACCTTTACTTTTAAGTTTCAGGAAGACATGTATGTTTTATTTCTTGTGAATCCTTTGAAAATCCTAACCTAAAAGCAGTGATTCTAAAAGCAGGAAAGATGCAGTAAAATTATTCTCTGCTAACCATTCGCATTTGTTCAGTGGTGTATTGAATAATCCCCTTTGTTGTTCTCCTTCATTTGTTTGGGTTTTTTTAATAGGGTGTTCCAGGACCACATGGTAACCCAGGTTTGCCAGGATTGCCAGGTCCCAAGGTGAGTTTACTTATACATGGTGCCATGTAAATACAGGAACTTTTAAATGAATTTTTGGAAGCCCAAGAACTTCTATTATAGGATAGAAGTAATGCCTTCTTTTGTTTACAGGTGGAGACTGCTACTATAAATATATTTTAATTAAACGTAACAAATCAAATTGAACTTCATATCAAAACAAAATAGCAGATTGCTCAGTAGTATGAAAATCACCTATGTGTGCAAAATGACGACTTGGAAATGGTTCTCTTTGCAAGTAATCTGTACTTCCCAAAAGAGTTCCTATAAATCAGCTCAGCCTCTGATAAACTGAGGTTTAAATGCTTGATTGCTGTAAACTACTGCTTTGCTTAAAAAAAATAAAAAGGAAAAATGTAGACTGGCAGTCCCTATCAATTGCTATTTTATTGTCTGTGTCTAACCTTTGATATCGAAATATTCTAATGTCTCAGACATTATTATTTATTAATATGCTAGAATAATTTTCTGAAGTTTTATGGAAGTGATATTTAACGTCAAAGAAAAAATACAGGACTGAAAGCCCAAATAACACCTTCAATCTTGTGTAACATAGGCCCTTTAAATAGATTTGACAGATTTGTGCAGTTGCAGAATGCCTTCAACTCATATTTAGTTTGAACAATTTGATAGATCTGTTAGGAAAAAGGCAGCACCATGATTTGTTTAGTGTGATTCCTAATTGCAGGAATCTGACTTGTCATGACAGGTGCTAAAATCTGCTTGAGGACATAAAAAGAAATCTAATAAAGCTTTCAGTGCCAAGTGCTGTAAAACCAAATGATTCTGGGGTTTTTTGTGTGTTTTTTTTAAAATCTAGTTTTATGGGGACAGTTAAAGATTCATTATATTTTTATGCTGGCTATAATAGGATACATTGCTAGGAAAATAATTAATTGTAACCAATTGCTCCTAGACTTTGTTTCATAATTTATTTTCTCCCTCCACTGGATGATAATTTTGATCAGTTCTGTAGCTTTGTCCATGAGTTTAAGAATAGAAGGAATTGTACATATGTGTATGTACCTATATATATTTTATTTAAATATAAATAAATATATATTACTTGGTGCTTAGTGATATCTTTAATTTCTGTTTGATTATAAGTTATCCTTTCAATACAAGTGTATTCTGAAGTGGTTTTCTCTAAATAAAAATAAACCAGGTGCTCCTGAAGTTTTGGCTATGAGGATCCAGTTGACCACACTGGAACAAACACACTCTTATTTGACATTAAAACACGACAGATGACTTGCAAGAACTTTCTAGCAGTAAATGAAGGCAGAATTTTATTTTGTCTTTAAGATGCATGAATTTTTCCCTCCTATGCTGAAGGATCCTTTGTGCAGTTGATTCTGAAACATGGCACAGCATCAATATCCTTGAGCAGTGCCCAGCCCTGAGTGAGGACCAGCAGTTCCAACCAATATCCAATCCCTCAGCATCCAATTCCTGATAAACACCTGGGGGAGTTTTCAAAGTCATGTAAGGGTATCCATGAGGTTTGGCTTTGTTCTTGGCTCTTTGAAAAATAGATTAGTTAAGAAAATGTGAATTTGTGGATTCTGGCACCATGGGAAGGCTGAGCCTGAGGAAACCTGTACAGGGTTATGGTTGATGCAGTAATCCAGCCTGATAATCCTGCACATTGTTGGAGGAACAGCTGCTGTCCTGAGTGATGGAGATATGGCTGGAGCATCTGCTCTAATCCTGCTTGGATTACCAATAAATCTGCTTTTCAAAATTTTGTGACTTTACAAAATTTGGACAATGTTAATCTCATTTCATTGTGAACCTGCACTATTTTATTTTCGTCCTAGCTCTTTACTGAAAAAGTTATGAGAAAAATATCTATAATAGGAAGCACATTTACATCTTTTTCTCCTCTTGCTGTAACAGTTGAGAATACTTGTTTTAACATATTTTATTAGAGATTCTCTCCCAATGGTATTACTGAGCTTAATTTCTCTCCAACAGGGCCCTAAAGGAGACCCAGGAGTCTCTCCAGGACGGGCAAAATGTGGAGAAAAGGTATTATTTTCTTAATTACAGAAAAATGTTTTTTCTGTCTCGTTCTCTGTGAAGTCTTGTTTAATATTCAGACAAATTATAACAGTAAAATGCTTAGTATTCACTTTAACACTGGTGTATTTTAGCAGTTAATTGTGTTAGACTGACCACTGTAGACACAGGTGACAAAATGAACGTAAGGAAAATGAAAAAATATATTAAAAGTTGAAACTTAAATTATGTATTTAATTTAATTTATAAAAATAAAATATAAGGACTTTCAGAGCAATGAAATTTGATTAGATTCACACTGATAAAGTAAAGATTCCAGTTTTCCTTAGTACCTTGCATTATTCCAGAACGTTGTGTAAAACAGAATTTGGTGATGACAAGTGCACACATTACTGTGCATTGTTTTGTATTTAACTGCATTTAAAATGGACTCTTGATGCTAAAATTTGTCCTTTCTCTTCAGAGGCTTTTCCTGCTACTGCCTCCTAAACCACTTTAGCCAAACTAGTTGTTGCCTTCTCTGCCCAAAGTATTTGAGTATAAATATTCAAATATTCCATTCTTCATAGAAATTGTAGGTTTGAAAGCTTGTGATTGTTTCAATTTTAGATTGACACGAAAGTTTCATACACAGTAATTTGATAAGACTTAAAATGTTTTTGGATATTTACATTCTAATGTGTTAGCCTATGCTCTATGTTTAAGAGTATCTTGCATTTATGCTGTTTTATTATGAGAATTTACTAGTAGATCAGTTGTGGAATATTTGTGCCAAGTAGGAGGCACTATTAGAGTCAAGGACTGCTCTCTGTTATGAAAAAACATTAGCAAATAACTATGGTTTACTAGCTGCTGATGTGTACATAACTTATTTTTTAGTGCATATATGCTGTCAAACCCTAAAATTCACAAATGTGTTGTCAAGGTTTAAGTGCTGCTGAGAAAAAATTCAGAAGTATTTGTTGATGCACTGATGAGAAATTGAAGTGCAGCTTCTATAGAAATAGCATTATTTTAATCTAGCCAGCTTTTTGGCAATCAGATCATCGTGTGGTGAGCTGTACATGGCTGCTTGCCATGTTCTTTGGCATGAGCCCAAGCAGCCACAGAACAGTCTAAAGCCCACCTGTATGTATGACTATCCCTAAATACATGTAGACTGCACCTATAATCCAGAACTATGGGAATGATATGCATTTTTATAGTTCTCATTATTTTGCCTTCTTAATGTTTCCCGTCAAATCAAATTTGCTCGTTCTAATTAATGGACTTAAATTAACTTGGATGGTAACTCCCTTCCAGGATGCATTCCTTGACTTACTGGGTTTGAATTCAGGCACTAACCATGAAAGAGTGATTCACTCTTCACTGTCAGTCCTGAGCAAGAAGAAAAAGAACAGAAAAAAAACCTTCCCTCCTTCTCCATCTGCAACAACCATAAAAATTAGCATCTTTTTTCCGTGTCCCCAGCATCTGAGATGCTCTGATCCTTATTCCCATATACCATCATGTGGTTGTGAGGCTTATAGGACCTAAAGAGAACAGCAGTGTTCTCCCATAGCCTCTTTGTCCATGTGCACCTCTCACATTGTTTTTCACACAGATTCGATTTATTCTGTATTTTGCACAGTGCACACCATATGGTGACCTGGGTTTTGGTTGAGGATTGTTGGCATAACAATAAAACAAACAATACACAGTAGTATTTTTATATATTTAATAATTTGAGGTGGAAGCACTTGTTTCTGAGGAAAGAGTTGCCTCAAGAACTGTATGTCTTCTTCAGTACTGTTTGTGTTGGCTGAAAGTCAGTGTTGTGAGGTTGTGAACTAATTCTGTTCCAGCCATGATTTGGCCATGTTGCAGGAGCAGACTTTGCACCCAGTGGTTGCAGTTAAGGAGGTGTTGCCTTTGCAATTTTCTTCCTCGAAAAAAGCCATGAAAATCAAACAACGTTAGCTAGCTCTCCATAGCAATGTCCAGGAGTGCAGAGAAGATATTGACTGCTACATGTTTATAAATCTGGGTCGTGTCCCGGTGAAATCCATATTGATTCTGGATGGTTTTCCTGTTTAGGGTGATCCAGGCCCCATGGGGTTTCCAGGCCCACCTGGGATCAAAGGTCAGAAGGTAAGATTCTGTTTCCATTTCCCTGTAAATCTTCCCGGCCTGAATCACTGCCCACCAGGTGATGGTCAGGAGGTGACAGAAGAACTTTAGGCTTGCTGTTGGTATTGTGCCCACTGTGCTAAACCTCCCCTTACAACTACAGTAAGTGAGATCATCATGGCAGGGTGTAAATCACAGCTGTTTAGGTTGGTGTTCTCCACAATGCACAGTGTGCCCCTGTTCAGAGAGAAGTGCTACGAGGGAAGGTAGGCTTTAATATGAGAAATTTCAGGTGCCATTTACTGCATTTAAGAAATATATCCAAATTATCACATTCCTATGTATACAGGAAAGCATAAGGCAGACATAGTTTTGGAAGAGAACATCAAGAGTGATGATCAATGTAGTTGTGCAGTAAACCAGCTACAAGAAAGGAACTGCAGAAGATCAAATACATCCTTCTTGCTTTGTACTCCAGCACTGCTGAGAAATTATTATATATTTATATTTATTAAAATGAAATATTAAAAAATTAGTTATATAATTACATTAAAGAATATATTGCTAGTTACTATAAAATTATCACATCTAATTATTGTATATAATAGAATTATATTATGATATAATGGGTTTTTTTTATACAATATATAGAATAAATAGCATACTTCCAATATTCTTTCTCATCCAGGTAAGAAGATTAAAAAAGTCTTACATATGAGTTAATGGTGTGTGTCCTTTTTTTTTTTTTTTTTAATCAAACTTTCCTTACATTAGTCTGGAGACCCCATGGAGCAGAAGGGCCCTTTCCCTCTCCCCTGAATGGCCCCTGACTGTGCAGAGGGAAGTGCCTGCCCCTGCAAGCCAGAGCTGCTGGGCTGGGCTGGGCTGGGCTGTCAGCCAAAGGACAGCCCTCCTGGGCAGGAGCTTGCCTGGGGCCATCACTGCAGTGCTGTGGGCTTACAGGTGCTCTGCAGTGGCACTGGAGTTTTACAAAGATTGGCTACAATTTTTGCTCTAGTTTATTCCCTATCTAAGATGTGTGTGGCAGTAAATCATTATAATCTGGGTCTATAAAATCCTGATAAAATTTGCTTACTGAAGTAGAGCACAGTAAGAAATGTGGAAGGAAAACTTTGTTTCAACCTTAATTTTGTCTTTACTTTGTCATCATGTAAGGGTAAGGCTGATAAGCAAATTTCAAAAGCAGCATACCTATGGTAGTATCAGCATTATGCTATTAAGTGTCAGCTTTATGCTACTAAGTATCTCCCAGTGCTGCTTCTACAGAATCCAATTTTTGTTGAGCAGAAGGAAACTCCTGTCCTGTGAGAGAAAATTGGTATTTCCACGCTTTGGGATATTTGGGCTGAGTTGCTAGGTGAAATCTTAGTTGTGGAATAAAGATCAGCTAACAAGAGAGAAGGGAACTATAAAGGAAAAATAAAACAAAGCCATTCTCTGATGACACATTTTTCCAAACTGGAGGCAGTGTGGTGACACTGTGGAGCTAAGTAAGCATTGTGAGGACTGTGGCAACACGTGGGAGTCCCTTTATTTGCTACACTCACTTCTCTCTGTAGCTGATGGTTGTAGAATGCTTCATTAGTCATAACACTTTACCTATTGATTTTTACAGGTTACAGGAACTTCTTGGCACTCTAGTGGAGTTGCCAATGTTGTGCTAGATTTTGATTACAAATACCTAGAAGTTCTGGTAAAGCACAGTGGGTAGCAGTAAAATGGAAAGGCTCAGCCTAAATAGTCCCTGCTGTCATATACAGAGTGCTGTACACAGACTTCACTCAGTCTGGGTCCCACTGTGCTGCACATGGTAGAACTCAGACACTTAAACTTGCTACATTTTACTTGGCAGTAAATATTTTTTTTCTGTCACGCAGACTAAATTTTTCTTGTAACTTGCTGTGTTTTTGAAACGTGCTTGAAGTTTGCAATTGGGAACTTCAAACCATTCTGTTCCACATTGAGCTTTTAAGTCAGAGAATTAATCTTTGTTAGAATTGGGAAGGTAATTAATTTTTCAAACTGCTGCATGTGATTTTGTATTCTTATTCTTAATTTTCATCTTAGCTCAGAGTAACCTGCATCTTAATTATATGAGTATGCTCAACAATACAAGCTCAGGCTAATAAAAAAGAATTTTAAGAGGATTAGCTAAATCACAGGGAAAGGAACCTGTGTGTGAAAACTGTCTCTTTGGAATGGTACTCATTTTAGCATGGTTTAGTTCCATTCCCAACTAGCACTGAGTGAGGTAGAATGAATTAAGGCCATGTTAACTCTGAATAAAAATGTAGACATACTATTCTAAAATATGAGTTCAGAGCAGTTTTCCTCTGACACAAGTAAAATGCTGTTATATAGAAATACACACAGCAGAAATCAGTCCTTCACCTCACTTTTTGTGTGCTTTCCTTTGAGTCTGTTCATACAGGTGTTCACCAGCTAAAATGACCCACTTTGAAAAAATTGTGGTAAACTTCTCTTTGAGCACTTTTGTGTATAGCTTTCTTTTTTTTCTAGTACAAAATTAAGAAACTACTGAGGGGTCTCTTCTAGCTACTTCAGCTGATTATATAAGTATAGAGATAAAATTCTGTAATGGATAGAATTAATGAGATAAAGGATTGGCTGAGACTGTAAAAAATTGTAGTTTCCTGAGGCATACTTCAGAAGCTAAAGAGGAGTTACTGGTTTATGCCAAAATTGTCATCAAGGAAAATAATTTTATCTTTTAGTTTGTATGTGATAATAAAATTAATTTCATGCAGCAGTGTTGTGATCACACAGAAGCTTATCCCAAACTTTGGAATACCTGATCTGCTGAAATCAGTTGCAGAATTTCTTTTTGTTACAGTGAATCTCTACTGACTGATGAGTATCATCAAGCTGCAAGGCAAACAGATGTTTAACATCAGCCAAGACACTCCTGCTGCTCAGTCAATGTCTTTGAGTCCAAGTTTATGATAGATTTCTATCCAGAATAATGATTGCTCTGCTCTTTTTTCTTTCAAGCTGTAGCTTTTGGACTTGTGTATTCCCAGTATCTCTTGCAAGGGATGTGGAGACCAGACACTTGGCTTGTGCATCAGTCATGCAACAGTCAAGCCTCCCTTCAAGGCCAGCTTGTCTGGATATGTTTAGTCCAGTGTAAAGATGTTCAGGAAGGTGGTTCCTCTTTCAAGTGTACTGATGGAGAAGGCAGACTCCAGCTCTGTTTTAATTCTTTTTCTCAAAGAGTTAAAATATGTTTGAAATGGTCGATGCACAGGGAGCAAAGTTCAAGAGTTTCATCTCTTCCTGTGGTTCCAGCACCACAGAGATTTCTGGAATGAGGCTATTCTTGCTACTAATAGTATAAGAGCCAAAACTTGTGCTGTATTAATTTTAAAGAAAGATGTTTTGTGTCCTGGAAGGTCTGTCTTTCTGAGTGTGTCCTAGAACAGTCTGGGATGACCCTTTACACTGAACTGCCTTGTTCAGAAAGGGCATTGTGACAAGGATTTGGAACAGAGAAATGCACAGTGCAGAATCCACGACAGCATCCCATGTATTAATTTGTTTAAAAGAGTACAAGTCTGAAACTGCCTTTAAGCATACTGATGTCTTTAAATTGTCTAAGCTGCCAAATTTTCTTACCTCTTTTCTCTAGCTCAGTTTTCATATGAGCTGCTGAATGTAAACCATACTAATTCTGCTGGCAGACAAGTCTGGGTTTTTTTTTCCCCTTTGATTAAGAGAGAATAGACTAGAAAAAGAAGGTCCCTTTTGTTTATATTTATCACAGATCTCTTTCTCTACCTGCAGGGTCTTAAGGGTTACCCAGGACTGCAAGGGCCACGGGGTGAGCAGGTAAGGGATGCAAGCACAGTGCACTGTACTCTGCAGATGAACAATTAGGATAGGAGAATGGATAATCCATTACAAGTGTTCAATATAAGCAACTGTATAAACTGCTTAAGGAAATATTGGACAGATTTTGAGCAAGATTTCAGATTGTGTGGAGATCAGTGTGGTAAAAAAGTCTAAATAAAATGGAAAAGACCAACTTGTTTTTCAACTACCAGACCAACTGGGAGGTTGTTGATGTAAAATTCTTACAAGAGGCACATTTCAAACCTCTACTGATTTAATGCATTTTACATCTCCTAGCATATAGGAAATGAAGTAGTTGTTCAGCACTTTTTTAAACTTCCATGCCAGTTCAGGAAGAAATCTGAATGTAATTTCAAAAGACATCCGATTGCTAATGTCTCTTGTTAGCATTTGTGAGGCTCCTAATGGCAGAGTAGATGGAAAGAGTCTCCTTTTGGATCACACTGGAAAGGAGATGGTGATGATAACTGATGGTAAACACCTGAAAGGGGATGAAAACTCAAGGACATCATTCATGAATTCCCTGAGTTTTATGCCCAAACCTTAACTGAATGAATGGTGGTTTTTATTATAATCTAACAGGAAGTTTTCTGTGATGATGTAGTCTACCAGTGAGGTAGAGATAACTAGTGGGGAAAAAAAATGTTGATTCTTAACATCAGAAGAAGGTGAAGAGAATTGTATACAATCATGATTTATCCAGTGCTATATTGACCTGATTCTGGAAGAAACAAAAATTGGCTTTGTAAAGGGACACAAGGATTCTTTAATTAAAAGTTTAACATGTTTATTTAAAATACATCTAAAACCAGTGCAGTTACCTCATTTTAGGGACTAGCCCTCCTGAATTATTTTTGAATTGTGGAAATAAGGCATGCACGGTTGTATTTCACAAAATCTTAGACACTTTCTAAAGGATATGTGACTGAAATTGGCAGAGTTACTTATGTACGATGAGTCAATTTTTGGGTGTTCTATGTAGCTTTCTTAAAAAGTAAATTTTCCACGTGCTTAAGCTGTGTCAAACGAGTAGATGTTAAAAGAGAAATGATAAAACAAACTCCAAAGCATGACATTAAACATGTTTATTGTTCCTTTTCTCACTTCCTTTTCCACTTAGGGAATTCCAGGAATGGCTGGCAGTATTGGGGCAGTTGGTTACCCTGGCAGGCAGGTGCAGTAACTATACAAATGTCTTTGTGTTTTATTTTTTATTTTTCTCATTTATTCTTTCCAAAAATACCATATCTAACTCTTTTGAAACTACTAATTGTAAAAATGTATTTGTTTCAATCCTGTCATTTTTCCTTGAAACAAACCTCTTTCTCTGGTAGTGGCCTGGAGGGAATGTTGGGTCTCATGGCTTTTAAATTTTGATGTGTTAGATGCAGTAATGCTGTTCCTTTCTGAAATATATAAATGGCATTACCAAAGCACTGAATGTCTGAACACTTCACTTCATAAACCTCATACTGAATACTTCATAAATCTCATGTGGTTCTGTGTGGTTCATCTTCTTTGCATTTCAAGTCTAGAAGCAGTAGGAAACTGCCTGTTCTTCCTGATTTTTTCACCAAATGTGTTTATTTCACTGCCGAAACTATTTCTTCAGTCCTTTAAGGGAGGGGAACATTAAAAGTTTGGTGTTTTTTCCCATTGGGGTGTTTTAAGAGAACCAATAAAGCCAGAAAGCAGCTTTCTTTAAACACAAGTACTTATATAAATATTGATTTACATATAAAGTAACAGATACCTCAGTGCAGTAATAGAAATAAGATATAAATACTCAGCATTTTCCTCATGTAAAGGTATATGATCCAAATTGGCAACAATTGACTTTGTGGTTTTGTGCCTGCTTAAAGGGTGAATTTGACCAATACTTCAAGGTTTTGTTGGATTAAGTTTGTAATGGCTATATATTTTAAAGTTCCATTACAATATTTGATAGAGTAATGGATGATAACATTTTTTGTGTTGAATCACGTGAAATGTTTGGACCACATATGCAATTCTGGCATTAGCTTGAACATAATTGAAATGTGTCCAAATATAAAAGCTTATAAAAAAAATCCCGTGAAATTATGTCACTGTAATGCCTGGAAAAAAATTTTCTCCCAGAAGAAATAATTTTAATGTAATGGAAGTTTCAGTCATGATCTGTGTTTCAGCCCTGTGTTAGTGGGAGACCTTTCTGAGTATTGTCTCAGGGGACTATTTGATGACACCTTCTTCAATCTTAAAAATTTCAAGAATGTGTTGCCAGTTTACAATTAACAAGTGCTGTTGCAGTTATTTTACATAGAGCATATCTGGTTGTTTAAAATTAATTACAACTCCTGTCTTTTTCTAACAGGGCCTAGCTGGGCCAGAAGGTAACCCAGGTCCTAAAGGAATAAGAGTAAGTAAGCATCTTAAGCATTTTGATATGCATGTCTAATTTTACTCATACAGTAGGTGAGAAAGGGGGTGAGGAATTTAATTCAGCTGTGCTGGTTGTATACCTGCAGAACCACTCTGCCTTTATAAAACCTACAAATGAGAAAACACAGAGTTTCTGTCCAAATATGTGCAAGAGTTTATTTTTTTCTCATGGAGAGCAGCATGGAGCAGTTTTCCATTGCTAGCCTTCCTCTTACTTGCATGCAGGGGAGAGAAGAAAGCAATGCTGGGGGTGTGAGAGCTGAGGGGATGTCTCAGACCTGAAGCATTATTTCCATAATGGAGATTGTCAAGAAGGGAGGCATTTCTGACATTTGCAATCTGTGACAGTTATAGAAGTAGATAAAAGGAAACAGTCTTGTCACATAAAAACCACAAAAGGGATCTTGAGATTTTAGAATTATTCAGTCATAGTTATTATATGTATCCTAGACTGAAGGTTCTTAATGCTCCACACACTCAAGTTTTGGTTTTGGTTATTCTTGGAAGCAAAATAGATTGATTTTTATTCCTGGCTGGTCTGGGGGTTTGTGTGTGTGTTTTATAGTGTTCTTTCTCTGTTTCTTGGTGGTTTAGGTTTTTTTGAGGGTTTGTTGGTTTTTGTTTTGGTTTGATTTTTTTGGATGGGTGCTATGTAATTTTGTTTTCTTTAAATAGACACACAAAGCATGCTTACACATGCTTGTGCAGGAATAAATATTTCTTCAGACTGCCTCTCAAGGAGTAGGCACAGGTTTCCAGAAACTTGTATGTTGCTGGTTGGATCTAGGATTTGAAGGAGGCTTTTCCTGGGTGTTTTCAGGCCCTCAGCTCACATACAGGTTGCTCAGCCGTGTATTTTCTTCTCAAGTATCTATTAATATAATCTTATTGTGTTGGAAAAGTTGCTTTTGTCTTGTTTTTTTAGTGTCGTTACTAGAAGCCTTTACCTGCAGCAGCTTCTTAAACACATCTGGGGGTTTTGGAATTTTTTTTTTTTTAATGTCAGTTTTGATTACAGTGATGGGAAAAATTAGTTTGGCAGGATCAAGTGCCAACAGATATTGCACCCTCAGGGATTGTTTCTTTTATGTTTCTTCAGTTTATTTTTGTTCAGATTCTCATCTGCATTTTGACTTGTTCTCCCTTCAATAAACAAGACATAAGTGATCCCAGTCCCTTTCCTGAAAGTTACTGCTTCTCTGTTTACACAAAGCTAGAAATGGCCAATGTGTGAGTAATTTTAGGGAAAAACACCTTAAGGCCAAATCTTGTGTATGAATTCTAAAAGTAACTTCCAGTAAAAATGATGACACAGCCCTCTTGACACCTACTCCTGTACCATGGAGGTGTATAGCAGCATGATATGAAGTATCTTTAGAGCTTCAGGTTTAAAATATTTCTGTAATCAAACTGTGCTCTGCTTCTCAGCTGTTTTAAGTACCTGGAGAAAGTGAATGTGCCTTTGTTTTCCTTACTCTCATTAGGTCTGGATGACAAGGTAGGCACCATCCTCCATAATTAAAAAAAAAAAGATCGACCCCCAGGAAATTAAACCATTGCAACTGGAGATAAATGAAAGCAAGGAATTCTATTCTAGTAACTAATTTAATATTTTTGTTCCAATCAGTTTGAATCTGGTAGTGCAGAATCCATTCCTCCATACAACTGAGGAATGGTGGGAGAGAAATATGTTGTGACTGAACTATAAGAAAAACATTCTGCTTATATTAAGATAAACTTTTTTTTGTAAGAACTCTTACATATAGCAGTGATCACACAATATTATTGAAGATGAGAACTTCTTTTCTGGTGGAATTCATGAGTAAGGTTAACTTCAGAAAAAAAGTTTCTGATTTCATCTATTCTAATAAATATGTCTGATGCAACCTTGTCTTACTAGAACACTTTCTTAATGCTTCTTTATTAACTGATTCTGTACCCTTATAAAAGGAAATTGTTTTTGCTGTTGGTTGGAGAGTAAATCCTAGTCACATTTAAATTTCTAGAGCATCACCAGTAGTTTCAAATGAGCCTGAATTTAATTCCTGTGTCATGAACCCATAGCTGGCCAATACTCAGGAATAAGCAGCTTTGAAATTAAGCACTGTTCTTACATTTTTAGGGTTTCATTGGACCTCCAGGTGTGGCAGGACAACCAGGACCTGAAGGAGAAAGGGTAGGCCTAATGGAACATTAATGAGATGTTGATGTTTGTGTGGTAATGCAGTATATGTTAAAGTGGGGGGACATGTACAAGGTTTAATCGTTCATTTATATATTTTTTGGTTAAAAGCAAAAATGATTTGAAGAAAATAAGATGAATAGGTCATACCCAATTAGTCTAATCAATGAAATGCCTTGGTGCTAAAGTCAAATGGGGAGCAGCTGTAAGGATTAGGGTCATTTTTTTTCTTCAGCAAAGTGGGAATGAATATTTTTCATTCAAGCAATTTTTTTTTACAATAATTAATATTTGTCTCTTGTTGGATGGTCTTTGCAGTAGAATCAGCCATGAAACTGTTAATCTCTATCACTTTGCTTGAGTTTTTCTTACTTCACTTGAGCAAAAAGGCTGTAAGGACCTGAACTGTGATGGACAGGGAAAAGGATGAGGCTCTTTTTCACAGTTGTTCTGATATTGTCACACTAAAGACAAGCCAAGTTTGTCTTTTTGCTATAGGAGACTGGCTCTATGATACTTTACTCAAATACTTTTTAATTTATTTTTTTCAATGGTGTTTCTCACACTGTTTTTTCAATCAATTCAATTTTAATTACTTGAATTTAAGTATTGAAGAAAAGAAAATCTACTCATGATGGGTTATTTCTTTCTCAGGGTATCCCAGGCCTCCGTGGAAAAAGAGGTCCTAAAGGGAGACAGGTAAAGATTCTAATACCTGTTACAATTCCTGCTGCCAATGTAAATCCACCTGGAATTAACTCAGTAGCTTTAATCAGCTGAAAAATGTTAGTTTTGCTTTTGTCCACAGATTACTTTCTATTGCTTTGAATTAGTAGTTTTCAGAACTGCAGATTCTGTGCAGGTTGTAAGTATTTGATGTTTTGAAGTGTGGAAGACTTATCACCATGAACTTTGTGGCAGGTTACTGATACCAGCTTTGAGGAGAGCAGGGTTAGAAGGTGGCAGAAATACACAAATGTGTTCAGTATAACTGGTGTTAGCACAAGGTGCAGATATCATGCAAGCTTCATAAGTCTGGTGTTGGTTTGGATGAGAATCAGCTTCTTCCAGTGTCTGATATTTCTGGACTGTAGTAAATTAAAGCTGTTCTCTACTTCACATATCTTTCTACAGCTGAGAATAAACTCAAATCTGCCAAGTATACATTATCAAGGTTTACATATTTCCTGTGGTGTGTCTTCAATGCCAAATGTTTTGTTTTCTGTTGCAGCCATATTATTTTAGGTCTTTGAAGCTATCCAGGAGTTTCCAGTTTTAACTTTCTTGTGGTTTGAGATTGGAAAACACCATAGGGTTCTCCAGCTGTGCAGACAGTTGTGCTCAGCAGTTCAGATGATTTTCATCTACCATGTTGAACAAATTTGTCCAGCAGTAGTATGATTATCATCATTTAGCCCTTGATGTATTCTGTGAAAGATGTAGGGGATTCTGTTTAGTTGTGTTTTGTTTTCCGTGTGATCTAACACCTGCCAAAAAAGTCACTAGCCTACAAGAATTGCTTTGATATAAAGAAAGGCAAGGCAAAATTATATTAAGTCTACAGACTGCTCTTTGTGAAACTGCCATGAGACCATATTGTAGTTTGCATGTAATTTGGGTGAAATGCCACCTTTTGCATCTGATTTTGGGCAAGAGGGGCTCTGTACCATCAATCCCTCTCAGAAGCTGGCAGTGTCTTGTGCCAGTGAGTCACATGCAGCATTTGAAAAGGAGGAGAACCTGGGTGGGAATCCAAGGCTCGTGTTCAGTGTGAAATAGGAAGTGGAGGTGACAGCAGAGTGCACTGGAACAGTTTTGCCTTCTTCTGTCAGTCTCTGTGTCAAGTTTCACTGGCTTCTGCCTGCCAGTGTATGGTTTGTGTGCTATTTGTCCCAGTCCAGAGCAGTCTGTTGGTGCTGTGTGTGCTGTGGCAAGCACTTATATTCCACTTAGGGTAAGAACAGAGCTTCTGTCAGTGCCAGACTATGTTCTGTAAGGACTTTTATTTATAAATCTGTTCAGAGAGGATTCACATAGGTGACAGAGCACCAAAAGCACCTCTGCAGGATGTCTGTGATTACTTTCATTCAGTACTGATTTCTTTGTAACTCGTTATTTCCTCCATGCCAAGGTTCATTCCAATTCTTTCCTATGATCTATAAAGTACTTATTTGACTAAAGGCTACTGATGTGGAGACTGGCCAGGAGAGCAATCACATGGGAACCTGGCTTGAAGTACTTTGCTGGATCACAGGCTTAGAGAACAGAAATTATTTTAACCCCCAAAACAATGATAGCTGTGATGACAAATGTTTTTGGCATAGTGCCCTGGAGTTAACAATGCTTGGGACAGGGCACTGTCACCAAAACAAATTTGGCATGGGAATTCTACAGTGCCTGAAGCCAGGGTCTGCACCCTTTGTTCTAGGGTTCAACTTTATTTTTTTGGACAAAACCATCCCTAATAGTACTTGAGAAAATAAAAACCCTGTCTGATTGGCAGAGATATTTTTGAAAGAAATCAGATCTCAAGTATAATCTCATTTTTGGAAAGTAATTTTAAAGTATAGAAGTGGATCGTACAAGGGATTGTAAACATTTATAATTGACAAAATGCTGCTACTTAGTAGGTTTATTGTACAGTTGTTCATCTTTGTAACATTTCTGGCACATTTGAAATGGAACAAAATATTCAATTGCCTGAATCTATAGAGTGGGATTTTATTTTTTTAATTTTATATTTGGTTTGCATATAATATAATTTTAAGAAAATATTTCATGGTAGAAGTATATGTGTTTAGTCACTTTCTGTTGTACCATCATAATATGAAACTTGGCTAGTTCTGCAGTATTTTTTATGCATTTTCTGTCCTGTTAGCATGATGCATTTTGCTTTTATTTGGGGGAAGATTTTGACATAGTTTTCTTCTATCTGTGATTAGTTAAAACCAGTTGTCAACGTGTCAGAAAAGACCTTGTAAATTTTACCAAGTATTCAGTAATCAAGTCCATTGTAACTATAAAAACAGTTCAGGTTCTGTTTTATATTAAAGTTATGAATAATCATCCTTTGTGGGCTTAATAATAATGCTGAATGATAATATTGATTTAATAAAACAGTTGTTGCACAGTAGTATTATTATATTGCTTCCAGTTTTATACTTCTGTGACTGTTCATTTTGCTTTCATTTTTCTACTTACTAAGATTTTTCCAGTGTCAGTTCAGAGACACATGCTGTTGAGAATGTGATTATAGTGACTGTGGGTGATCTGTCACTTCTGTAACTCTTGCTATGCTGGGGTTGTGCTGTATCATTTGTGATTCTGTTTGGTTGGTAAAACTGTCCCATTGCATCCTTCATTTCCCCTTTGAGGCATCATTTGTGAGTTTCATTAAAATATATGTGTGTGTGTTATGACAATTCTGCCTCTTTCAACATCTGCCAATGGTGGGCAGTACAACCAAAATGTGCTGTTTAGGAAAGGGTCTTAAATTAATCTTTGGCTTCATTCTCTGAGTTGATAGCTTTTAACAACATAGTCACTCTCAAATATCCATTTTGCATATGTAAAATTTTACACTACATTTTCAGAGCTGGGAAAAAAAATGACCAGTGGTGTACAGCCTGGAGAATCTATTAAATCTATTTTATTAACCATTGCCTAAGAACCTCTACTTTTTAAATGATAAGGTGACAAAAATATGAAGACCTGTATTGTCAGATCTTATGGCTACACATTCTTATTTGTGAGTTCTGTAATCAGGTGCTGAACAAAAAATTCATTGTTTTGAGAGGAATTCCCGTGTTTAACTTTTCTGAGTTAACAGGAGAAAGCAGAAAAAATCTCCGCCTAAAATCAACCCAAAAGATGCTCCAGAAGGCTGTCTCAGCTTACTTCACATTATCATGCATGATGATGAGAATTAATACCTATTCAGTTGTTTCAAAGTATTTTGTCAGTGTGCATGCATATATATATATATGTATGCATAAAATGTGGCCTTAATTTTTATAAAAGCTTGGCTTGTTACTAAAGCCAAATATGGATTAAGCAGTGTTTAAACTACTTTGATTTATGATTTTTCCATCTCCTTGATGCAGTTTTCCATTGTCTTCCTGACTGCTGTTCAGATACTCTTGGATGATGATGAATATCCCCCATTCCATTAAGGAAAACGCTGCTGTAGCCAGTCCTGGGCTGGGCAGCTCTGTGGATGCCCTCCTAAGTAGCTTAAAAAGGCCAAATGAATTTTACCTTTGACCTGCAGCAGGTTTGAACATGGTCTCACAGAGGTGAAGGGTTAATGCCTCAGAGTCCTGTTCCTCATACTCCTGGAGTGGTAAAAAGATACTGAAACACTGAAAAGACAAGAGCATTTCACATAAAAATTACTGTAAGGATGCAGTTTGCTCCTTTTTCCCATGGAGATGGATTAGTAATGCTCAGGTTCTTTGTGGCTGATCTCTTGAGGTCAGTGCATCTCTCTGTTATCTCAGTACTCTAATAATACTGTGACATTTTTCAATTCCAAGAAAAGTCTCTTTGGTTTGAGTGCCATATCTTGGATTTTTCCAGGTAGAATCCCTTTCCAGCTTTGTATTTTGCACATTTTCTGGTAAATTCTTATATAGTCCTTACCCTGTGGTTAAAAAATTATTTTGACTTCTCAGTAGACCTGCACTACTTCCCTTCTCCTAATTTCATACAGTAAATACATAACAATCATGAAAATATTTCATGGTACTGCTTCTAGCTAATAGCATGAGTTTCTAGTTAGCTACATGTGGCTCTTTCAGTAAAATAGTGAGATTTTGCCTAGCAATACTAAACTGATAAAAATTAATTTGAAAACTCCTCACACCACCCTTTGACCACCACTCCCCCTTTCCCCCTAAAAAACCCAAACAAAAAAATCAGATCACTTTTCCCCAGCAACTTATGTGCTTCTGCAGTGGGCAACATCTGAAAGAAGTAAAGCAATTTTCAAAACCCTAACAGGAAGGAAGGAAGATCAGAGCCAGTAAAGTGGGAGAATTCCATTTCATTTTGGTTCTGAAGCAAGAAATGGAAATTATGTTTTAAGCTTCAATGCTTGACTTGGAAAATCAGATTTCTTTCCTGTCCTGATAATCTAGTCTCTGAAGTCAAAACTCTCATAAAATAAATGAGACTTTACTATGCCTTGAGTTATTGTTTCAGTGTCTAGATGCAGACTAAGGCAAGTGTTCACATCATTTAAAAAGATGAAAAATTTGATTTCTAATGAATATGAGATCTCATACTGAGATGAGAGCCATTAATATTTGGGGATGAGTTAAGGAAAGGAGGACAGATGTTTTAGTGAATGGTGAAGCTAATAGGAAAAAAAATTGAGTTAAAAATAAATAGGAAACAGGCTTCAAGAAAACAATTCAAGTAATACTTGTTTAATATTGCTCTTAAAGTAATTCAGCTGTTGGCTTTTTCCATATGTTTTCATTGTGTATAGTTGTATCATTTTGGGTTTATGACTTTAGGAGACAAACAAATATCACTATTCTATTCATTTGAACTGTGCAGCTGAAACTTTCTGCTTTTCCCATTCCTCCATCACGCTCCCTGAATCTATTTATGATATCTTAATTCCCCAAACCTATAGGGATTTGGTGTTCAGACCACCTTTCATGTCTTGAATAATGAAGAACAGGTATTTTCTATTCTGCTTTAGGGTTTTCCAGGTGACTTTGGAAATAGAGGCCCCCCTGGTCCAGATGGAAGTCCTGTAAGTATTGAATTGTATGTTAATTAACATGATAAAATTTGTAAAACTCAATATTAACTCCCCTTCAAAATTAAAGAGACTTTTGCCTCAAAAGAAATGTATTGAAGTCGACAGGAAAATTTTGGACTCTCAACTTTCCTATGGAAGCTACTAGGAAACCACTATAATAAGTATAAAAAAGAGGAAGAAAATATTCAGAAAGCTGCTGGAAGAACACATTTTCCACTGATGCATGTGCTGACTGCCTGGAGAATCAGATCTCTCACTGTCCTCACTGCATTACTGATGAATGTTCTGTCTTCAAAACTTGCATTAGATATGACTTTGTGTTGTTTGTTTAAACCATTATTCTAAGATCCCCTTAACAAAATAGGATTCTGCCTGAATGTAAAACCCCAGCTTTTTGTGTGCTTGTGCATTTGATAGCTGATTTCATCCTTTGAACTGGTACTGAACAGGATGATGGCAGCATGTCATTTGGAGCATTGTAATCAGTGTGATAACAGCTTTGTCCTTGGCAGTGTGAGCCCTTGCAGTGCTGTGCTCAGCCTGTGGCACAGGCACTTCCCAGGCTGCCCTCAAAGGAGCTTTGCTGTCTTGCTCTATTTGTAGGGAAACTCTGGCTGCAGGCTCCAAACTCAGGTTTCCTTTGGTGTCAGAAACCAGTGAAAGGCTTTGGGCAAGAGAAGAGAGCAGCAATAAGTGCTGGGTAAAAGAGCAGCTGATTTAAATCATCTTGCATTGTTGGATGTTCTTTTGGAAACCACTATGAGTTTGTGTCTAAAGATTTTTCTGATATGGAACAGAGTCATCAACTAGACAGAGTTTCTCTATTTTTTGAAAGTCTGCATTGACACCCATCTTAGAAACTTGTTTTAGAAAGCTTACATGAATTTTGCTGGTGGGTTGTCAATGTTTGGTATCAACATTTTGGAGCACAGGAAAAAAATTATTATGCATTTCTGGTCCCTAAGGCAAAGCTTCCCTTGTTGGAATGTCAGGTGATATCAGTATGGTTTTCATCTTGAAAACCCACTGAGGGGTTGAGTGTCACCAACTGCTTTGCAAATTATATTAAAAGGTGAGTTCTGCCTTCCCCTCCTCGTACTCCCAAGTCTCTCTCCATTCCTGATAAAGCAGACATTGTCTTTCCACCAGATCTGCAGAACAGTACTTTAATAGAAACAAGCTCAGAAAGCCTGGATCTGAAATTACAGACTTGCACGTTACAAAGAAGCCTGTTCTACTGCAAGCATTTGCAAACAACTTCCATCTAATCTGCCAAGACAGCTGCTGATCTTACTGCCTCCTTTGACAGCAGCAGCCCCTCTCCTCCCCAAAGCTCTCCCTGCAGGGCTTGTTCAGGCAAGGGGCCAGTGCTGCAGCTGCAGGGGCTGCAGAGCTCATGGCACACTTAGAGGGCTAGTGGCACACTTACAGAGCTCATGGCACACTTACAGAGCTAGTGGCACACTTAGAGGGCTCATGGCACACTTACAGAGCTCTCTGGGAGCTGGCACTGCAGACCTGGGGCTGCCTGGGATGCCTGTGGCAGTAGGAACTTGAAGGGAAGACTTTTCTTCCCGTGTGCTGACTTGACACTAATGACATTTGTCTCCATGCCTGATTTCTTCTGCTTAACTGACTAATGGCATCCTTCATTTCCACAACACCCTCTCAATTCTCTGAGGATGTCATTCCTCCTTGGAGGATGTTGCTGGAGCATTCACCTTCCCCTGTGGGTAGTTCAGAGCAGGTTGGAGAAGGTGTGTAGGCACCTGAGGAGGGAGGAGAGCACAAAGGTGTCCCCTGTGCCACGTCCAGCAGCCAAGCCCAGTTGGACACTCTCAGAATGGGCTGAGATTTGCTTGTATAAAACTTCCCCTTCCCTGTGGGTGCCAAGAGGCTGCAGTGGAGCCTGTGTGTGTTATCCACTGAGCCCAGGTCGCAGGTGCTGGGACAGCTTGCATGAGCCATGGTGACCTGCAGGGCTGCAATGCCTGTTTCACGTGGGGCAAAGAGACTTAGCAGCTGTTTTCAGCAGTGTATTAACCTCTTCTGAGTTAAACTGTGCCAGAGGCAGTCGTGGAGTACCACTGAATTCTTAACTTCTGTATGGAGTGCAAATACCATAGTTTGTATCAAGAAATAATTTTTCATAAGGAGAGTATAGCCTTTAACTTGTAGAGGTCTTTCTACAAACTGAGATGGTGTTCTTATTTATTTTTTGAAGTAATCTTAATAAATTTGTTTCTCACCCTCGAAAAATTGTTTTTTCTTCCTTCCACTTTAAGTATCATGGTAAAAAAAATCTCATATTGCTACATTAACAGCAGAAATGTTCCCATGATGCAAATATTTGGTTATCTAATTCCACAATCCAGGGATTTCTCTGTACAGTGATAAGCTGTCACTCTTTGGAAACTCTGTAAAAGTCAAAACTGACTTGCTTTGTAGATAATTTTTATCTTATCATTGGGATATTTTTTTTAATTGTAAAATTCAGGTAATCTAAGATAAACTTTCTTTAAAGGGAATTGTTGGTGGTGTTGGTCCTCCTGGATTTCCAGGACTAAGAGTGAGTATACTTTATTATGTACTTTAATATGGCTGCATTAGATCATTTGTCTTGTGTGTTTGTGAAATAATAAAAACAATTATGAAAATTCAAGGATTTAAACAGCTTTTGTTTTAGATAGCCATGATTTTAAATAATATCACTCTACAGCTGCTATCATGTTGGCAGCATGGAGCATTTCTATACTTGGGGTAGATTTGTATGCTTGTTTCTAATCCAGTGTGTTTGGGTTTTTTCTTTGAAATGACCAAGTTTGCTAGTTTATAGCACTAAGGCCAGTGTGTAAGGTGCAATGGTCTCAAACATTGTAATGACAACAGTCCTCATTGGCTCCTGAATATGGCTACCAAATTCAAAACAGAATTAATTTCTAAGAAAAAATACTTTATCATGTTTACAATATCATAATAATTTTTAAATATATATAGAATAAGGCTGTGATGCTCACTGTGGAGTTGCACATTATCTGGATCTATCAGTTGTGCCAGAGAAGCTCTGTGGGTCCTGCAGAAGGTTGGAAACACTTTCATTCTGAGTAGTCTTGCTTGCTTATTTTTTAAATTCATGTATTTACTCATAGAGGATCTCTGATTCTTGATCTTGTCTCAGTCATGTCTGGCTACACAGCCACATTCTTAACAAGGGAGGAATAGCAAGTGTTTACACTTGAAAGCCATGATTGTCTCCAGTGTTTGCTTTGTGGGTTTTTTTGATATCTACAGATCTGAAACATTCTTGATAAGTTTGTACTTTACACTGATGGTCATCTTACTTTTCCTTTGAAGCACAACAGTTGAGTTCAGTTGTTACTCTTTCTAATTATATGTTCATAACAAAAAAAGTTCTTGTATGTCATCTCTTGCTGCCTGATTAGGATTGTTATGGCATTGCTATAGTGAAAACAAAAGCTGGGTCAAGAAACCTCTGTAGCTTCCAGCCTTCCTCATGCAAACATGATTTTCTGAGTTCTTGTCAGTTGGCACAGTCAGGCCAATTGATGCACTCAGGAGCCTGGAGCTTGCACTCTTGAGAATTTGCTTGGAATTGTGGTTTGCTTTTTTCTTTTACGTGACTGTTTTTGGAATTTAATCTCAAAGACTTTGATAAATTATACAAACGTACCTGAGGTTTTTAAAAAAGACTATTGTGTGTCACTTCCAAAAATATACTGTTACTGATTATTTTGACTAAAACTTAGCAGTTTAGCCCTACCTAGAGTTCATGAGCATAAACGTTTGTAGGATCAGAGCTGCATTTGTCTTCTTGCTGAGTTGCAGTCACTTACAGAGAGATTTTCAATAGTTTTCTTGAAACAGAGAAATAATTTTCAACAACCAGTCCAAAACTTTTGCCACTTATACATAGTTGGAATATAAACATAATGAGAGCTGTTTCTTGGGAAAAAAAACAAACTTGGTGGCATGTTTAGATTTTGAACAGTAGGAAATTAACAATTGTTTAGTGTGAGCTCCATTTGAGTGTCCTTCTCTTGTTTATTTGTGGGACTCTCACATGGTTCCAGCAACATCACATTGGTTAGTCTGGCTTCCTCTTTCTCAGTCAGAGAATGGGAAGAGCTGTGCTTTGTTCTAGAGTTTCTTTACAAGGGACCACTACACCCTTCAGTCTGTAGCAGAATTTCCCCAAGGCCCTGGGGGAGTTCCAGGTGGCCCCAGCGTCCCCAGGCTGGTGCAGCTCTGCTCCTCTTCCTCCAAATGGCTCTGTGCTCCCTGGGCTCTGCTTCCTCTTGTCCAGGCAGATGCTAATGCTCATCCAAATCTGAGTAAAGAGCTACAGTCCTCAATGTTTGCTTTAAAATACTTAGTCAGCCATAACACATTATACTACTACAAGATGCAATATTCAACATGGGATTAAATATCTTTTTCTGGCAGAAACCAAGAGCATTAATTCAAGTAGCTTGTCCAGCCCAGCTGTGTGCAGTGTCAAGAGTTAGTTATATTTTTGTCTTTGTTCATGAGACCAATGGCAAAACGAGCAGCATCAGCAAGCTGAGGCCAGTGATTCCTTCCATCCATGAGTTTTTTCAATCTACAAAGCTGTTGCCCAGTTCAGAGTTCTGACTGAGTGAACAGTCAGTCTTTCAAGAGTTAGCAAGGCCATGAGTTTTAATAAGATGAAGAGTTTCAGAAAATTTATTGCTAAATACCCAAACTAGTTTTTATTTTTAATTTTAATTTTTTTCCTTTTAAAAACCCCACTTAATACTAGGGAAACATTTGTTTTCCTTTTCTGGTATTTTGTCTTTTTGCCTGGAAAAGGCAATTAGGTTTTAGTTTCACTTGTCACATAGAAATGTTGGAAAAGGTGCTTTTTGTAGCTGCAGGTTTAATTGATCAGCAAGTTTTATCCAAAGTGATAAGTGTATGTTAACCTATAGCAAGGCTGTTGTAGGTGAAGAATGATTTAAAAGCCTGACAGATTGACTAATGCAATACTTTTTCAGTTTTATTCTTGTGTAGTTCCAGTTCTTTGTGGTTAATTAAGTAATTCAGTGTATCTGAAGGCTGTGACAGGTGTTTAATGAACCTGAATGTTGTAAAGCTGTTTTAGAATTTCTTCCCATTGCTGTTGTAAGCTAAATTTCCCAGCTCAGTATCCCTCTGTGATTTTCCAATCAATGCTATTGTTACCATAAATGTGCATTTAAACATTCAGTATCATGAATACATAAATGCCTTGCTCAACTAGAATATGTAGTGCAACTCAGAGACAGCAACATAAACAATTTACTTGATCAGCTAGCCTGACAGAATGTATCATTGGAGCAGTCATGGAAAGCTAAAGCAATGTAGAGTGGCAATTTTGTTGGGAGCTCTACCAAGCTCCATTAAGACACCAATGATTGGTCCTGCTTTTCCTTCACTGAGCCATAAGTCTGATGGTGGCCACAGAGGAATGTGGTTGCTAGCATTGCAGAAAGAGAGTAATGAATGTGTGCTCAAGTGGAAATGCACAGATGTCCATGTCTTCTTTTCCATATTGCTCTCAGCAAGTGGCAAAATATTTCTTTATTCATATGTGTTGTTACATTCTTTCATAGCCATAGAGAGATAACATTGCCTTTTGGGGTTTTTTCCCCCCAAGATTGAAGTCAATAGACTTCTCCCTTTGTAATACAGTTTTAACTATTCTACGTCAGGTCTTACATTTAGCTTATGCTTTTTCATTAATATTATTTCATTATATTATTACTGTGCCAGTCTTTAAAGATTCTAAAATTTTGTGATTCACTTTTTTATTTCCCCTGTCATAAAACTGCCTAAATAAACCCCAGGAAGAAGAGTTGTAGTAAGGACTCTGAAGGTACATTAGAAAAGGTTAGCTTGCCCTCGGAACATAGGTTTGATTCTGCACACTTGGTATTTGGAGTCACATCTCTTTTTCTTTTTTTTTTTTCTTTATTTTAACTCGTAGAAGTCATTGATAGTTGAGAAATTGAGTAAAAGTACCATTTAAACGGCCCCTTTTAAGGCTCTACTTATCACAGAATAATTTCTTCAAGCCAAATTTGATGCCTACAGGGAAGTGCTGTTACATAACCCTAAGGACAGCAGCAATGGCCACTGAACGTGCAGTACAAAAGAAATCTGCCTTAATTTGCATTGCCTAATGCACTGTGATGTCTTGAATTTTTAATCTGGTGGAAAAGACGCAAGTTTTGTTTCTCATGTTTCTGCTGATGATGTTGGGAACTGCAAACATGGGGGACTTATGATACCCACATCTTTTTTTTTCCCCTGAGAGATAAACTTAAAAAAATATTTTGGTTTCTCTCTGTGGTGCAGAAAAATGACACATTCTGTTAGGAGTCTTTAAGTTACTCCATTTCACCAAATGCAGTCACCTTTCTTGCTGTTTGACAGGGAGACATTGGGCCAGCAGGACCAAGTGGACCATCAGGAATTCCAGGGCCCACGGTATGGAATTGAATCATCCCACAGCCAGGTGCCTACACTGCTTTCCAAATTATAGCCAAGCATTGGATTTATGTTTTCTTTATTTTTACAGGGTTTCCCGGGGAGTATGGGACAGTCTGGAATGAAAGGTGATAAGGTGATTTAAATATTTTCATTATCTTGGAGATTTATAGTTCTTTCAGGCACCCTTCATTAAAACTTGAGCATAATGTACTTGGCAAAGCCTTCCCTTTTTCCTTTTGATTTTTTTGTCTTCTGACTTTTATTTTTTAAAATTATGTCAGACTCATGATCTGAGTCTGACAAAAGTTTAGACGAACCTTTTTCTGAACAGAACACTAACTACTGAACATAATAATATCCAGGTCTGTGTCTATAATTTTTCCTGGAAGCAGTATTTCAATGCAAAGATCTGTGTTAACTTTAAACAGTGAATATTGAATTCATGTTTCTCATTCTCTATTTCTGAAAAATACCTCATTTTAAGCCACATACATATGTCTGTATAAAATTATATGTTGTTTAGGGTGAAAATGGCCTTGCAGGAGAGCCAGGAGATCAAGGGTACCCAGGAGACAAGGTAAGTTATAATTGCATTGTTTCACAAAATTATCCAATTTCAGCAACTTAATCTTAAGTGTCTAAAATGCAGCAGGTTGCATAAAAGTAGAATGCAGTAGTAAAACTTTCTGGATATCACTGAATTAATGTATTTTTAAGAAAATCTGTGCTAATTAAAACTCAGTTATGGAAAGTGTGAACAAAGACAAGTAAAGGGCACAGGCAGAATTCTGGAGCTGTGTATCTAGAGATGCATCAAACAAGGATTACAGTGTGATCTCAGCCTTTCTAAGGAGCTGTTGTAAAAGATATTTCTCCCCCTGACCCTTGAGGTTCATCTGCAGCTCACCTGGACCTGCTGTGGTTAGCAGCAGCCCTCGGTCTGGCATGCTTATTCACATCAGCAGACTGAGATAAATAAGGATCTTCTTTCCTGTTTGGCTAGTACATCAGAAGTCACTGAAATAGCACATCCTGTGAGAACTCTTTTGATGAAAGTTGAATGTTAGGAGATAGTTTTCAACCTGCAGAATTCTTTTGAAGCCTGTTTCAGGTGTCAAAATATAGAAATTTATTGTTTCCAACATATAACACAACAGTTCATTTTCATGTGTATTTAATAGCTTTCTTTTTTCAGGGTTCTCTTGGTTTACCAGGACCCCCAGGGATCAGAGGAAAACCAGGACCTCCAGTAAGTTTACACATCAAATGTTGCTCTCAGTATATCACTGTATGTTGTTGATACTTGATATTTTATACTACTGTTGATATTTGACACTTCTGTGTGATTGTTATGTTTACAGTGCATGTAATCCCTTAGAAGTGACCTAATTCAAAATGCACAAAGAATAAGGTCTAAGAAATAAGGCTTATATTTCTAGTGACTGCTGTTAATGAGCAAGTCAAATCCTAAAATTTATTACAACGATCAGTATATGTGTCAAATTTTAATAGAGTGTTTAGGATATTAGATATTCTGTGGCAATCACTGTGTGGACATGTAGGTAATATTTGAAACAAATCCACTGAGAGCTTTGGGAACTTCCAGATGACCAGTTGGACTAGCTGGATTTAGAGGGAATGTGTGAGATCTCATTATTAATGGCCAGTCATTTCTCCCAGGGATGGGAGTAGTCATGAATTCCTGTTTTTATTGATTTTAGCAGTTTTAAAGGCATCTGTGCACTGCTGCCACTTCTGCTGGGTTTTTAAATATTGAGGCAGAAAAGGCATACTGCATAGGGTTACCTGGCTTTTCCTCACCTTTTCTTAGTGCTAATATCTGTCTCTTTTCAAAATATAATTAAAAGCTGCCAATACTCACTCCAGTGTCAATTTTCTTATGTGCAATCAAGCCAATAACTGGTAAACCTACATAGACCTCATGAATATCATGGGCTCTTAAATTCAATAACAGACACTTTCCTTGCCCCATAGAATTTCTAGTATAAGCAGTAATCCTGCAATAAACTTAGGCAAATTTGCTTAAGCTTAGATGGGAAAAATCATATTTTTTACTTTTAAAGGCACAAGAATTTTCATTTTAAGATAAGCATGTGAATCAGCCTATTCCTGAGAGAGTTGTGGATTTTAAGCACAAGATGAATGTGACCAACCTGGTGACTTATGTTAAATTAAGCTATGAGACCTCAGTTCTGCAAGTAATCGAAATTTAACTTTGTAGAATAGATTTCCAATGAAGTAATTCATGTTAAAAGTTAGAGAAATGTTTCCCAGGTCAGACCTTAACTTTGCTCAAGTGACATCTAGTTATGGTGGCAGAAAGCTTGTGAAAATGTGTAAGAACAGATATAACTTAGAGAAATATTTTGGCCCATTTTTACATGGGTTGAAATTTGTATATAATGGAGTTACCATTACATGTGGATAGGACCTAATTTTGTTATTAACCACAAAACTGCCATTTCTTTGTCTATGATTAGCTACTTGAAATATATAAGTAAGTGTATAAACCAATGTCTCTAACAGTTACTTTCTGGTCATTTAAATAACATGTAGTTTTTATTGTGAAAACAGGTATACAGGTATAACAGGTATATTTAAAGGAGTTTTTATATGGTTCCTCCCAAATCTCCCATTTTCCTCTGTCCTAAACTAATCAGAATTTTTTTGTGTGTGTGACTTGAAGAGATCTGAAGAACTGGTTTTAATAGTGTCCAAAGTGAGGCAGGTATAAAATTTCCTATTTAGTGAAAAAGTAATCTCAACATTTCTTTTTGTTTATAAATGTTTTTAAAATCTTCATAACCATCTGTTGTTAAAATTAAATTATCATCAGAAATCTTAACTGTGGATTTTTTTTCAAGGGGAAAATTGGAGAACCTGGACCCCATGGACCATTGGGTCCTCAGGGACCTGAGGTAAGAAATTGCTTGCTAGCTGTAAATTGAATGTCAGTTCTAAATTATGAAAATAAGAGGTAAGTGGGTTTGCTTCATAAAAGACTGTTTTCTTAGTTGAATTAGGAAAATCTTTTTGTTCTGTATATTTGATGAATTCTTTCTCCTTCATGAGCTACAAAAGATTCCAGCTCATAATTTTTTCCTGCAAAATATTTATGTACAGGATCTTTGAATACAAAGTAGTTTCTTTATTTGCTTATGTGATTACGATTTTTTGTCTCTTAAATCCTGTTGTTATGGGATACACCTGGAATGAGACTCGAGTGATTTCTGAGGAACACTTCCATTTGCAAATGCTGAAACATGTTTATAAATGTGAACTTCCATTTGCCAGGCCTGGTTGCATATTTACCACTTACAAGAAACACAAAGAATGAACACCAATTACCTGGGAAGCATTGCCAAGCAGTTGAATCTAGAAGTGAAGTTTCCTAGGAACTCCTTAGTGCTATGCAATTCTATACAGAAACTGTCAGTCTCCAAATTGTCCCATTTTAGTGCTTTTTTGCATTTATACCACAGGCTTTAAGGAAAAATCCTGTGGTCTGTATCAGAAAGACATCTTTATACACAGACACGTGCATTTTCTGGAGAGATGAAAGCAGAAATTTTGGATTGTTCTTTCTAACCAGCCTCCTGCAATGAATGTATTTTGGGTTTTGTTTGGTTTGTGGTGAAGTTTGTTTGTTTGTTTTTAAAAAAATGAGTGGAAGACATACTAGCAATGATCTTTTCTCTGCCTTTACATGAGCATATCTCCTCAAACCAAGGCTCTGTGTTCCTACCATTTTTATTAGGCAAAAGCCCTTGCTGAGAGAACTTATTGGAGAATAGCACTGTAGCAACACGAGGTGGTCTTGTCAGAATAATAAACCTCTCTGGTTTAGTCAAAAGGTGCAGAAGACACAAAGCCTGTGCATGTTGCCACAGCTGCCACCTTCTGTGGCTCAGGATTTCAGATTTTTGAGCCTCTTCACTGTTAACAAGAGTCCCTTGCATGGTCTCTTTGCCCAGCTTCCAGCAAGGCAGACCTGAGGCAGGTTAATCCCAAATTGTTGTCTCCAGGCCTGTGTCCTGCTGCCTGTGCTCTTCATTGTTCCTTATTCCAGCACAGACCTGCTCCTCTTTTGTGTCTGGAAAAAAGATCATTGTTCTGGGCTGGTTACCCTCAGGGCAGGTATGGATGGGAATCTTTCTGTCTGAAAAACTCACCATTTCCCCTTGCTCAGGAGCGCAGAATTACTTCATCATTAGAAGACAAATAAAGTGCATGATGCTAGATGATTAAAACTTGAGTGACCAGATACTTTTTTTGAGTAATTGTCTGCAAAATGGCAGGTTTAAAACTGCAAAGCAATGTTTCTCTTAACTTCAATCATGCAAGACAGGTCCAAATAAAGTAAAATAGGTTTTTTCCACCTTTTAACTTCATAAAAATATGGTCACCATATGGCAAAATAGAAACAGAAGGGATGTAGGATAGCTACTTACTGGGATTTTGGACAAATTGAAGATACTATAAGTTCTATAATAAAAGGAATTTAAAATAAGTAGCGTAAAACTGAAGAGTATATGTTGCCCTCTTGTTACATTGTCTTATCAAAATAAGCTAGTTGTTCCCAGAAGTTATTTAGACACAACTGAATATATGAAGTATGAGCAAATAATGTAGATTTTTCCATAAGAAAAGCCTACTGTCATATGTCTGATCATGTCTCTTCCAAAACCAGACAGCTAGCAGGTCAGACAGGCTGCTTCCCTTGTTCCTGTTTCATTACCTGAATGGTCAGACTTCCTGTGACCCCATGTAGAAAACATGCATTATATTGTATACTAAATGTTTCCTTGATTTTTCTGGAAATAGAAGGATATGATGAATTAGTGTCTTACAAGGGGAATACTTTGAATTTGGTATAGATGTGACAATCCATACCATATGCCTTCTATGAGAGATTTTATTTTAAAAAACCCCAAACCCAAACCTATATTGGATTTGTTGGACTTTGCTGTGAGCAGGAGGAACAAGGCTGTGTCTGCCCAGGCAGGACCTCTCAGACTCTACTTCCAGCTACTTCTCTCTTCTTTCTTTCAACATTTAAGACAGTGGGATTTATAAATGTGCCCTGTACCCATTTGTTTTGGGTACATGTGAAATAAGAAACTGGGGATCCTTTGATCTTTCCAGTTACACATTTGAGTGTTTCATTTCCAGTGTAAAGAATAAGTAGTTCTATCCCTGATTTTCTTCCCTTGTAAACTGCTGTAACTCGGGCACTTACAGCAGCTGGAGTCTGTAATATCTCTGCACACAGCCGTGGGAGCAGGGCAGGCAGACTCTGATCATCCTCACGGGGTTTTGTGGTTTAAATGCAGATCACCAGGGAATTGCTTCCTAAATCTTTCCTCTGCAGCTGTGCAGCCAAGGTGCCCCAGGTCAGAGTTGAGATAAGCCATCCCCCTATGGGCAAGGGTCCATTTGAGACCTGCAGTGCTGATGGCAGGAGCAGGCAGAGGCAGCGACAGAGCTCTCACTCTGCACAAGGGTTGGCTGCCAAGTGATTTTTTCAGTGCAGGAGTCCAGCAGAGTCGAGCCAAATTCTCTACTGGGTATGTTCCTGCAGAGCCAGGGTCTGTCGTGTGCCTGAATGCCTGCTGCTCGCTGGATGTACTCAGTGAACACTTTATGGAGTGTATTCTTCATCACCTCACACATTGGGCTGCTTTATCATGCATCTGAAAATGAACCACCGAAATATGAAATTTCTGTAGAGCTTTGTTTTATTAGTATTACATCTGGAAAGTGCTGATCTGACTGTTTTAACCCACAGTGTCTCTGTTTACTGTGTACAATGAAGTATGCAGTGCTTGTTGTTTATGTGAATGAAATTAGGCAAGCCTTTAACAGGCTTCCACATGTATTCAGAATATTTTATAGTTAAATTTTGCTCTAGGAATTGCATTTAATTATTCCCCCAAAATGAAGGTGATAGTTCCCTTCAGATGTGTCTTCAGAGTGTTATAAATAGGTTTCATCAGAAGCAGAGAGAATTAGTCATTATCTTCAATGGAACATTTGTCATGTGTGCAGTATTTTGATCTGAAGTCATTAGCTTATTCCTTCAGGAAGGTACTTGCATGGGATTCAGCTGCTGTGCTTCATGCTCAAGGCATGAGACTTTACAAAAGAAAAAAAAGCATTCAAATAACAGTAAAGAGTCAAAAAGGCACACATTTTGTAAGTGAATCAGTGGCTGCTTTGAGGTGTTCATTTAACAAAATCTTTATTTTTGGTGCATGTTTCACATGCATTATCACATGATTTTTTGAGTTTTTGCAAACAATGCCAAGTGTGCAGTGATAATAGAGCTGTCTGTTTCAATATTGCATCAAATAACTTACATGCAAATGATTTGTAGGAAATATAGAAATAAAGATGATTTAAAGGCTGAATTAATTGCGTGTTCTGGCATATATCTGAGGAACTGCTGTTGTTGCAGATTTGCTTATACTCTCTACTTGCCTTTGCACAGAATCTTCATCCTGTCCTTTCCCAAACTTCTATGTCTGCATAATACATCCTTTCAGAAGAATAATAAACACTTATTGGAGAATTGTAGCTTTTTGCAGAAACATTCCTTTTGTGATTTGATTATAATAATTATTAATGAATCTCTAATAAGTTATCTTGTTGAAGTTCAGTAGCTACATCCAGTCAGTCTTGCTTCTGAAAATTTATTCTAAATTCTCATTGAAATGAATTGCAACCTGTGGTTGAATGAACTCCTATTGGAGCAGGGAAACCTGGAACTGAAGGAACTGCTGCAGTCCCTGGGTGGATTTTCCCTCCATGTGCCCTTCCACCAGTGCTTGTCCTGATCCCTTGGGCAGCCAAGGGCATGAAAATGGGCGGCCAGTGATGCTGGCAAATGTCATGTGAAAACAGTTGAAGTGGGATTCTGCAAATGTGAGAGAATTCCCCATGGAAATGGAGTGTAATGTCTCAGTATTTCTGATATTCTGCTTCCATATTAGCACTCACACAGAAAAACAAAAAAAGCAAAACCTTTGGCAGGATGCTCATCTCTGGGGTGCTGAGATATGCCCTAATATATACACCCTAACAATGGGTCATCTCTGCAATTTTTAAAACATTAAACATTTTATAGATGAGAGCAATAAGTTAATTTTATATTTAAGTGTTCACTACAAAAAGCAACACTTCCACAGCAAGGTTAAAGCACATTTCTGTTAAGATAGTTGGCACTTCAGGTTTTGCTGATGCCACATTTCTTTTGACTGATGCCATATTTCTTTTCATTAAATGAAGTGGATTCTAAAGTGCTTTGCTGGCAAAAGATCACATCTGTAGCAAGATTTTGAAAATAATTTGTATCCTACCAGCTGCTGGGCTTCTGGCTGATGGAAATTAAGATTCTGCATTTCCTTAGAAGAAGTCTTAATACTGTGGGCTGTTTTGTTTTGAATAGTCTCTGCTGAAATCTACATTGCAGCTGGAAACTATATATTAATCTCCTGGCCTTTCACTTATGGAAGAATGCATTTTTAATCTGGAGTAACTTCCCAGGGAGCTGGCTGCTGAATAACTCATGGAAATTTAGGTATTGCTAGAGATATACTCCACTTCACTACAAGGAATCTGAATGGAAGCACCATTGCTGAGGTGTTTCAAGAGCTCCTTCCTCCAAGAGTCCATTCTTTTTCTGGAATTGTTTAAAGTGGCTGTTTGTGTCCTGGATTATTGCATTTATTTCATGGATTTTTAATGTGAGAACATCTTAGAAGCAGTGTTCTAATGCTGCCATAGCATCTGCCTTTTCTCCATTAATTCATCTTCTTAATTCATCTTCACAGAAAAAATAAAAAATTTTGAGGATTTAAATTTTTTAAATGCATTCTTTAGTGTTGATGTTCTCAGGCCAGTAATGCTCTTGTATCCTAAGACTTTGCCTGACATGAAAAGATTTCAAACTACCATATTAATTCTATCTGCAATGGTATTTCTCCACATCTACATCTCATGGTTCTTACTGAATTCCCTCTAAAACTAAATAAATAAATAAATAAATTAGATCTATTCCTTTATAATCTTTCTAAATTAACATTTTTCTAGGCAGATTGTTTTCTGGAATGTTCATTGCCAAAAGGAAGTTATCTGTGTCAGCATTTAGGACTTGTTCACACATTAGAAACAAAGATTTACAGATATATTAAACAACTCACCCCTTGGTAACTACTTAAGGTCTATAAATAAGTAAATTTAAAATTAAGAAAGGACAAGCTAAAAAATTCCAAGTAATTGACCTAACTCTTCAGTGTATTTCAGTAGGTATTGGTGGCCAGGATTACAAAAAAAAAAACCAAACTCCTCTTTTGAGCTGCATAGAAATCAAGGGTGGTGCAAGTGAGTGTTTTAGGTGTGAGTCCCAGGGCCTTGGTCACATGTGAATAATATTCTCTGTGCCACCTAGAGGCATGTTGGAATTGTTGCACAGCTCTGCTTGCAGTTGCTGCTTTATGGCAAAAGAAAGGGAAACAAACCACTGTGATGTATTATGAAATGTTGAGTGCTGGAGTTGTTGCCCATCTTCTGAAGACTCAGACCATTTTTACTCTTTAGTGGCTTTCTTTTCGACTCATTAGCATCCGAGTGCTAAACCTGATTAATAAAAATTTCTTCTGTGTATGTGCTTTTTGTTTCCATTATTGGAACAAGTATGCACACATTTTAATCTGTAATGATTTTCTCTTAATGAAGAAGGAAACTTGTTTTTCCTGGTGTTAGACCGTGGGTTTGCTTTGATGTAGTAATAAATATTTTGCTCAGAGGAAGTGGCAGTTTTGCTGTTTTCAGGTGGTCAAACTTTAATGAAATGTGAAAGTTTATTAAAAAATCAAAATCAAATGCTATCTTGGCAGGGGACTGAATGAGCAGTGTGGTAACTAAAGGGTCAATTACCACCGTTTTATTTTATCCTAAAAATGTAAAGATCATATATCATCTCCGGATATTTATGAAATTTAACTCACTACTGTATTGCATAAAGGTTAACTGCACCGGTTTTTTTCCCCTTAAAATATATTCATTTCTTCTAAAGCCATGTAGCTGTAGCTGAATTCCTGGGACACAGAGGCCTCCCCATGGTGTCCCAACTCAGTGCCCACTGGCCAGGTGGTTTGCAGTGATAATTTTAGTTGGTTCCTTTTCTGTGCAGATTTACTTTTTCTTTACTAACAGTTTCACCTATACTAGAGTCTGTTTCACAAACCTGCTGTGAATAATGCTGCATGCTGGTGTGACCTTTGGGTAGTGCCAGCCTGACCTGCATTATCACCTGCTGATTTGGAGGCAAAAAATTCTTATCCTTTTTCTTAATCTTGCAGTGATCCCGTCCTTAATGTGTGGCCACAGATTAAAGGGACTTCAGTTGCTCTCTAAACTTTATTTAAAAAATAGTCGAATTCCTAAGTGCAGGACCTGGTGCAGGCTGCTTTGTGGTGATTTTTTTGCCTTCAAACCAGTCCAATGGTCTAATTTCAAACATTGCTTAGTGGATAAAAAGTCTTATCCTAAGAGAAATTAAATCCATGCTGACATCTGCTAAATTGAGTTTAACAAAAACTGCCTAAAATCTGTCATTTATCCAAGTCCTTTCAAGGAAACATAATGGATTTTGACATTTTTTGGGATGGTAGAACAAATTTATTTCTTGTCTCTGTGATTCAGGTTTATTAAATGAATGAACAGAATCAAAACAAGTACATTGAAAACATTCCTACTCTGCAAATTATTTGTATGTATGATTTCTTTAGGGTTTTCCTGGAGATATTGGTGTACCTGGATTAAATGGCCCTCAAGGTCCTAAGGTAAGATTATATGAAAACCTATTAAAAAAACCAGTAAATAGTGTTAATCTCTGAGGAAAAGGCTCTGAGAGATGAACACTGGCATTATGAGAAGATAATCTGTCAGAATGCAGGTACTTTGCCTCAGGTATTTATATGAGGAAGTTATTTGAATGTTTAATTCTGTCCACACAATTGTGAAAGTAATTACTGTGTTAGGTGGAAGCAGGTAATGGCAAAAAGTTTGAGAAAATGCTCTGTAGCTAGAAATATCATATGTTTCACCTGTGTTTAAATAGAATGCATGCCAAATGTATGCAGATCTTTGTATTACTCAGGTTCCACGTGTACTAAAAATTGGTTTTAACAATTTTTAAAAGAAATGGGAGTTGAAGATATGGAAAATGTGCAAAGTTCATGTGCCAGATAAAATAATAGATATAACAATAAAGTTTAAAATTTATCTCCAAAACTGCCAGAATAATTTAGCTTTTGCTCTTTAGTAGACTAAGATTTTAGACCCAAATTAGGCAATAATTCACATGGGTAGAGTTTTCAATGAAGTTTTGAATAAAAGCAGATATAGGAAATTTTTGTTGAATTGGAAATGGTAGAGACCAATACAAAAAGTGCAGGTGACTGAGAAATTAACCCAGAGGAAAATGATCGAATAATATCTAAAGATTGACTACTTGTTGAAAGGCAAATACCAGTGAAGTTCCTCACTCATCAGCCTTGGGACTATTCTGACATTGTGTTTTCTGTGGTAAATAGGCACAAGTGTGGCAGAATGAAATCTGTATATGAAACAACTTGAGCATCTTGAGATTATCTTAAAAATGTACTTTTTGCTAATTCATTCCATTTCAGTTACTTCAGACTGATTCATGCAAGGACTAAACCAATAAATCCTATTATAAACTTATTATAAACAAAGACATTGCCAGATCTCTCTGAAATAAAAGCACAATAATGCAGTTAGAAACTGAGTGAAATTGTAGAACACATGAGGCAAGATGTCTCATTAATGCCCCTGCTCAAAGTGTGAGAAGCCTTTATCTCTGTAGTATAGTACATTATTGGGCATTTTTGTCCCAGAAGGATTCCAACAAGTGAGCCTAGAGGCAGAGGTATTACTTGAATGGCTTTATTTTGAGAGATAGTTTGTTTATTAGACCAAAATGAAGGACTTTTTTGACCTTTAAGTGAACCAGAGGGCAGAAACTGATGAGGCAAAAGAGCTGTGCAAAACCAACAATATCATTTACCTAAGATGAATTCATACAGGTTGTCTATGAATAAACAGAAATGGAAATCACATTTTCTGTCAACAGAGTTGTGAAATTCTGTAGCAGGTTACTCAAGAAAACATAGGATGGGGAGCAGTAAATAGTTTAAAGATATGGTCTTATTTGTACCCAGAAGATTGTAACAATACCTCCATGCCAAAGGTGATCATTCTTAAGAACCTCTCAAATAATGCAGCTGCTGAAGCCAGAGCCAATATTTTCTGTATCTCTTATCATTCAACCATGTCAAGAGGCTTTTACTAAAATAGGCATGAATCGACTAGGAAGGCTGATGGGGTAAATTGTGGAGAACTTAAAATGTGTTTCTAGAGGGTGTCCACCTTCAATTCTGATTTATTGCTAACTTGTTTATATGCACATATGCATAACGTGAGCAGCCTTGTATGAATGAGTTTGTCCAACCATTGCAGTGCAGTTGCTCTTGTATTTCTGAGTTACCAAGGTGTTGACAAAAAAAAAAAACCCTGTGGTGATGAAAGACTCTGTCTAGGGTCTAAGGAAAATACCAGAAGAGAAATACAGCAATTCTTGAACTGCAGTTCAGTTTTAATTGTCCAAGGTTATACATGAATGACATAACAGATCTAATCCCTGCTGCTCAGTTTCTTCAGTGAGATCCTGTTATTACACATTAGATCTGAGGAGCTTTTGTTAGAATTCTGTTGATGTGTAATACACACGTTACTGATTTGTTGCCTTTTCACAGATTCCAGAGAAATAAATTAGTAAGAGGTGGACTACAAAGTTTGAAACTCCAAGTTCCTTTGTTACAGAAATTACACAACTGAGCCAGATTTGGTGCTCTCCAGCACATTTGGTATTAGAGACAAAAGGCTTAGACAGCCTGCCCTAGTCAGGGAGAACTGATGGCTTACATTTGAAAAGAGGGATTACCAAACTGGAAAAACTCTTATACTGCTCCCAGTACTGAGGGAGAAGGTCTGCATAACCTTGGAAATGTTTGGCTTTTGGAATTCCCAGCTGCCTTGAGTTGATTTGAGTTGAGTTGGAACTTTCCTCCAGCTTTTATTTTTAGAAAACTTTTCTCACTATGCTGCTATTTTCCTCATGTTTTTGTTTATGCTTCCTCAGAAGCAATACCCATTTTAAAAGCCAAGAAAGTGGGGTAAACTTTATTTTTTAGCAGTTGGTGTGGGATAAATCTAACTCCTTGGAAGTTTAAGCTCTGTTGAGTGTGATCAGCTGTCTCTAAATGCCAGTAGAAGTTCTGGATTGGAAATTTTCTCCCAAATTAATGAAATAATCAGCAAATCTGATCTCTCTAAGTCAATGTTCAAAGGATTTATTATGTAATTTAGTCTACAGAACATTACTCAGTTTGGAAACAATATTTTAGAAAGTGTTTGATCTCTATCCACCACTTATTAAAAAAACCAACAAAACATACATATTTTTAAAAAGGGAATAAGAATGTTTTTAAGAAGTTCTGAAATAACTTTATTCCCTACATTATCCTTTGCAGGTATTTATGCTCTCTAACCAAGAAAAGTGAGAGGAAAAGATGGTCAGGATATGCTGACTACCACTGTAGTTTTTCCAGCAGTGTGTGCTGTACCATGGAAGAAGCTAAGAGCTTCCTTCCCCTGTTAACTTATGTTTGTTTGTATAACACTTTTTAATAAAATGATTATTAGGGCTTCACCTCTTCTGGAAGGCATGGTCAACTAGGAAGGTATATATGTGAAATAGAGGACACCCCATTTGCTGACTCCTGTTTTATCCCAGACACTTTGGCACATGTGTAATGACTCCCTTCATTTTCTGTTTTTGCCTGAAACCCCAAGGAGGAGATGGAAATGTCATTTAGTATTAATATCCCATTTACAGTCTGGAACTCTTTTCTGGATTCAGTGAAGTGCAGTGGAAGGGTTTGTACAGTAGCAGTGCTGCTGCCATTTCCACTGTGCAGTTACATTGCCCTGAAATCCTTATCTCCTCATGGGCTTTGCTGTCAGAATAAAACAACAACGAGAAAATGTCATTGCTAACCATGGAAGAATATTGTTTATATAGAGAAAGCCCTCCTGTCCCTTCTGTGGAGTTTGTCAACCAGCACCACCCCAGTCCTTCCCAGATGGGCTCTTCAGTGAAACTCTCTCCCTTGAGATGGCTGCTCCATTTTTCTCTTCCATTTTACTTTGCCTGCTGAGTAAATTGTTACTGGACCAATGCCTGCACCAATGTCTAGACTTCAGCTTCATTAGTACACAGTTAATAAGGCTTACACTTTCCTACCATTGCTTTCTTCAGAGGATAATCATATCTCTCCTAAAGGGCCGTTTCTTTGTTCTTGTTGCTTTATCTGATATTATTAAGCTTAAGTTTCCCAGAACATTAATATGTTTGCACTTTTTTTTTTGTACTATGCCAGGTCAAGTGCTTTTCCCAATTATCCCATTGTAATTGGGATGCCCAAGGCTTTTGATACATTGCTAGCTGCAAAGTGTTTTTAACAAAGTTTTGAAAATGTTGGTGTGAGCAGTCATGAAAACTCCGAGCTGGCAGAGCCTAAGGTGCTTTATCTCTGGATAGCTGATTATAATCCTAATAGAAAAGGGCTGAAAATCACAAGTAGTTTTGGACAAGCTAGTGGTCTAAATTCACTTTGTAGTTTCTCTCCCTTGCAATGTTGTCAACACATGTTATTCTAAAGACTACCCTAATGCAAGATCTGCACATTGATGATGCTTTAATCTTTATATTGTAGTGGGCTTTGCCTCTTCAAAAAGAGAAAAATTGTTCTAAAATGTTCAAATATTTTCTTATTTGCTTCTCACAACATAAAAAGAATAATGCTTCAGCTAGGTCTATGTAGAAGTTTTTATGTTGCTTGGTTTTCTGCATCTTTGCCTCGCTTTCTATGGGAAATAATATGAACGGTGGTAAGAGATCAGGTCTGCTACCTCAGTTTTGGGTTTTAGTCCAGGTTTGTAAGAGGAGAGAAATTAGAGCAGCATGATTGTCAGTTGATGCAAGTTCTCTCTGTGTTTGTTTGGATGTTTAGGGAGCTCTGGGTGACCGAGGGCTTCCAGGGCCACAGGGTCCCAAAGGAGTTGAGGTAAGATGAAAAAGTTACAAAATTAAGAGATTGTGTTTCAAAGTTGTGAGGGGTTAAAAGGATTAGACAATAATGGTTAGGTGTGTATGGTGTTGTCATGCAAAATTTGAAGTTTCTTTTGCATCTTGGCAAGTGTTTTAAAGAGTTTTTAGCAGCCTTATGGGGCTGTGCGTCCATTATGTGGTTTATTTTAATTTGAGATAATATACGTCCAGAGCTGGATGTGGTTATTTTAGTTAACTGAGGAGATGGGAGGGAAGGGGTTTAGCAGTATGAAAATGGAAAATATACACCAATTTAATTACAGTGTCCTAGATACTCTTAAGTAAACTCTCAGACCCCTATTAACTGAAAGGGGAGAAAGGCAGTTCTTCATCTTATAGATTGACTCATCAAGTATTCTTAATTCATCATCATAAAAATAAAAGCTTACATGTTGTGTACTAAAATAATTAACTTATAATAATTAAATTAATTATTAAATAAATTAATAATTAAAATTATTTAGTTGGTGATTCTGAAGATAGACCTCTAGACTTCTAAGTAGCTAAATGATGGGCTTCTATGACAGATACTGAGTGAGTAAAAGCTAACAGGGTAAAATGGTCTCTTCCCAGGTGTTTCTGTCAGACTCAACATGTGAAACTTAGGATGATATAATAAATACAAACAGTTATCTGCAGAATTTCTTTTTTAAAGCTAGACTTGTCATCAAGATGATTGAAGTTCTGATTTTCTTTAGGGAGAAGTAGGACCAGCTGGACCTATTGGAGGAGTTGGCCCAAGAGTAAGTATAAGTGATTTTGGTAGGGCAGGCTGTTTTGCAGTAGGAATGCTGCTTTGAAATGTAAATTTACTGTGAGAAGTGACTGTGATCAAATGGCATCTCCTGAATGAATGTGTGTTTTTGCTCAGAAAATGCTCAAAGCAGAGCTGGGAGGGGAAATGATTTTCAATACAAAGGGTTTGAAAGGAAAGCACTGCTGTAGTGCACAAAATATAATGATCCCCTGAGATACATGAAACTGCCATGCACTCCCTAGAGACTAAACCAGCTGATATATCAAAATATATCAACTGGGGAAGAACCCAGCTCACAGGGAGAAATATAAAAGATGTATGCTTTAAGAAATCTACTAGAAACTTGGCAGATAATTACTAAAAATAATAAAGCTGGAATGTCACAATGCTGTTTATGCAGACATGTTTTAAAAGATAGAAGTTTAAAACTATTGTCCAATTTTTTTGTTAGTTATAAAAATACACAATTGTCTGAGAGTATTTCAGTGAACTTGAAGCTTATTTTTAGAAACTTTCTGTACTAAAATGGATACTAGGGATTACAGGAATGTCTCTAAGTTTATTGAATGCAATTTGATCTTCTGCCTTTACATGATTTGATTATGTGTGGTAATCACTGACTTGGCTTTCGTTCTGGATGACTTCCCATTTCTTGCATGAGTTTGAGAGTCTTTTCCACTGTTTTCTGCTTTTAGAGTGGATATATGCCTATGTCATTTTTCCTATTCAGTAGCTAGTCAAAGATGGGAATTTGCTTTCTGTTAAAAATTATATTAAAGTACTTATTTGCTTCATAGATTAGGTGTTAAGACAAACAAACCCATACCAAAGCAAAAAAAAAAGGCAAAAAAATAGGCAAAAAAGCAAACACAAAACCCTCCCACAAAAGTCTCTTTGTTTTTCAGCTGAGGAAAACATGCAAAAACTTTAACAGAATTTCAAAACACTCTGTAACTTAGTTCAATATTGAGTTTAATCTGAGTTTCTGCTGAGAGCTTCATGGAAATTTTTATTTTGGCTGCATCATCCTTTGAGTCTCCTCCTTGGGCAGGGCTTCATGGCTGGACAGCAACTCCCATGTTGTGCTGTGGCAATTGGAACAGAAGATGCTGTAGTGAGTGACTCATGGGCAATGAGACACCTTCACATCCTCCACATCACCAGGCACGCACAGGCCACCATCAGCTGGTGTCAAAGTGACCCAAGAGGAAAAATTTCTGTATAACCTAGCAAACTGAAATATTTTCCATCTATTTTGGGTCAATTTGACCTAAATTATTTAGATTTTTATTTCTCTCAGTGGGAAATGTGCACACCATTGGCATGTCTCTGGTTTCTCTCTCACAGCGAGTTGTTGAGAGCAGAGTTTATGCATCTGAAGTGAGCCCCAGGGTTGCTGTGTCCAGACATTTTTAGCAGCTTGCTGGCTAACATCCCCTCCTGAAATGAGAGATAGGGGAAAAGGGAATTTTGCTTGATGGGAAGGTCTGCCTGCTTTTCCTCCTTGTCCAGGGGCCCACAGGCTCTCGCCTGGGTTCCATGGCTCCTCTTGGCTCCAGCTGCTGTGCAGCTCCAGGCCAGCTGCTCTGCACTCTGCTCCCATCCCTGCTGCCATCCCTGCTGCCATCCCTGCTGCCATCCCTGCTGCCATCCCTGCTCATCCCTGGTGCTTCACTCCACATGTAACCCACACTGTGTGATTGTGTCAGCGAGAGTCACAACCGTGACTTAAATCTCACATGGTAACAGGACTGAGTCAATGAGCTGCTGAACACATCTCTCTTTTTTAATTATGCTTCCTTAACTGCAGTTTGATGTTCATTTGATTTACATACCTTTGCTTCCATTTTCCACAAAAGGAGTTTTTAAAAGTGAATGTTCAATTTGAAAGTAAGCACTATCACAAGTGTGTGGTCACTCACTAATTAAACAGCCACGGGGCAGAGGAGGTCCTGAGAGGGACCTGGGGGAGTGTTCTGGCCACGCATGGCCCGGGGCACCCTCAGCTGTCAGCTCTGTCTTTAGCTGACACGGGTTTAACCTGTGTTCTGCAGCCTCCAGGAGTGGGATTTCTTCAGTCTCCCCATCAATCTGCTTCAGTTGTTTGCCTGGTTTACAGACCTCTTTTCTAATGTCTAGATGTTCTATCTGAAAGTCTTGACTGTTTTTTTTTCTCTTTACAACTTTGCTTCCTGCCCCACAGACTTTATTTGTGGACATGGTTAAATAGATTTGTCCTCTTTTCAGCCACGGTTACCTTCATTTTCTGGGGATTGTCTGAAGTAGGTACAGTATATTTTTAGGTGATACATTGTAAACCTTTCATTATTCTTATGAAACAATAATGAAAGGTTTCTAGTGCTTCTGGAATCCTCATCTCTTTTACAATTTCAGGTCAAAATATCCAATCCCTAGTTCAGGTTTAGGCATGTGCCAAGCTGGCAGCCATAAAATTTCACCTCATTTTTCTCCCTCCTCCCTCCCCTGCCCTTGTTTCTAACGTTTGCTTTTAAAAACATGAAAGAGACCAAAAACCCCTGGGACCCACCTGACCAGTGCTGCCATTAAAACAGATCATCTTCTGCTGGAACACAGTGACTATGAACCTGCACAGGGGCTCTCAGTCCCAGCTGAAAAAAGAATTTCCATGTGTCTAGAGCAACTGGAGACAAAACTGAGGATGTTCCCGTGTTTACTTAGGATATATCTCAGTTCCAAAGACCTCAGTCTGTTTCAGTTTTGGAAGAGGTGTTTGAGCTGAATTTGATCACATCATTTGATGTTTCATTCATTCCTTTCCAAACCTTCCCACCCATTCTATTCCAAAGTCAAATACTTACATTCTCTTAAATTAATCCTTCTACATAAAAAAAGCTAATTTTTTTTGGTGCTTGCTTATTTGTCCTGTGAAAATACAGAAGTTGCCATACTAAAGATGTGACTGTGTTTATTCAGTTTCCTCCCACTTAACCCTCTCTTTCAAAGGCTATCCAAATATTAACACTGGAGCTGTCAGTGTAGCTCAGCTCAGTCAATGCAAGCATTGGCACTTTTTTTTTTTTTTTCTGTATCTTCATTGCTGGAGAAGAAAATGCCTTTAAAAGAGTAGAGGTAGTTTTAAACCAGAAAATAAAAATGAACTGTTACAAGTTAATTCCTTTCTGAGCTACACATATTAAACAGAAGCTGGAATTTAAGTAGTCATAAGATGAGCAGTTTCTCCTGATTATAGTGGAAACTCCTGTTTATAGTGGAAAATGTTCTCAAATCTGCCCCAGACCCTCAGTGCAGTATTTTCTGGAAGTGCTTTCCTGTGGGCTGAAGGCGTGTGAGAAGCTTCTGGAGGGACTGAAATAGAGTGATAGTGAGAGATATTTATATTAATGTATAAACACACCTGTACCTACCAGTTGAGAGGTGAAAGGAAGCACAGTTGGTTGCTGTTTCCTGAAGGAGAAGGGTAGAACTTTCAGTTAATATTTTAGGAAACAGACATTTCCTTTGGGATTACCCTGCCCTGGAAGAGTAATTTTCTCAGGGGTTTGCAAGCTGAAAAACAGCCATCCCTAGTTTAACCTTCTGTCAGTGGCTTTTCCTCCATGTGTAAATGTATTGTATTTCTGTTTCAAGCCAAATCCATGTGTTTCAGATTGCTTTACCAGTTAAATCCACTTGTTCCACTTTCTGATCACCTTCCATCTGTTCTCTGTCCTTTGCAGCTCGTACATAGCTGGGGAATGACAGCCAAGAAACCTTTACAAGCTGTAACTCCAGTTCAGTTCTCATAGACTTAAAATTATCAAGGTAGTTAATAGGGGCCACTAGTTTTCTTTTGATGAACTTCACTTAAAACATTTTTATGTTACAGTCTTGCTGTACAGAAAGACCTTAAGTTTCTTTACAACAAAGTAGTTAAACAGCATGTAGTGACCTGCAGAAACCCATCACTTGTTCTTTATTAAGCCTTGTGGAAAGATGTGACTTGCTTGATCTGGTTCTCTCAGAACTTCTCTTCGTGGTCTTTTCTCCCTGCATTCCTGGCTGTACCATATCTTAGTCCATTGGCAAAAACAAAAATATGTTCCTAAAGTGATTTTATTTGTTGGAACTTGTTGGGCAAAATGAAATGGCTCAGGCAGGAAAGAGAATGAGTGATAGAAAGGGATTAATATGAGAAGTCTGCTAAGACAATGCAATTTTAAGCCATATAGAGAATTTCTCAGATGCCCAGAAATTAACACACACATACTCTGAAACACGGGAACAGAGCAGCTGAAGCAAAAGAACCAATGAAAAAAATCTCTTTTCAAGTAACATTTTATTATCTGTTGCTTTAGTTGCTCTTTTCTCAAGACAGCTTATGTGGAATGGAAAACTCTTAATATGGACTCTGGCAATTCCAATTATTCAGTTTGCTGGAACAGCCATGGATAATTTCTTTTTAGCACAAATCTGCATGGTTTTGATACTGAATCATTAAAATGTTGAATTAATTTTCTTTCTCCAATTGTCAGCCTCCAGCAATCTCATCAGCAACTTGCTCAAGAGCCAGGTCCAGTCCCCTGGACATTTATTTGCTTTATAGGGCCTTTTCCTTAGAGCAGATGGGGAAAGTTTGATTAGGCAGAGCTGTGCTGTCCACATAGCAAATGGTCAGGCCATGTTTTATGTTGCAGAGGACGTAAAGTGGAGACATAATTAAGTTATAAACATCTAATTGAAAATTAAGGGGGAAAGCTGGTTTGTGTGCCTTTGTGAGTCTGTGTGAGTGACAGCAGAGGGAGGGATGCATGTTGTAAAATGCTTCAAAGATCCTCTCACTTTGTGGCCCCCTGCTCTGATTGATGCTGCTGGATTTCTTCTGGCTAACAGTGTTATTACCACAGTATCATAGCAACAAGATCTGCCAGCAGCAGAATGCTAGTGGAGAGAAATGGGGCTCAAAATCATCAATTTTCTGAATAAAGAGGAGACAGTGTTTGAGTTGATTTTGCCTGGTTGAGGAAGGTCGGTTATGACACCAGTCCCTGAAGTCTAAGCATCAGATTTTATTAGTGTTGTGTCCCTGTTCTGCTGGAATTAACCAGGAGAGAAGGCTGCCTTGCCTGTTTTTTCAAAGTGAAATTGAAATGTGTTTTAGTCTTGGATTGTCACAGTTTTACCTCAGTGTTAATTGCTGTAAGACTTAATACAAATTCTGTTTACTGTTCCAGTATTTGATGAAATATTCAACAGTGTATGTTCAGATAAAGATTTCTAAATACACTTCCTTAAAATTTTTGTATTGAATATTGCCAAACTGTACATTTTTAGTGCATGTATTTTGATAAATAGGTAAACTGGGATGAAATTATCTTTATTAAATAAAATATTTACAGTATTTTATTCTAATCCTTCTTCTAGGGAAAGCCAGGGCAGAAAGGTTATGTAGGTGATTCTGGACCAGAAGGTTTAAAGGTAAGTGATGGTTTTATGTATGATAGATACAAATAGAATGTATTTGGAACAGTTACACACAGCTATTTACAGTGACATAGCAGTGAAAGGGTATGAGCACACATGCTTCCAAAGAATATAAACTTGTATCATATTGATAATTCTGCCTTCCTGCAAGATCCCGTTTTGAAAGAGGTGAAAATTGTGCAGCTCTAAGAGACAGAGATGTGTGAGCAAAGACTACACCTGCTAAAATGAAATCAAACAGCCTGGGAATGTGACCAGGGAGCAACAAGGGACTCAGGGCAGTTCCTGCACTGGCAGGATTTTGGAAGTGTGAGTGGGGATGAGATGAAGTGCTGCAGCTCAAAAGAGGAGCTTGTGGCAGCAGAATTTCCCAGTGCTGATCTGCAATCTGCATCAACAGTACAGAAATCACTGTTCATCACTTGTTAGATAACTGAGATTATAGTCACAGCCAGATAGTCAATAGTGCTTATACACCCAGCTTCCACCTGTGAAATACACAACAAACTGTTCCAGTTTTGTAACCGTGTTATTTGGAGAACAGGATTAATTCATACTTAATGATGGTTTCAGGATTTTGGGGGAAGAGGAGAAGTTTGTTAAAATGTTAAAATGTCAATTCAAATGTCAATTTTCCTAATACTTAATAACAAAATTACAGTTATCAATAAAGTGCACAGGCAACATTTACCTTTGAGCAGTAGTGAAATAGTGAAGGTAATTTGCTGAAAGAAAGATTTAAATAAAAATAGGATAATTAATTTATAGTATTTGCTGACTTAATGTGTTTTGTGAGGTGGTTTTTTTGCAGGCAAATCCTGACTACATTAGGACATCATTTTATCAGATCAAAATTAGCCACTGACAAAATTTGTTTTGGTTACTTAATTTTAGTTTTTAAGGTTTTAATTGGCAGATGTAATTTAGAAAATAAAGAGGTTCCTAGGAAAACAGAGGACTTTAATATACACATATGAAAGAAATTACTTTTCTAGTGAACTACATCATCTGTTTTCTACATTTAACAGGGAGAACAAGGAGACCAAGGAAACCTTGGAAAAACTGGTGAAGCAGTAAGCTTGAATTCTCTTTCTGGTTTAATTTTTAGTTCTGTTGTATTTGAGAGCAAATGAATAATTTGTTGCAGACATTGTCTGATGAAGTTCGCCTGTATTCTAAGCTGTAGTGTGTCAGTTATACCTTTGTAGTCTTTAAGATTCGTACTATTTAAAGAAATTTAAAGTGTTTTCCAAAATTAATTCTTCTTTTCTCCCAATACGTTGTGTGAATGTTGCAGGTGTTGTGGGGCTTTTCCAAGGCACGTCTGTGTAAGTGAACAAGGGATCCTTTTCCAGTTAAATCATTTGAGAGGCTCCATTTAGCCTGAGATGTATTTTGCAGGCTTGTTCTGTCTGTGCTCCATAAAATCTCAGAGCTCAAGGTGATCTTGTGGTGACACATAGTGCATCCATTTCTGCCTAGGCAGGATCTGTAATCTTTACATAATTTCTGACAAATATTTGTCGAACCAGTTATTAAAAAGCTTCAAGACCAGGGCTTCTCTATTTTGAAAAATGTTCTTCCAGTTGTGTAATCTGATTCCTTTCTGCTGGAAACAGCATTTTACATATGGTGGTTGTTATTCTGTGCCTCCTTCATTCTTTCTTTTCAGACTTAACAGTCCCAATTCAATTAGCTTGTCATGTTTTTGAGATAATTTAAGTCACATTCTAACTCCCCTGTAATCTGTTTCCAATTCATCCAAACATCTTTGACTCCAGCCTAAAACTGCTAAGAATACTGAGAGAAAGGAAACATTGCCTCTTACAATCTTGTATCTTGCATAGATGTGCTCACTTTTACAGCAGTGTGTTGTTATTCAGTTTGAGATCCACAGTCTCCTAGCCTTCATTTTTTAAAGGTCTTATCTCTCTCAGTTCTTCCACTGTAGGTACTTTTTTAGTTGATAATGGTCACTGAAACATACCACTTTGGAATTCTCTCTACCTGATTTCATCCCCTGCCCTTTTGTCTGGGATTTAGGAGCAAATGTGAGCTTGTTGGTCCATGCTTGAGTTACCCAAGTGTTATGTAGAACACAATTAGATTAATTTTATTTCTAGAGTTAACAGATGCTGAGGAGAGATACCACACACTGGTTTGGGCTTGGTGCTGTACTGCTCACACAAATTCTGCTCACCTTAGCTGGTATTCAGAGTTAGCTCCCCATTGTCTGCAAAATACCAAGCAGATGTACCTGAGGCAGCTCATCAAATGGTTGGTTACTGCAGAAATCTCACAAACTGCTTGTTGGTCACATCCAGCTCCACTGTGCACTCTGGAGATTGTGCTCTGGGGAAGGGGACTGAGCAGCTGGACTCTGTCAGTTAAAAGTGTCTGCTGGCACAGGAACCAATAGTGCATGCAATGCTATAAGGTCCTCTTGAAAGCCATCCAGCACATCCCAAAGTGTAGCTTTTTCAGCCTGTCACATGTTAGGGAAAACTGATAGCATTTACTATGTTGTACAGTGCCACATGCACCAAAACCCTCAACAAAAGACAAAGATAGGTTCAATCTTAAGTCATTACATCAATAATAGTACATGAAACAGTCACAAAGTTAGTTGCTTAACCTCAACTTTCTGGATTTGACATATAATTTTTTTTTGCTCCTCAGTGAACTTGAATTCAGTGGACAAATTTTCCACAACTCAGGTATTTCGTATGAACATAATGTCTTTCACCAGTAAAAGAGCTCAATTCTATGTAGTAATTACTAGCTCAAATACATAATCGTTGATGGTTCATTGCAGTGATGTTGAGTAAAAGAATCACACCAGCTGCCTAACTGCAGTCAGGGTCAAACTGCAAGAATTAAATAATATTTTCAATGCCAAACCAAGGGGATGTTGCAGCCCTGTTACAGTGTTATAAAGAAAGATAATTATGGCCCATCATTAATTATCATTTCCCACATGCAGTTTTTGGAGAATTTATATGTGATACAGGAAGGTACATGATACCTGAAAACCAAAATAGTTTCTAAGTTATTGATAAATATTCCTTATTTTTACCTGTGGATTGTAGAATATCAACTGATTTATGTGCATGTATCTAATCAAATGAGCTTCATAGGCCCTTGATCTGTTGTTACCTTTGCATTATCTGGCAGCAGAGGACTAGTGCCTATTTCATGATCTTTAGGGGGATAATTTTTTGTTGTCATTGAGGCCAGTGGTGAAACACCAAGAGCAGACACAAGCAACTCTTAGACCTTCCAAAACCCCTTTCCTTCACCTTATTCCTCACTGCAATCTGTAACAGTTAAACTTTTCCAAAGAGAATTGAGAAGTTTCTCGTGTGCATAAAATGCTTTTCCAGACATGAGTCCTGATGCAAAATATTCATTTCTGTATGCTTTGGATGCAGATTTTGCTCCCAGCTTCTCAACAGCTTCTGCTTGTAACAAGTAATTTCTCTTTCCCTTGGCGTGCACATCGAGTATGGACTTCTTAATTCTCAGATAAATCCACTCCCTGCTATTCAGTATTGGCTCTGGTGGCATGAGGACATCTCTGGAATCAAATATGCCACACACAAAACAAACAAACAAAAACAGAGGAAAGTTTGAAAACAAAGTACAAGAGCAAAGTACATGTGCTACCAACCGCTGGGACAGATTTTGAGACGGAGTCAAAAAAAGCCATGGAGTAAAGCATCTGTCCTTAGTGATGCCTTGTGGAGTTTGTGTGCTACCAGGTGCTTGGTGGCACTTCATAAATACAAAGAGGAACTGTACAAATAGCAGTAAAAAATGTGCAACTCCTGTACAGGTTATTAATAGTAAAGGCAAAGGGAAAAAGAAGTTGCTAAAAAGTTGACAATAAGCCCAATGTCTAAAAAATTCTGTGTATTTCTGTGTATTTGGTTTCTTCCTTCTGCACCACAACCTCACCAGCTTCCCTTTTTGGCTTGTCTATGGTTTTGTGTTCATTCATTATCTCTATGGACAGACTTTTTCAAATTACAGGATATAACATCTTTTTAAGTCCATGGTTAAAGTATACTATAATACTGTTTTTTAGCAATGGGGAGTCCATCACAGCATTCCAGTTTTCCAAATGATAACCAGTGCATTTCCTGAATAAGGTGTCCAAAGGAGCAGTTTTGCAATAATAAGTCCTGAATAATAAATGCTGAATTTATAAATAGAAAATTATGCCATGAGCACATGTGCCTGTCTGCTATTGATACCAAACTGTTGTACCAATATTTTTCTTCTGTTTCTTTCAATTTTCTTGCTTCCCCTTGTATCGTTCATCTCCTGACATTCACTATAATGTCTGCCACTGCTGTTTGAGGTGCCAAAATAGTTATTCCTTTTCTGTAGCAGCTTTCTCAGGTCCTGCTTAGAAAAGTACAGATGGCAACCCTGCACAAGCAGGGAAATTTCAACAGCAGGAGATTGGACTATAATGCTTGTTTTTTCAGCCTAGTAAGGTGGAATATATGCTGAAATAGAGCTCTGTCAATAGGCTAGAAGCCACAGTATCCAACATTTCTTAGGTCACATGAAGCTGCTGATTCTTCAAAACACATTTCTGCCAAAATATTTCTGGATGCTTGTCTACTGTGGAAACAGAGTAGACTAAATTTATAAAATGTTTGCTGTGCTTGTAAGCTTAAATGACACACATTTAAGAGTAGATCAGGAATGTGCTTGAAGCCAGACTTCAGACACTATTCCTTAACCAAGTCCTACAACAAAAGCTGTTTTTCTGGCTACAGCATATGTTGTGTTTGTGTAGAGGGGAAGGGAGGCAGATGCAGGCTCTGCTTGGTGCAGCAGAGCCCTGAGCTGTGGTAGAATCCAGCAGCTGCTCCTTGCTGCAGGATATTTGGTTAAACTGCAGGACCATCAGGTCCAGGTGAAGAGGGAGTGGTTAAGATAGTGAGAAGCAAGTGAAGAGCAGACAGAGCAAATGTACACTGCTGATGAGACAAAACCTTTTGGAAGCTGTGCCAAAGGAAACAACCCCTTCAGCTACCGAGAAAATTCCCCTTACATTTTGGGGAAGGAAAATCTGACTTTGCTGACATGTGGAACTGGATTTTTTTATGCTTGGATAAGATGCTGTTCAGTGATGGAGAGAAAATATTTGAAACTGACTTCAAGCATCTCATACAAATGATCTGTTTGTTAAAATGTCAGGGATGATTTAAGAAAATGATTTATTAAATTATTCAGAAGTCATCTGAACTTCAAACAGTTGTTTTCAAGAATTGTTTTAGTATTTGATAATGCTATTGTTTATCCAGGCTGTGCCACTCTGAATGACTAAGTGCAAATTAATTCTTATTTTTCCTTGCCACCTCTGTTAAAGAAATTCAGCCTGTACAGTTCTGAATTAGAAATCCTTGACGTTTTTACACACATTGAGACAGAGTACAAGGGTAGAACTGTCAACTCTAGTATGAGCAACTGGTGTCAAAAGGTAGAGTTCATGAACACAAATCCTGGAAAAATAATCTTCAGAAATTACATGTCAGCAAATTTCTCTGGTTCCACATAGTTTTTGAAAAAACAGAAGGAAACCAAGCTGAAATAAGAAGTGTTTTGCCATGAAAAAATAACCTCAAAATGCAGCAAAGGAAAGCCAGTGATGTTCAGGCTGTCGATGGCAACTCCAGAGCAGACTGCAAATGGTCAGTGTGCAGGAGCCTGTGAATGGCAATAAAATACTGCAGACAGGCCTTGTGCCTTGTAGCTGAGCTGCTTTTGGGAAGAATTATCATAAAGCAATTACCACATCTTTCAGAGAGGTAAAAATTAACTGGATTAGGCACCATGGATGCATAATTCAGGGAGAATGGAAACTTCAATTCTTTCTGCTTGAAGAAAAGATTAAGTGAACTTTAACTGATGTGTTCAGGATGCTCAACAGAAGGAGTTGTTTGAATTATCCTGAAAAGCCTTGGCTTTAGGGATGCACAAAAGAGAATTTTAAACCATAGGCCAAAAGATAAGTCAATTGAGGAAAACCTTTTTTTTTCAAAGTCTGGTGAATGCATGGGACATTGCCAAGGGCTTCCAAAGAAGGAACTGCTTCAGCTGCTTTCAAAAAGCATTTGGATAGAGATTATTTTAAGTTCTATGGAGGACTTAACAGTGAATGGAAATAAAGATACTTGGTCTTATGTTGTGCTTCTTGTTTTTACCCAGTGTGACCTGACATACTGTAATTCCTGCTGAGAGGAGTGGAGGAGGAGGTTACAGTATCTAGAGGTTAGCTTTATCAAGTTCATGTTCATTTTTCTTGAAGGATTTTTTGGTAATGGTTCTCTTTTATTATTTGGTTTCAGCTAGAGGAATAGTACCTGCACATGGTATCTGCAGTTGAGTTTCCAGGGTTTTGTCAGTGAGAACATCCTGCCCCACTTTGTCAGGCAGCTTCCCTTAAATGCAAGGATTAATTAAGAATTAAATACCCTACTGTACACTGCTGTTACTGGAAGCAAAATGTAACCTATTTACTTCTTCTTTAAATCTGTTGTACATTAAGTGATTGATGCCAGTACCTTTTGCCTTTCAAATATATTCAAGTAGTAGAATTTTTGAGTCCTTCAAAGAATTGAGTGAATATCAGCTGCAAGGTACAAATATGGTGCATCTGCTCTTATTCACTTCCTCCATTGGCCCTAGCAAATCAGATTTTCACTCAGATTATCACCTCTTGTTGATTACCAAGTAACTTTCTCAGCAGACAGAAAATTAATAGAAAAATGTTATTGTGACAAGATAGTATTTTAAATTTATTATGTCATCTCATTAAATGAATGTTGAATAAAAATATTTGAGAATGCTGAACCATAAATTAAATAGCACTGGATTGGAAAATTGTCAATTATGTCAGAAAAACACATTTAAGTACAACCTGGCAGGTAACTGCTGCCATGGGAATGTTTGGAAACAGCTGTATATTAATTTCTCACTACCAGGTTTTTCAATGGATTACTCCATGCTTGGGTTTGCATTAAGTGTACAGTGTGTTTTCAATTATCCAACTACAGTCCAGTTTCTAACATGGAGCATATGTCCTGGCAAGACGTTTTTGTCTTTCTCAGGCCTGTGTTAGTTTTGAGATCTGGTATCTGATTCATTTTCCACAAAATGCTCCTGTCAAGAAGGTTTCTAAAATGCTGTTATTATGCTGTTATTGTCACTGGAGACTTTTACACAAGTCTTTGTAAATGAAAGTTGATGACTATTTTTTTAATAAGTTGCTGATTTCTTTTTAAAATCACTTCAGGATTTTTCCTTCACTTTTTCTGTTTTGTAATACATTCAATTTTATATTTGGAATCCACCACTGCTTCCCAGAGGATTGAAGGGATGCTGGAAGACACTGATTCAAAAGATCTGCTTTGGACTATATTCATTTTCTTACATAAGATGGAGAGAGTTGAAACCTCAATCCAGTCCTAGTAGCTGGTCTTTATAACAAGCCAGTCCAAATCTGGGATTTTAAGAGCCACACGAGCTTACAGAAAGTCTGTAGGGAATGATGTAGGGAAAGCATCACCTTATGGCTAATATGTTGACAGAACAAGATGTTCTACTTTCTTTTCACTGAATGCTATTAATTGTTTGAAAATTCAAAATTATATTCCTAAGTAAGTTTTTTGGCTCTCCTGCCTGTGTGCATACCAGCCCTAGAATTTTCTCAGTCTCAGATACTTGACCTCTGTTTTGAATAGAGAGGTGGAAGAGCATCTGGTTAACCTCTCATGAATTTCTTTCCCTTCAAAGCTTCTGAAGTCCCTGTTGCTTTTGGCATTTCACTGGCTTCACTTCTAGTCATCTTGACTATTGTTTTACTTTCCATAGATATCCAATTCCAGGTATGCCAAGGTTCTTTTTCCAACTTTTGTATCAACCTTTGTAGTGTTTTTGCTGTAAATTCTCTTAACTACTTTTGAGGAATAGCCAATCTATAAGAAACTTTCTATTTAATAGCCAGCTTTTGTCCTTGCTCTGGAGGGTGCCATTGGCTTGCCCTAATGTGCTAGGGAATACAACAGCACATTCTCAGTCACTGCTTCCAGTCATTCCTGCTCGTTCAGCCAGAGCAGAGTTGGGAAGACAATACTTCTGAATTGAAAAGAGAACTTGATCAGAGGCTGTACATTAAATGGTTCACTGCTGGGCCAAGGCACAGCTCCCCATCTTTCTGATCAGCATCTCCACTCCTGTAAACAGTGTGGCACTGGGTGGGAGATCAGGAGTGTCTCTGTGGAAAGAGAACAGGTCTGAGTTTCGCCTTGGCTCTAATTATGTCTTCTGTTCTTTCTAGAATCAGGGAATCAAAGTGATTAGTCTTTAGCATTTTGAAACTGTACCTCCACACCTCTTACCTTGATAAGCAAGAGTACAGGGTAATTCTTTGTCTCAAAGATTGCTGCCCGAGGTCTGCTGTTGGCTCTGGCTGGGAGCTCTTGCTCTCAGAGTTCAGCACAAAAGTCCCTCCTGGCTGCCAGTGACGTCTGGGCCATTGCCCCAGTGCCAATATCACCAGGACCCATCTTTGACTGCTGCCAGGGCAAGAGACATCTCAGTTCTGACATATAATACACAGGTTCCCACACATAATATATCAGTCCAGTGGCCACAGAGATGCCTGCTTATCTCTGAGGTTCCTTCTATGAAGTAAATTGTGCCAGTATTGTCAGCCTTAAAGGTAGCTGCATCACTGGCTCCTTGCCATGTGTTTAAACTGTGGGATTGCCAGCATAGCTAGCAGTCCAAGAGAACAAGTAATCATAAAATCTCTACTTACTTTGCACCTGTTCTGTTGAAGTACTTGAGGCTGAACTGTATTCAAATTATACAGATAAAAGCTGCATTTTTCTTTTTGAATGTAATGTCTTTTTTCCTTTAAATTGCACTTCAATGCCAGTGTAGTGCTACTAATGCTAGTTCCTTCCTACACATATAAAGATGGCAATGCCAATGTATGAATTGACTTAACTTTCTTTTTATTTTTTTTTGTTTTGTTTTGTTTCCTTTTTAAAGTGTTACAGACATTGTACAGTCATATATTATATTATTATATGACTACTGGGAGTTTCCACATTTCTGCCATGTTCCAAGAGCAGTCATGCAATGTACTCTGGGCACTTAGTGCTTTTTCTTCAAGCTTAATGTGTCATGTTTTTCTCAGTTAGAACCTTGTGCTATAATTTCCTTTTCTTTTAGGTTTCATAATAAAGTGGGTATTGTAAACACTGGAAATAAGGTTTTTAAAAGTACTTCCTCTCATGTTTCCCATCCCATATGGTCGTACTTGTTCTATCCAGTGCAAATTTGTGAGAGAGCCTCAGGAGAGAATTATTTCATTTTTGAATGCTTGAAAGGCTCTGATCCTCTGACTTCAAAGGCATTAGGGGCTTCTACTTTTGAAGGGAAAATTCTGACAATGCCTGATCCAATATCATTTCTGTTTTGACTGCATTTTACTTTGTTCCACTGAATTTATTCCCTTTGAAATTTGTGGTTAGACTGTAGCACTAGTAGAGCAATTATCACCTTTATTTGTATGTTTGTAAAGCTTTCAGCAGTGCGAGGTTGAGCTCAGTGGCAGATCTAAGTTGCTGGGTGGTATTGTGATGACATGACTGCAATTTCCCCTCTGGCAGCACTGTTTGCAGTTGGTGTGCTGGGATGCTGGGTCCTTCTGCCTGGACTGGGGGCCAGGTTAACTCCTGCACCCCTCACTTTCCCAGGGCTGCACTGAGACAGATTTGGGGTTCTTTCTCTGTGGTGGAGAAATGGGCCCTGCTCTGTTTCTGGAGAGCTGCTGACCGTGAGTTAGTATAGACATCATGCAAGTAAAAGTCTGGTTTCTTTTTATACAGGGATCAGCTGGCTTGCCTGGAGAAGCTGGGCCATCTGGAAGCCTTGGTGAAAAGGTACAATAATGTTTCTGACTACTCAGCAGCTTTGAAAACCTTTGTGGTGATAAAATACTGGTGAAGATCATTTACTCCCCCTACTATCAGAGCTAATGTTCCTGTAGCTATTTAAGAGCATGGGGATGTAATAACTGGTAATCCAAATGTTCTTATTTGAGGTATGTATCTGATATCCCTGATTTTACTTCACAGTTCATTTAGAGTTGACAGATCCGATACCTTTCTTTTATCACTTAAATCTACTGCTATTGTTTCAGAGAAACTGGCATAAATTATACTTGTTTTATACAGTACTCACCGTTTTTTCACTACTACTACATAAGAAGACAAAAGTAGAAAGGTAAAACTTGGCTGTATACATTAACTGAATAAAAGACAAGACTGAGTTTTGTCTAGTGTGCAGTAGCAGTTGTGTTTGTGAAAGCGAATTCTGGCAGACTCAACGTGACTAGAAAAGTACAAATAGCTTAACTGTATTTTACATGGTTTTATTTAGGTAAAGTATTTTAAAACTGAAAAACAGGAAACTATTACTGGACTGCATTTCAGCTTCAATTATGAGAAAAACATAATTGTTTGTCAGAATGATGCAGCACCATTTGTATTTCTTTCTTATAGGGCTGAATTGTTTAACCTAGACTGGTATCTGCTATTTAGACATTTTATTGAGAAAGTCTTAATCTATTATTAGGAATTCCTTTAAAATCTGATTTTAATTTATTTAATCTGTGAAAAGAAATACATCAGTGGAAAGCCCTGCTTTAGATTTAGACAAATCTCATATGGTTTTAGTCATAATATCATCTTAGAATTTCATGCCAAAGGATTCTTGTTCTCTATAATTACACTTGTCCCAACAAAGATTACCTTGTGATACTTCTGCTATTTTAGCTAGGAGGTGAAAGGCAGTAAAAGACTAATGAAATTTATCATCAGCAAATGGAAGGAAGGAAGGAAGCTTCTTCATGGTGCAATAATTGTCACTACTGTGCTGTTTCTGTAGAATTTATTGTCTTCCTCTCTTATGGATTCAGTATTGCAAGGTAAACACGCTGTGTAGATTTACGTTATAAGCGTGTTTCCAGCATAATTACAGTATGCAATATAAAATATAGTTGTTATTACTATGTCATGTGCATTATTTGTAATAAAAATGTAATCTTCTGAGGATAATCTCCAGCTAAGTCTGATATTTGGGCTGGATGTGACATGAATGAAAGGTGAAAAGTTGTGGAAGACCAGAAAGCAACTCTTCCTGCTTCCCCTACTCAAGTTGCTTCAGCAGCTGTTGAAGGGCTGGCCTTCCTTTTAGATCTGTGCTTTCCTAGCACATACTGAAGAAAAGAGGAAGAGAGAAACAAGATTTTCTTTTTTCTTTATTTGCTGTCCTGAATTTTATGGATTAAGGAACATACTATAAATATGATGCACCCAACCGAGAGAAAACAGATCTTCTAGCAGCAGTTCTCAGAGGCTGATGTAGTCAAACCTCTTGTTCAGTCTTCTAGGAAAAGACAGAGAAACTCAGTTTTATCATTTTTTTCAAAAAATGGATAGGCTTGTGGGAGTAAGGAATGCAGAAATTACAAAAAAAAAATTTAAAAGGGTCTCTGCCGTTTCTGAAGGGCAGTCTCTCAACCAATACTGTGATGCATTGCCAGGTATGTTCAGTGGACATGGAAAAAGGGGAAAAATATTCAATGTTCTTTTCTTTTTCTTCTTCATTTTTTTGTTGTTGAAGGGAGAGCGAGGCAGTCCAGGACCTGTAGGTCCTCCCGGAGAAAAAGGTGTCATGGTAAGTTACAAGTAATGTGGAATCCACAATTACGTTACTTATAAAGGCACTGTAGTCTCCAAAACAGTAATAAATTCTCATCCTTCTGGCTGTGCAGACCTTATGGGAGAGTAGTGTTTATAATGCATAACTCCTACAAAGCTTCATTTTATAGCTTTGTCCCCTCTGTAGCAGTGATATTGCAAAGTCATCTGCTGAATGAAACAGCAGAGCAACTGCATTTTTGAGAAATGGCTCTAAGCAGCCTTAATAAATTAAAAGGAGGGAAAGTAAAATAACCCTTTCCTGTGTAAACTGAGGTAACCCAGCTTATTCCAGTAGACAGACTAGGAACTAGCATCACTTCTAGCTCCACTGTCCAGCACTTCCCAAACAGCTCCTGGTGCCACTCTTGTGGGAGGGCTGGCTTCTGACAACTCCGCTTGTCCTAAAGCAGGACACACACTTCATGCAGCCCAGAGGTTCTGGAAGTGTGTTGGGGTGCAGAGGTGACAGACCATACACATGAGCCCATGGCCATGCTCTTGTTGAAGTTCTCTAGAAAACCTGCTCAAGGCTTGGTTGTGTGTTTGTTTGTGAGCACTGTGAAAGCTCCAGAGCGTACAGAGAGCACTTAAAGGTTTAACTGCAAGGAGTTCACAGGGGGTTAATGTGTAAGGTAGTAGGTACTGCACCCTGCTGCACCCTGCTGCACCCTGCTGCAGCCTCCTGCACCCTGCTGCACCCTCCTGCACCCTGCTGCACCCTGCTGCAGCCTGCTGCCTCTGGCACTGGCGTGGTTGGCAGGGCTGAAATCTCCATGGCATTACACAGAAACTGCAGATGTGGGCCCGGGCATGGTGCAGTGGGTGGTGTTCTGCCAGGGACAAGGTAATTATGTATTTGCAGTAATTACTCTTTAGGCATCCATCAGCAAGGAAGAGATCAAGTATCCTGAGGCTGCAGACCAGCTAAATGATCCGTGCAGAGCCAATGACTTCTGAAGCTTTCTGTCCTTCATTAAATCCCTCTAATCTAGATTTACCTTCAACAGCTGCGTTTGATCCAGGAAAAAATTCTTATTAGGGAGATTAATAAACAAGGATTTGTTAATATAGTATCCAGCCTTATCAGCTACTTTTCTTGAACTGTTATTAATGCTTAATGCCATGGGTAAATCCACTGAAGTCATAGCAGAGAGAACCTTTCCCAGTAGAAGGCCATTGCAGTCCTCAGACAAGAGTTGGTCTTGGCATTTGGTCTTGGCCAGGTCTGCCCACACCAGGATGTGTCCACTTTCTGCTCCCACTGTCACAGCCTTCTTGACACGAGTTTGAAATTCATTTAGAGCTCAGCATCTTTTGTTTCAGTACATCTCTACCAGCTGCTGCCTGTGTGTGGGAAAGCTTCCTAGGCTGCTTTAATGGTTACTAGGCTATATCCAATTAAGCATTTAATTTTTAAATAAAAATTAAATATTTTGTTTAACTTACCTCCAGTTCTTAGTTCCAGTAGTTAACTGGATTTATTACTGTTGCTATAATAACAATTTAGATAAAGCTGTTCTGTATTTTCTATGTTTATTTTAATTCTAGGGCTATCCAGGACCTCCAGGAGGCTCTGGACCTGTGGGGCCACAAGGATTACCTGTAGGTATAGGGGGGTGCTTTGGTTCGACATAAAATGAACTATTTTACAATTGTCTTTTTGCTTTGCTGAAGCTAAGAATGGTTTCTAGTTTGAACTGCAATCTATAAAACTGTCATTAAAATGTACCCATCCAGACAGAATCTGTTCACTTGCTCTTTGTCAGGATTATCTGTGAGAGACAGGAAAAGTAATTATATGATCTACTCATCCATTTAAAAGTCTCTCCATTGAGACAAGTAGGGAAATAGAATTTTTCAAGGGTGGTTAATAATTGCATAATATTTTAAAAATTCATTGGTGCCGAATATAGTTTAAATATATCCATTATGTGTTTAGTTTCATTGTTAATAAAAATAAATTCTATTCTAATCTGCTGTATATAATTGTTATAAGTTTTCTACCATGTGTCGTCAATACAGATAAAAACTGAACCTTTTATCAGAAAAATATTAGTGCTTTTTAAAGTAATCCTGCTGAAATACAAGTATCTTTTAAAAATTTTGGGGTAATAGACAGAAGTAATCTATCCAACAGTCACATCAGTATTTTGTAAGAACAATGTTACATAAAGTCTATTAATTAGATTTTTCTACATAAATTGTACAAACACGATTAATTGAATTGGAACTGTGAGTTAAAGTGATTGATTTGCGTTTCTTGCATTGATTGTTGCTCAAGGTGCATAAGCTTTGTAATTTTCAGGAATCTGTATTTACAAGACAATGAATAATAAGTTTGTTTGACATGTAGGGACCTTCAGGGGCACGGGGACCATCAGGGCCACAGGGACCTAAGGGAAGAAGAGTAAGTACAATTGCTCTTTCATGTTACTTAGAGCAGAGAGTAATGTGTTGCAAATATGAATCTGAAATACAACCATTTACAGCTGCTCCCTTTGTCCTCTGGACCCAACTCATTTGTACTAAATTAGATCAATTATATTTGTATTCCCATGTAGGAAACAATATGAATCTTCATTTCTCCTCACAGTGAAATGGGTTTTGTCATTGTTTTCAGCTGAGAGCAAAACTAGAAGCAAGATGACCACTTGACTGTTTTCTGTACACATAAACATGCAAAAGTTGTCACTGTAGCTACTGCTGGACTATTTCAATGTTTTAAGGACTGTTTTCTTTGCCTGCATTTAGTTCTTTGGACCTACAATCAAAATCTGTCAAACACAGTTTTGAGGGAGGAAGAAGTGTAATCAGAAGATACTATGTGCTGCAGTCTTGAACCTTCACTTGTTATTTCCATTTCACTTTTATGAGGGAAATGGAAATCATTTTTTTACTATATATAAAGCACTCATCCAAAGCCCACATTAGTGAAGTGTCTCTCACCTTACCCACCAGTTTGACAGGATATCCAGGATTCCTAAGAGACAGTGGCTGGACCAGTGTTTCTTCACAGCTCCATTTATTCCTGATAAATATGTCTCTATGATTTTAGCAGCACATCATGGAATACAGTGCTTGTAACTAAAGATCACTCAAAAATAAAATATATCCCAAATATCCCAAGCTCTGTGAAAGTCCCATTTTGGACTTTCAAAAATTCCATTTTGGAATTGCAGTTTATGCCTCTGCCTCTATCCAGCATGATTGCCAATGTCTCAGAAAGAGAGTCTCAGAACAAACCCAGGTGCTCAGGCGCTGAGAACAAACTCCCATTGAAGCCACTGAGAATTTTGTCTGCTCTCAAGATCAAAATATCAGCCCAAAAGTGGAATGTCACATAAGGAAAATATCTGAGGTGCCCTGGAACCTGGGGTTTGTCATCAGTGAATTCAGAAAGAGAAGTGTCAGAGCCCTGAGCTTTGTGTGCAAGGGTTCAGAAAATGCATTCCATAGTCAGATACAGAAGTTAAATGGAAGCATATGGACATTTCCCTTCCTTGTGTATGGAAACAAGAATGTATCCTGTCTTCACAGCTGCAATCTGTGGGAAGTCTTAGAAGCACTGACCCTCTGCTTGTGCACTGTCACAGAATAGAATTCCTTCACTTCATAAATTCTGGACCTTTCAGCAATAGTTTTGCATCCCAGATTACCCAGCAGCTTACTTCTGTCTGAGAGTATGCAGCTGTGCAGTGTCCAGCACACCCAGCAGTTCTGGCCAGCTAAGGCAGGCTGTCTAGAAGTCTATGGAATATCTCACTCCTGGGGGATTTCAGGGAATATGCCACTGAACACAGCACTAGCACAGAGCTTCCTCAGCTCATGCTTGAGACTTGATGCCCTTGGCTAGAATCATTGGAAGGTTTATTACACTTTATTTTTTAGTGTTGATCTCGTGAAAACACAGAGGGAGAGCACCGTTCTGTGGATACTTCAATGGTAGAATGGCACTGAGGGTGAGAGTATCAATATGTAGGAGAAAGAATTTCTTTCCAGGACCAGAGGGAAGAAATGCATTAGTCTGGAAGCCTGGCAGTGTAAGCAGCCATGAAGTCATTGTTGCATGATCATTGATTGTCTTTGTTTGCTAATTAAATTACAATGTCAGAGACTGCTTTCAGTTCATACCATAATCTTGGACTAATACAACTGGAGCTCCTAGTTTGAGAGGAAGAGATTCTGTATCATTAGATTCATTTCAGAAGTGAGAACTAAGCAAAATTCCCAACAGGTGCTAAAATTCTTAGCATTTAATATTCTTCAGATTGGCATTTGGTGTTGTAAGGCTCAGAAGTAGTTTTTCTACTTTTACTTCGCTGGAATGCAGATCATGAAATTTTGAGTTGAAAATGCAGATAAATGACAGAGTGGACTGCTGTAAATTTGGGGTCAGGCAGCAGCAAGTTATGTCTCTAGCAGCCAGCAGGGTTGTCCTGGTTTAGTGGTGTCTGTACTGGCATGAAGAACCCCAGCTGCCTGAGGACATCTGTGCTTTGTTTTAATGAGTGATATCTTTTGTATTTCTCACAGCAGGGAGTATGGAACTTAGCAAATTGTGTACACCTGTGAAACAAGCAGCCAGTGTGCTTGGTGGTGCATCAATACCTGAATGTGTTTCTCTCTCTTAATTGTTCAAAGGAAGTGAGACTAAATTGATGTAGTTTTCTAATATCCTTCCATGTCAGCCACCAAAAGAGAGAAGTAGCTATATATTGTGTTTGTGTTATTTTCACTCTTCTGGTATTTGGGAGACAGGGTGAGGAAGAATAAAAATAGTTAATTTGTGCTTTTTACCTTCTTAGATGAATTTTTCTCAGATAATCACCCTAGAGTTTTCAATGTAAAATGTTCCATTTTAGAAACAGAGCTGAACCCATGTCAAAGAAAAAAGTAGTAGCAATTGTTTGGCAGCCTCACTACCCAGCTTTGTTGCAATCTAATTTAAATAACAGCAGGCAAATCAAGTATATCTCTCATTCTGTACTAGCTATAGTAAGAAATTGTACAATCCAATTCATCTGTGCCAATAAGGAGTCACACCATATTATTTATAGGAATGTTATTATGTGCTTTTGTCAGGATATTAAATTGCCTTTCCCTTGGATTCCTGCCCTTTGTTCTGTGGCTGGCTAAAGGAAGGCATGGCCCAGAGGATCCTGTTGCTTTCTCTTACTCTGTTTTCAATTCAGAGTTATACAGTAGAGGATTGGCGTTTTAAATGGAAGATTTTTTGGCTTAACTATTAGTGATCAGATCAGCTGTCATGGGCTGCCAAGGTGAACTCTATTGAAATGGAGATCTGTGTGAATGCCAGAAAGGTTTTGGTGTGTTGTGTGCATTACACAGACTAAGGATCTTGTACAGTCTCCTGTTTCTCAAACTGCAAGCTATGATCCTCTTTATGATTAAAGTTATGTCAGAAGTGTTGAAAGAATTTATCTGGTAATTTTTAATGATGGAAGATAAAACCTAGAAAGACATTTCCTTATTACACAAATCTGTAAAAGGAAAACATGTCCTTTTCCTTCCTTGAATATTTCATCTTGAGATTCTATCCTCTGGTCAGCCCTGTGGAGAATGCAAAAAGAGAAATGACAGATCACATATTTTAAAAGTCTGAGAAAATCTTAAACTATCCTGCAGTTCCTTAACTTTGCACTCTCAATTTCACCTTTCCTTGTGTTGCCATAGGTGGTTTCTCCATGGGTTTTCCTTGAGCTTCTGTCCCTTCTACCCCCACAGCTGAATGGTCTGTCCTCACTCCATCTCAGTTTCCTCTTGTCCCTTCTCCTCCTCTTCTTTGAGACTTTTCAGATCAGGGGACAATAGACTTGCTAAATCTGCCTCAAATTTTCATCACAGCCGATTTTGTGTGTGTTACAGATAGCAGTTACAGAAAAAATGAAGAGCAGTAACCTGAAAGTCATTTGATCAAGATGTTTAGCTTTCTTTTGAATTGTGCTATATAGTAATGCAATACCCAATTACATAATTTTAACATAATTCCCAATATAAATGTTTTTATAAAAGCCTCCTTCACCTTTGAAAACACCACTAGAGTTTTGTTTCTAATCTGTGAGCACATTGAAGCCACAGATTTTTTTCCATAGACTTCAGTATTGTTTGGTTTGGGACCTTTCACATTGAGGGCCATGTGGCAGCTCAGTGTCATCTTCTGTAGCCTCTTTTCCTCTCTAGCCCAGAAAAGTGCCTGTAATTGCTCAGTCCTGGCTTACACCAAAACATAAACGGTGGCCAGACTAGCCCAAGGATTGTCTCACAAAACTGCAGAGTCCCAAACTGCAGAGTATCTTACACAGCTCTCCCTGCCTGCCCTTTCTCCTTTTCCTATGGTTTTGGTGTTCCTTTGTGCTGGCCAGGAGTAGCAGTGCTGAAATGATGGCAGATGAGTTCTCTTGGGATATTTCTGGCTTTGCCAAGGGTTGTAGTTATGTATCAGCTCACAGGAAAGGCCAGTTCCTGAGAGGTTTTCATTTCAGGAGAAAAGCCTAAGTGATTCTGGATGCACACTGTTCCTGAGTTACCAGTCAGCCATTTTCACTTGTGCTCCAGAGAAAAGCGAATGGGTGCTCATCACATGTTCCAAGAGAGGTTTTGATATGGATCAGTAAGTCCAAGTCAGAGAGAACAAATTCCGGTGTGTTTTTTCTCAAAATATTCAAGAGAGATATGGAAGTCACAGATATTTTTTTCAGGGAAAGTAAACTAAATTAACCCAGATGTGCTTTCAACAAAGTCATTTTACAAGCCCCTATTATCATCATTTAGAACAGTCTTACAACTGGAAATCAGTCATGGTTTGATGTCCTTCACTGTAAACCATGACCCAAGATGCAACAATTCAAAAATTCACTGTAGAAATGGAGATTATTTTCCTCTAGGCACTGCCATAGTAGTGTAACCCCCTCTGATGCCAGCCCAGCCCAAATGCCACCAGGAAAGTTGTTATGTCTCATCCTCCCAATACACCCTGCTGTAAAGAGCCAGCCTTGATACTTATCTAGATCTTTTTTTGAAGTGGTCATTAGTTTGAAGTTGTTATTAACTGGTTTTAATTTAATGTTCCATACCTAAACAGTCATGGTTTTTAAAATTATGGAAATAACCTCCTAAATCAGCATGGATAAAATATTCTTTTCTGTTTTGCTCATGACCTATTTAAGGATTTTTCATTTGCTTGTAAGCAAATGGATTTAGATTTCCACTCTTAAATAATAGAACTCTGAATGTTTTGGTAATAGGTATTTGTTATATTATGTTACAATAATATAGCAGGTTACCTTTTTTCATCTATTGCTTACAAAATCTAATTTACTGAAACATTTTAGTCTAACAATAGAGCACAGTAGTTCACAATTATAAATAGCTTCTAATCTTGCCTCAAACTTGTTTACTAGTGGAAGAACTTTATCTGCTTTTTTAAGAGTCTTACAAGATTCAATTTTGCATATACATCTTATAATGTGCTCAAAAGCAAGCACTTTATATATACAGTGGCCATCTAAATGCCACTAAGTACATGTCTGTTGCATGAGTACAAGGTGGATGAAAAAAAGAGAAAATATCAGCCTGCCATCTGGGCCCAACAGAGACACTGAATGCTTTGTTTACATACTTTTCAAAAAAATCTTTCTTCTTAAATTCATAATTCAACAAACCAGAAATTTATTTTATTCTTTGAAGCTTTGTTTCACCCTTGAAACACAATGAAAATTGGTTTTCATGTTAACAAAATGTTTCCCCTCTCCTAAAGCTTATGTAACATCTCCTTAATGGCAACCAAAAATAATGCATAATTAGTATTCCAAATCACTTGTTCAATATGCAGGGGCCAAGAGGTCTCGATGGTCCTCCAGGAGAACTGGGAACAGAAGGTATTAAGGTGAGTGTTTGCATTGCTCAGTATTATATAAAACACTGAGGTAGACTATAGCAGATAAAAGAAAACAAACAAAAAACCCCCAGCCTATCATGGCAAAAGCCACAGAGCTCCCTTTAATCAAAGAGATTTATAAATTTCTGCCTTTGCAGGTACTTTGAGCATATCTAAGCCTGAATCTGCATTTTCTGCAGTTAGCCAGCATTTAAACTCACAGTAAGTGTATGCAGCTTATCAAACAAATGCATGTAGAATTTTCACATTGTTTGTTATTTATCAGGGAGAAAGAGGTGATCCAGGAAAGAAAGGAGTTCCTGGGCTCATTGTAAGTATTGGAGCCAGTCTTTGTAATAAGATTTAACACAATAACTCTGATTTCTGAGCTGTGTTTGGCAATTACTTGGAGCCAGCATTATCTTTTGATGTTTCTCTTTAACCAGGGTAAAGCTGGAAACCCAGGAGAAAGAGGAGATCAGGGTGCACTTGTGAGTATGAAATTCACTAGTACTTCTACCAAAAAAAATCCAGAAAATCTCATACTTTGTTTGACACTTGGGTGTAAGGAAGCTTATTTATTTCAGAGCAGCTGGAAAACTCTGACAGTTCACATTTATTCATACAAAGAACCAGGGACAGAAGTGCAGCTTTAAGGATGAAAGTCTTAGTGACAAAGAATAATAATTCTTTGATAGATTTTGGGGTAGGTGTGTGTTATCAATGTAGGGATAAATGTAGAAATGTGTTAAATGAATATCATGTATACTTCTTTTAGTTATGCTTCTTTTAGTGCTTTTTTGAATGGAAATCTAATGTGTTGTATTTGAGGCTTTTTTTACAAAGCAAGTGATCCTTCAGTCCAAATTGTACTGGATTTTCAACAAAGAGGGAAGCAAAAAACAAAAACAAAGCAGTAATGGTGGTGAATTTGTTCTGCAGTTGAAACTCAAAATGTTGATTGTCACCATACTTCTCTTGCCTTTTCTGCTCAGATTTAGGAGCTTTTTGTGTCTCCCCTTTGACACAAGGGGTTTTCATTTCCTCTTCATTCACTAGAACTTTTAGATGTATTTATATACACAGAAATTAATGAAACAAAACCTCATTAGGCTGAAATGATGTGGAACAGCACATTTATTGCAAAGTGCAGGATACTACTGCAGCTACGGTTTCTAGAAGACATACAAGCAGCACATGGTTCTAAAGAGAGTTACAGGGAGCTGGTAAATGGTGGTTCAGCTGGTTCATCTGTGTGTAAAACAAACTAAGGGAGGATTTCTTCACGACTCCCTTATCTGCTGCAGAAGTCATGATATGTCAATGCATGTCAACCAGAAACAAAGGCTGCACATATTTCTTGGGTGTTTCTGTGTTAGTTACTGTGTGAGCAAAATCAAGAGAGGAAGTGGTGTTCTCAGAATATGAAAGAGCTTCTTTCCAATGGTTTTTGAATTTTTTTTTAAATCTTCCAGGGTTTGCTTGGGCCTCCAGGAACCACAGGAGACAGGGGACCAATGGGAGAGCCAGTAAGTTGATCCTTAAGCCTGCTTCAAAGATTTTCCATGTATTATACAAGCTCCCTGACAACTCAAGCTCCATTTTACTAAGATTCAGTATTGCCAGCTGTGGTTAGGTAGGAACTGTGGGGTGGTTGTTCCAAAACTGCAGAGCTGGAGTCTGTCTCCCTTGCCTGGTGTAACTTGTTCATGGGGAGACCTGTTAATCCTGTTGGGAAGCTCTGTAGTAAGGGGTGCACAACATAGGAGAGCATAACAGAACATGGACCACAATATCATGGGGCTTTACACCCCGTTGAGGTAGATATCTGTGTTATGTATTATGTAAATGTATGTGCCAATATTTCAGTGGTGGTTTTTAAGCAAATATTAGGATTGTTTTTCAGGAACACAGGGACCACATCTATTTGGCAAGTTAAATTTTCAAGAAGAGACTGTTGTGATTAACCTCAGACATTCCTCTGTGGGATGGATTCTTGTTACTATGTCAAAACCACACTCACTTTCATGTGGCTAATATTGTTACAGAAGATCACACAGAATCTGCAGCAAATATATGCAATGTACTGCAAGATATATCTGTGACAGGAATAGTATTGCAGCACCATCTCTAGGGGTAAATCAGATTATATAAATAAAGTGAAAATGCATGCAGCCTTAGTGGGATGTGGGAGAAGGCTCCCATTTTCTGATGCAGAAGTCTAATAGAGTTGTCAAAAATTGTGTGTTTACATTGCTTCTGGAAAGTAATTTTGCACAGCAAATTGTACATAGTTAATTTAAATCTCAAAAATGAAGTGTTGATAAAACTTATATTGTTTTTAGTATTATTAGGGTTTAGTATTTTTTTACAATATTATTTCTACTAATCCATTAACTGACATGCTTACCGAAAGTAATTGCACATTTTATGGGCTAGAAAAACACCAACAAATTTTCTTTAGAATAGAATTGCATAATTAACTTAAGCTGGCAACCTGTAGGAATGGCAAAATATTTCACAGAAAATGTGTTTTTCCAATAGTTACCACTGTATTCCTGTTGCTTAATCTCTTTCATTTATTGTATATTATCTTCATGTTGCAATATCTGAGAGCTTACAATAAAAGGTTTAAATGTCAAATTCCTGCCTTTTTCTGGCCAAGTCTGAATTTTCATATCAATAGCATGCCTGTCTGCCTTACCTAATCTAAGTGGTCTATGCTTGAGCAGCCCACATTTCTGTTGTGCTCATCATCATAGAAACTACATATTCACTGTCAGAGGAAAAGCTTATCCTGGGAACAGTGTATCTTTTCTATCAAGTGCTTGAAAGAGTGAAATGGCTTCAGAAAATGGTCTGAGGAGCTAGAAAGAAGTGATAAAATGACAGAAGATGTTGTGCAATAAAATGCCTGGCTCTTTATTTAGCTGCCTATCCAAGCAGCTTGATTTCATCCTCTGTCAGCTGGCCACTATGTGAAAGCCAGCTGCTGAGGTTTTCTGGCCCTGACACTAGTTCTACACAGAGCAGAAAACCCTAATTGTTGGGGGGGGAGCAAAGAAATATAAGCAATTAGAACTATTTGTATTAACGGGATTGATCTAAATTACACTCAAACTTTTTCTGCTTGTCAGACATTTCAGTAAAATGGTTTGCAAGTTCCGTGATGTTAATGGTTAAAAGGAGTCCCCATACTGCTATAAATTTTTGGCTTCTGAAAGTCTTGGGAGAAAGATACGTCACTGATCCAGCAGCCTCATCTCCATGGAAATATGAAGAAAGAGTTGACTTGTGAAGCAAACTGAAGCTTTGTGACACTTGCCTAGTGGAATTTCATGGAGCTGCTGCAAATGAAAATCCATGCTTAGCTTAGGACAAAATGAATTCTCAAAGGGAAATAACTGCAGTTTTAGTTGTTCATATTTAAATGAAGATAAAAGGTCAAAAATATGCATCTGCCAGAGTTCTGTCAGTAATATGCAATTTACATTGTTGTTAGAAGGGAAGAAAATATTCATGTTGTCATTGCCAGGTCATCAGGAGGAGCAAAACCATATGCATAGTCTGTAAGAGGAAGTGAAACAAAATAGAGTAAATATTTGTTTAAAAAGCTTCTGTCATAAATAGAAGCAACATCTTTCTTTTACATGAGAATCATAGATCAAGAAAATGTTTTGAATTTAGAATGTGTTTAGACACAGATGAAATACCAAAGGGGTAAATAGATATGAACTTCCTTGAAGTTCCAAGGTTGGTTATAACTTACATTCATAGTGGCTATAGAATTAGCTGTAAGCTGTTCCAGGCAATTCCTGCTCTGGGAGCCCCCATCTCACATGTGCCACTTTGGGAAATGATCCCTGGGTGTTGCTTATTTAAGGCTTATAATGTATAATCATATATAAAGCCATGTAAGGTTTATAATAAAATGCTTATGGTATAGTTATTAATGTTATTAAGAAGGCTCCAGCCTCTAGCCTGTTATGCCTCAGTGACTGTTCTGTACAAATGCTGCTAAATCCATGGTGAAGTCGTTGTTTTCAGTTAATTCCATACCAGACTGTAGGCTTTTCCACAAAACAAACCAGACAGTCTAACAAATCTTAATTAAACAAAGTCTCAACTAGTCAAGAGAAGAGCTTAGTTCAGATAATAATTTATTTTTGATCTAAAAGAAAATACATCTGTGCTATTATTTGAGATCTGTTATTTCAGTGTGTCAAGGTTGGTGCTGTGTGCCATCATGAGACTTGGATACACTGTTGGATTCAGGAGGAAAGACAATGAAATACATTTCTTTATTCCAGTTGGAAGAGTTGTGAAGAGACAAATTAAACACTCTACAATGTAATTTAATGTTAATTGAATGATGCATCCAAAATTTTGTTTAATGCCAGGGTCCAAGAGGACAACCAGGAGATGCTGGCCCTATTGGAGAAACGGGTTTTGAGGTGAGATTTTAATCACTCATATAGTAATTACAAATACTCAAACAGCTGAATAAGCCTGGACAATATGTTTGTAAAAATTATTCTTACTGCCTGCAGCTGACTTAAATATAATGAGCTACAGAAAGACTCTTACTTAAAACTGTTACCAAAAATGTCTGAAATAATTAGCTTGTTCTGTTGTAAGCACTGTCTCTGAGCATACAGTCATAACATTTCTCATAGAAGGTGAATGTTTAATTAAGCAAACAACTTTTTTTTTTATTTTGGAAAAACTGTTCTTGCAGTTAGGCAGTAAAACACCATTAATCATATGTTCTTTCAAATTGTACATAAAAGAAAGCAGCTGTAGACAGCCTTCTTCCTAACTTCTGCTTCTGTTTTTTGCTTTCTTTTTAATATTTCATTGAGAGAAATGTGACAGAATGTATTAGCCACATTTGTAATGAAGTACCTGAGGGATGAGCTCACTTAGAACAGTAGGGATTTGGCTTATTCAAAGAAACGCTCTTCCTCAGCCTCCCAAAATCCAGACTTCTCACTATTAAGAAAAGGCTCATATGTAAACTTTACAGAAAGCATTCTGATACCATCAGCTCATTAAGGGCTGAGGCCTCCAGAAAGGGCTGAGTTCTCCAAAGGCTGTACCTACTTGGCTGCAAGCCTAAACAGTTGTCAGTCAGATTTACAGAGGATAGATGCTGTCTCAGCAGTAATTTATGGTGAAAGGTGCAGGCTTAGTGGTACTGCTGAGTCTTCAATATGTTCCTGACCCACAGTGCATTTCCTGAACTCCTTCTATACCCCCCTTTCTTTTCTGTTTGGCTCTAGGAAGAACAAAGAACTATGTTGTCTTGATTTGATTTTCAGACCTTCGTCTTTCCCAGTGTCTCATGTCATTCTTCTGCTTCAGTTTGGGGTGTTTTATTTAATTGTTGCAAAATTATTACTAGTGGTCATGTAACAGTAGCTCTTGTACCATGCAGGGACCTCCTGGCCCTGAAGGAGAACCTGGTCTGCAGGGGGAACCAGGCACAAAGGTAAATGTTGAGATTATTCTCTGTTAAGATGCTTATATTTTCAAATTTTCATAAAAGCAAATCAGAGAGACCTGATTCTTTAGCCAAGTAGACAGTGATACAGGAAAGGGACCATTAAAAAATACTGTTATTGTCATGACTCCATCAGCTGTAAACCCTGTCATTGTTATGAATATTGTCCTTTAAAATCCAGTGATTTTCCTTGTGATATCCCAGGGAGACGTTGGACCTGCTGGGAAGGCTGGAGAACCAGGTGACCAAGGTTTAAGGGTAAGCTGTCAATGCAAATCTTCTTCCACAACAGAAAAGTGTTTTATGAATGAAGTTCAGGTTAAGAAATCTTGATATATCAGAAGAGTCCAGTAAGAAGCTATTTTCTGATAGCTTCTTTTTTAAAGAAAAAGCAAAACAGTGTAATATTGTAGCAAGTTTAAAAGAGTACTGATTGGGGAAAGGCAGCTTGAGAGCTGCTCAGCAGAAAGGGACTTGGAGATGCTGGTGAACAGCATCTGAACATGTGCCCAGGTGGCCAGAAGGCCAATGGCCCCCTGGCCTGTGTCAGAAATAGTGTGGCCAGCAGGACCAGGGCCGTGAATTTTTCCCTGTACTTGGCACTGCTAAAGCTGCACCTTGAGCTTGAGTTTTGGGTCTCATTTCAAAAGAGACCTAAAGGTGCTGGAGCATGTCCAGAGAAGGGCAACAGAGCTGCTGAAGCACAGATTTTGTGAGAAGCAGCTGAGAGAGCAGGGGTTGTTTAACCTGAAGAAAAGGAGGCTCATTGCTCTCCACACCTACCTGAAAGGAGGCTGTAGTGAGGTGGGGGTCAGCCTCTACTGCCAGCTAACAAATGAGAGAATGAATGGCCTTAAGTCGTACCAGGAGAGGTTCAGATTGGATATTAGAAGTAAAATTTTCACTAAAAGAGTAATTAGGCATTGGAATAAGTTCCCATAGGAGGTGGTGGAGTCCCTGTCTCTTGAAGTGTTTGAGAGGCATCTGGGTGTGGCACTTGGGAATATGATTGTGGTGGTGCTGGGCTGACTGTTGGACTAGATGGTCTTGAAGCTTTCTTTCAACCTTAATGATTTTGTGTGATTCTGTGATTATGTTGTTGAAATGTTTCTGATGGTAAATGGCCCTACAGCAAGTCTGTAAACATACCAGTATAGTAGTTATTGACATAAACATGGAAGTTTCAGGGCAGATTAGATATATTTTTGAGGTTACTGTAATTACATGTTATATACTCTGAAACCAAACAAAATCTCAGTGCCACTGTCTAAATCTCCAGGGTTATATGGGCATAGTATGGCCTCATTTTTCTAATGCTGATCATCTTTTATATTTTCTTGCGTTGGATATTCATAGGCTGTGACACTGAAGATAAATAAACTGTAACAGCAACATAAAAGTTGCCCAAAAGATAATAAACATGTATAAAACTGAGCATGAGTCAAGAGCTTTAGGCAATAACTTTGTTTTCAACTGTTTCTTTCTATAAGGGTGAACCAGGGCCTCCAGGAGAAGATGGTGTTCAAGGAAAAGATGGCCCAAAGGTACATTAAGTTTTTGTAGCAGATGTGAAGTACTCTTAGCCTAAGGACCCAAATTCTTTAACCTAGGTCAGCATCTGATCAACTGAGCCCTGTTGAGTGCACTTAGTCTTAACATAGACATCCTGTAAAGTACAGGCTTTTCTGTACCTTTTATGTACATATCTACCTTGCAAGGGCTGCAAAGCTGAATGCCTTGACAAAGAAAAGCAGGCTTTACCTGAGTACAGCTTTGGTCTGTGGTGAATAAAGTGCTGGGGAAAGCAAGCCCAAGGCTGCTCTGCTCCCTGGATTGGATCAGTACTGTGCCAGGGACTGTGGCAGGTGCCAGGACAGGGGATGTCATAGAGAACAACCTCAGATACTTGGTGATGGATGAGGCAAAATGTGGCTGTAGGAGTGTATGAATGAGATAGAAAGGGCTTTACCCTAACTTAGAGCCTGATCTGAATTTGCCTGGGAAGATTCACATCAGTTTCAGCATGCTTTTTTTCAAACTCAGAGACCCAGAATTTCCTTTTCTTATGACAAGTAATTCTGTGGCAGCAGCTTGACTGAAGGATTTTTGGGGTTTCTTTTATTGTGTTTTAGGGAGACCCTGGAGACCAGGGACTTGTTGGAGAAGGTGGTGAAAAAGGAGAGATGGGATTACCAGGAGATTCTGGGCCCCCTGGTGAGCCTGGTATAATGGGAATTCCTGTAAGTGTTTTACAGTTAAAATGGACTTCTTGTTCGTTTGCTTTTAGTAAACAAAGCTAATTTTTCCTTCTTCCTTTATTTTTGATTTTTCTGGTTTTCTATGTAATTAGAGATGACCATATTTAAATAAGCTTGCAGTGTGGTTCAGGATTGGTAGAGAGAGGAGACAAATGCTTTTCCTACCTTCAGTATGTGACCCCTTGGCAAATAGTGATTCCTCACCACCTGTCATCCAGACACACGTGCCACACAACCTGGAGCCTGTCACTTCAGATCTCTCCTCTCCAAACAATATGGCAGCAAGCATACACAGATCAAATAGTGGGCAAGCATTAGAATTCACATGCAACATTGTTAGATCAGTTTGCCTATTTGTTCTGGCATCACTCCTAGCAACTAAAATCCATCCACAAAATTGTAAGCAACTTCTTCCTGAGAACTAATTTTGGAGCACAGTTTCCAAAGCAAGTATTGTAGCTTTAAATCAGACCAACTTTCCTTACCAAAAATCATCATGTTCTCATTTGTAGTCCTCTGGCTGCCTTCTGTGTAGCTCTTATGTGATGGTGGGGTCTGACAAAACATTAGTTGCAAAGCCAGCTGTTCACGGCTGTGAGCACTGTCCACTCTGTCCTCTAAGCATCAGTGTTATATTCTGAATTCTTTGCAGTGAACTGCTTTCCTAGGGAAAGAAAAAAGTGTTCTTTTGGTTGTTGGCACCCTTAGTGCTCTGCAGAACAAGGTTTGTTTCTTTGACTATTTTGAATTGGTAATTTTGCAGAACACTGAAAGTTTCATACATTGAAATTATTGTAAAACAGCTCGACCCTGGCATGTCTATGTAATTATGCTTGTGTACAATAAACAACATCAGCAGTGCTTCTGTGCCTCAGTGAGACAGGCAGGTCTGGCAATTCGATTTTGGGGAGGATGTGGTTAGGGAGGGATTTTTCACGTTTTTGTTCTTCATGCTCCAAAGGCAGCTCTACAGCTGCCTTCTTCTCCACTCGTCCTCCCTGGCATCTAGGAGTGTACACACCACGGTTTTGGTCTGGCCTCCTTCTAGGGATGCAGACAGATCATAATATCCTAGTCTAAACATGGAAATCATTTTCCTATAGCCCATTGTCTGAGTGTTTCTTTGGAGGTGAGAGTAATATTAGATTTTCCTTAAATAGTAGCTTACGAAGCAACAAATAAGCTTCACAAATCTGTAAAGTAATATTTTCTGTGTGTACAAGCTTTATTGGGGTTTTTTCTCCCCTGTTTGCAGTGCATTTCCATTACTTTGATAAATAATCCCTAATACTTGCCCACTTGTTTATGCCATAACTTGAGGCAGCCCTACTAACTTGCTTACAGACACAGTTAATGATATTTTTCTTCCCACCTCTCTGCTTTACAAAAGCCTACTTAGTTATGCAGTTTGGAGTACAGGTTTAACATGTTCCAGGCCCTTCTCAATCATTTCTTTTTCTCTCCCTGATAAACCTATAGGGTCCTGAAGGAACACCAGGAAATCCAGGCCAGAGGGGCCGTTCAGGAAAGAAGGTAGTATTTTTCATCTTCCCCACTTCCCTTCCTTTTATCTGAAACTCAAATTTACATTACAAAATTCCACTGAACCAAAACTATCCCTGTTTTGTGTCATGCTTCAAGCCAATTTTTTTTCTTGTTAGCCATAGCAATTAGAATTGTCAACATTCTGCAATCAATAACATTCAAGGTCTTAGGAAATTTAAATTTGTTTCAGGATGTGCTTTTGCAACTCAGAAGAGTTTCTGCTTTAAGCTTTGGCTAAAAGAAAACAAAAACATAATGGGAAGGCTTTAGCAGACTTTTTTATATTGCAGAGTTCTGGGCTCAGACATTCTAATAACTACAGTAAATAACATACAGTAAATATAATACCTAATAAATAATACTGTTATACATTTTGATTAAGCATAAACTGCATTTTGAAACTAAATGTCGATCTCTTATGATCTCTTATTATTTTTAATACAATAACACCAACAGGGGGAAAAGGGGCAGCTTGGCCCTCCAGGAGAAACTGGACCTGCTGGTGATTCTGGCCAGCCTGGAAAAACTGGTCCCAAAGGTGCAAGAGGAACTCGAGGTCCCGTGGTTAGTACAAAGCATGATTACTTCAGAGCTCAGAGGTCTTTCAGCATCAGAATGAGACCTGTTCACTTCACAAAACAGAAACCTGGGGCATGGATCTGGAAGGAACCATCTCAAGCTTTTGGTCATCTGACAATTAGGGGAACGGGATGGCAGAGCACACCATGGAATACTCATGTCCCACACTCCACACATAACCTCACTGCTGTGGGTGTTTATAAACCTTTCCAGTTCCAAGAACAAAAATCAAGGGGTTTACTATCACATTCAATAAGCCTTAGCCATGGATGAAACAAAGCATTTCAGATGAAGACTACCACTCCAATCAAATAGGAATCTGATCCAAAGTTAACTGAATTAAGTCTATTCCATTGACTTTTAGCTCCTTTCATAGTAAGCTCCCCAAGCTTGCTCCATACTGTGTGACAGATGCACAGACACAGGCTCCACTCTAGAGAGGCAACGTGCCTGTCTCAGTCCAGTCTTGTGGCCACTGAATGCAGCAGTGTGATCCTGAGCACATGAAGTACAAAAGCAAAGTTTACTATATAATGGCCAACACTTTCAAGGAAGAAGTCAACTTTCTGAGGTGATGACCACCCCTTGCTTCTCTTGGCATATTAACACTTATAAAGAGAGTTCTTCCACATCTCTCAAAGCTCAGATCTTTTTATTTAATTATGCACAAAGATTCTAAGGTTAGGACTGAAAACACTGACCATTTTTTCCACAGAAGAATGAAAAGCCCAGTATTCTTTAATAAATGAAGTAAGACCTACAAGATAGTTGATAGTGGTGTCAAATGTCAATATTTCAAGATTTTTCCAAGTGCTTACTTTATAAAGTAGACATTGTTGTAGCACTTTGCAAAGAAGCTCCTTTCTTGCTCACTGATTACTGCATTTAACAGGGACACCTAGGAGGAATGGGACCCGAAGGAGAGCCAGGAATTCCAGGTTATGGGGTACGTTTTTTACTAAATTCAGGTACACATACATCCCAAAGTAAGTCTGTGGTACTCTAATTTCAAATATCTTAGGAATCTGTATCTAGAGTACACAAATATTTTCAGGAAAGCCAGATACTCACTGATGTTTATATGACGTGCTTGCCTACTCAGAAATGTTAGCCTTAAGCAAGGATGCCTGGTTTTTGTGAGTTCGCTCACGGGGAGGTTTGACCACAAACTTTAAACTGTTGTTTATCCAATGTTTCTCACCCCTTCTGAACAAAGTTCCTCTGAAACTACCACAGCTATTCATTATAAAGAGAGCTCAGCAAACACCACCATCTCTGCTTGCTGTCTGGCCATGTAGTTTCCATTTCAGTAACAGAAACTGATTGAATGAGGTTATTCGAAGGACATAAAGATATTGTGGCTTTCACTGAAAAATAGCTGTGAAAATCATCATAGATGGATTGAGTCATCCTCTTACAGAGCAGTTTCTTTTCCAAACACAAAGACCCATCACTGACCCTAACTTTCAAGGAAGAACCAGCCCAGCTCCCATCACCTGCATTGTCCCATCAGAATATGTAATTTCCCGGTGTGCATAGAGCTTTTCCTGCACACAGCCCATTTTCTGCCATTGATTTTGTTGTCATAACATGATTTAGAATAATTTGCAAACAGGAAAAGAAATGTAGCAAGTAGCTGAAAGAAATTTTGGTATTAATTATTTTTTAAATTATTTGTTTTAAAATAATTTGTATTTGATTTGTTTCTTTAGGGTCACCAGGGTCCTCCAGGGCCCTCAGGGCCCCCAGGCCCCAAAGGAGAAAAGGTATGAACATGGGTTTTACTGATCTGTTCTGTGAAATTATAAAGGGAGGAAATGTTACTGCACACCCACTGTTTTCCATAGCAAGCAGCTAAAGCCACCATTTGCAGTATTTGTTAGTATTGTCAAAGACTATGAAAAGAAATTAAAAGTGAGGAAATGGGACATTTGGAGATGGAGTCCCAAATCAGACTGTTAAAATGTTTGAGGTTTTAAAAGACAAGGTACCCATTGTACAGAACAGTCTATTGTATCAGACAACATCACTGCCCTTAGCAAGCACTGCTGACAAAAATAATCAGTGCAGAACCAGCTAAATATTTACTTAACTCTGAGCCTGTGAGTACACCCACAGATTTGCCTGGAAGCCCAACTAGGATGGACAAATGTCTGTGGTTAATATAAAATGTTAGGGACAGGATGTGGCCTCAGTGCTGCTATTTTAGTGTGAAATTTACTGTTGTTCTCTCAAGTTTCAAATCCTGAAAACAGATTTGTATGCTCACTGTGTCCCCACGAAGGCAACACCATGGATTCATCTCCCAGAGATTGGATGGGAGCTGCCCTTGACACAGAGCTACAACAAGAGCGAGTTTGGCAATAAATACTGTGAATAGAATTCAGTGCTTGATGTTATAAACAGGTTTTGATATGATTTAGGAAACAATAACCGAAAACTAATTTGTTGAGAGCTAGGTGTCTAGATTGCCTGGTCACTTCTGAAAAACCACTTTGATGCACTGTAGAAGTCCTTAATCATATTTAAAATGTGATTCTCTTTGCATTACTGTTGCTAGGTATCATCTGGAATAGATAATCTTTTGTCTATTAACTTGGATGGCAGTTATTTCATATTTAAATTTTAATAGACTTCAGACTTAATGTTGGAGTCTTCTGTACTCTTGTTTTTCTTTATATTAAGTGCATTTCTCAAAATAGTGGAAGAAATTTTCTTTTTTTCCCTTGTCAGATATCCTGTTTATCCTTTTTTTCATTAAATAAAGACATAATTACATGGATATTGTTCAATTAATTTTTTTCCTTATAGCTGCCTTAGAGAATAAAGTTAATATTTAGCTTTTTTTAGGCCTTAATATCTTTGGGACATTTAGGTGAATGTTAAAATGGAGTTACCATATCCATTACATTAAACCATAAGCATCATATTCACTTATAGCATCTATAGAATGTCTTCTCTGCTTTTTATTAGCATTTGAACTTATGTGCATGGTTGAGGTTGAACTTCCAAGCTAAGTTTTTTTAATACTTATCTTTGATTTAGGGTTACCCAGGCGAAGACAATACAGTCCCTGGACTACCTGGGCCCATAGGTGAACCAGTAGGTCTTTCTTTCTCAAAAAAATTATACTAGTGCATCTCAAGACAAGAGCCAATGCATTTATTTCTGAAGCTTTATATCACTGTCTCAGAAATCAATACAAAAACATAGAGTGATGGTCCCTTAATGAGTAATCTCTCTCTGAAAATGCTGTTATGTGCTCTTTCCTGCTTAAACATCTGTGCCCTCTATTTAATTACACTAATGCCATTAGTCTGTGTTTAAATCAGCACATTCTAGAAAATTTTAAAACTCTGTTTACCCTGAGTTATACTTAATTGCTTTACTAATCAAAAATGTTTTGTTTCATTATCACTGGAAACTAATTGGGCTGATTTAGAGAACTGCATTTTGTAACCATTTTTGTCCTGAATTCATATGTGGAGTGTATCTCTGCAGCATTTATGAACCTGTCAAAATTATTAGGACAAACTTCAAAATTAAAGCAGATTTTGAGTACAGCAAGTCATTTCAGAAAAGAATCCAGATTTTAATGGGATGTGTTACAGAAGCCATAAGAGAGCTTTCCTTGCTTGACTTGAAACGAGAGTAACTTCATTTATCCATTCAGATTTTAAATTCCTACATATATATATATTTATATATAAGTATAAATCTGAAGAAGTTCCACTGAGGTCAATCCTCCCTTCTGTTTCATTAAGCCCCATGTAATATTTATCTTTTAGCTTCTAATCTGCAGTTACAAAAAAATTTAGCCTGTGGCCACTGTCTGACTGCAATGCATTCTGTTTAGAAAAAAATCATGTTTATTCCTTTGGCCAAGCTAACCTTTATGTTTATATTCCTGAGTTCCCTCCCAGTGGTTAGTCTGTTTTGAGAGAAATCCCAGCTTTGTGTTCATATTTCACTGCAGCATTATATTCAGCTCAGCTGTTACATTTTGCTCTTTGGTTTGCTCTCTAGGGTCGAAGTGGTGAACGTGGAGATAGAGGAGAGCCTGGTGATGAGGGCTACAAGGTAATGAATACCTTTGGGGTTTTAGCCTTTGTATTTGAACATGGCATGCTATGCAGACGTGAGGAGTAATGCAGCAGAGGTGTCGTCTGCCCTCACAGGTGTGCAGAGATGCTCGTGCTGGTCCCTCCCTGCACTGATGCACTCTTGGAGCACTTTGGAGCATCTTTGCTATGGGGACATGGGAGCTGCAACTCCTCAGCTGGAGAAGGCTCCAGGGACCCTAGTGTGTGTAAATACCTGATGGGAGGAAATTAAGATAAAGTAGACAGGCTTGTCTCAGTAGTCTCCAGTGACAGGACAAAAGGCAAAGGGCAAAAACTGAAACACATGAAATTCCTTTTGAAATTACTTTTTTTACTGTGAGGATGACTGAACACCAGAACAGGTTGCCCATAGAGGTTGTGGAGTCTCTATCTGTGGAAATACTGAGAACTTGACTAGACATGATCCTGGACAATCATATCTAGCTCGCCTTGCTTGAGAAAGAGGGTTCCATAAATGATCTCAAAATGTCACTTCTAACCTAAACAGTTCTGTGTTTCTGCAATATTGTATTACTTAACGTTTTTCTCTGAAATTTAAGCACTACTTACTGTAAATCAAATCCTAGAAATTATTCATTAATTTCACTCAGTCTTTCAGCACATAAAAAGTGGATGGTAGCTCATGCTTATCAGTGATGCAGTTCACTGAAATACAAGAGAGACAGTCCTTGACATGGAATATTCAAGTTGCACAGTAATACAGACAGACATAGTAATAAATTAATGTACCAAATCTATGCTTACAGAAGTGCAGAAATGTTTTAAACAATATGTAATTCCCACTTGCAACTTGGAGTAGAGAATGTAAAGAATAAAAGCTCTGTAGAGTTTGATCTTGGAGATCTGACCATACTTCATCTAAGCCATGTCAATGAATCTGGGTCCACCCAGCACCTCCCAGGATGGGCTTTACAAGGAAGTCTGTAGCTCACTGGGCATGGCAGCCTGACTTACCTTTATTGCAATAATTTAATTTTTTCTCCTTCCCAGGGTCATATAGGTCTTCCAGGGCTTAGAGGACCTGTTGGACAACAAGGGCCTCCAGTAAGTGTTTCAAACAAGTGAGATTTCTCAATCGAATGTTGAAAACATATTTTCATTTGCATTCAAATGATTCTTTTCATTTATTTAATGTATGTTCTTTTCAAAGGGAGAGCCAGGTGAATTGGGAGAGCAAGGACCAAAAGGAGAAAGAGGTTCAGAAGTAAGTAGAAAAGAGTAAATCAAAACTGCATTTCAGTGGAATTTGTAGAGTTTTGTTGTTCACTGGCTGTGCTTGGAAAAGTGTTCCATAAGGCTAAAACTGAGTGTGTGGGTTTCCTTTTCATACCTGCAGGGACAAAAAAAGAAAAATATAAAATGGAAAATTGCGTAATGATCATGGTTAGTAAATATGTGTTATTTGATAGGTAAGTAGTTTTAGTTTGGAGTGATATCAAGCATTATGAGAGGCTGTTCTGGAATTTGAGTGATATTTAATTATCCCCTAAAGTGGAGTTTCTTGTGGCAAAGTAGCTCTGGAGGCCAACTGGGATTTTTCTTCTCTGTTCTGTAAATGAAGCCTCCTGGTACTGCACTGCACTGAATTTTCAGAGACTGAGAATAAGGAATTTGCTACAGAATACTAGAGCAATAATGACAGAGCAAGTCATGACAAAGTTCAAAGACCAAATCTTTCTCTTTGGAAATATTAGTTCATCTCAATAATGTGTTGAAAATTGCCAGAAGTGTTTGTGTTCTCCCATGGACTGAATGTCATTGGCTTTTGAGATTTCAAAAGATTTAGGCTAAAAGATTTCTTAAAATACCAATTACCATTGCAATTGAAATGAGGTATTTTGTCTGAGAAGTTCCATAAAGCAGCTCTTTTAGAGTTTCAAAATTTTGTAGGTAATTCCAAGAATCTGTAGTAGACTCCAACTGGGGAGTAACAGAAAGGAAATATGATGTGGAGACATTGTGAGCATGTACTCTGGCTGTGAACTCAGATATCTGGCTTTTGACAAACTACTCACATCCCAGGACCCAGGAATCAGCAATCTCTAGAAGAAATGTTTTCTTTGTCTTGCAAATGCCTCTCAGATTAACATTGCCATTTACAAATGTGGAACCAATATCTGGCATGGAGTTACCTGTGAGAGTTTCAAGATTTCCACGGAAGTGTTAGCAGTGAAAACATTAATGTAGTCTTAACTCCTGTGGCATTACTGGTGCTGCTATAACAAGTCTTGCAAAGCTAATCCCATAAACTGCAATGCTGAATCATCTGGGTTTACTTTATGTGCATCCAGAAATCTTAATGAAAGCAATATAAAGTTATTAACATTAAGTTATTTGAATATACACAACCCAGTTCTGATTGGTGGACTTCTTTAAGCCATCCTTAACAAAAAAGGCATTCAATTGAGCAATAGAACAACATTTTGCTGGTTCTGTCATATTTGCATAATGATAAAACATTTACACTTATAATAACCTACACTTTTTCACTTTATTGCATGTTGTGTCATATTGCAGCATGGTAGTTATAGCATAACTTCTGCTTTAAGAAGTGTGTTTGAAATAATTAGTCTGGAAAATCTTGGAAATTTTTTCGACTTGTTCTATGCTAATGAGCGTTTTTCTTGTCCCTGTTCTTCAGTGGTTGCATCTTTTAGAGTTAGGATAAAATGGATGCTATAAATCTTTATAATCTGTGCAGACTATCCTTTAACAAAGTTCTCTGAGAAGCTTTTGACCCATTCTGAGCTTTCTTCTTTGGTGCATGACCTCCTGTGTCATAAGCCACTTACAAGAATGTTACCTGTCCAGTTTCTCTCAGTTTTCTAAGACTACCAATTTCTAGATCAGTTAAGATGGAAAAAAATCTGGTTCTAAGCAGATTTTATCTTTTGTGTAGCTCTTAGGTAAAAATGACTTTCCATGACTTCCCTTTTAAAAAGTACAGGAAATACTTTAAAAGTTTACTTCCTCACAGGGGGGTGGCTGATACAAGGGAAATTGCCAGATTCATGATGAAAAACATTTTATGCTTATTGTTGGAAAAGTTTTAAAAACTGGTTCACAACAGGGAAAAACATACATAATTCTGCCAAAAATGTATTTGCTTTTACTTGAAAAACTTTCTGCTGTCTCCTGAAATGTGAATAATCTGGTCCCAAGCCAGGCAATGTGAACATGGATACTAGAGGGGAACAATCCTCAGCTCTTCTTAGGGAATTGAATTTAAGACTTTTGTCAGTTGACAAATATTTGTAACTTCTAGGGGCCCACAGGGAAGAAAGGAGCAACAGGTCAAGCAGGCAAGGCTGGAATTCCTGTAAGTAACAAAATTCTAGACCCTATTTTCAGATTATAAAACAAAGAAAATACTAACTAATAAAACCAAAATTGAATCATGTCAGGGTTACCAGAATGCCTTGTGTTCACTCTAAAGAACCTTCTTATTATCCAGAAAGTGTGAAGGAACCCCTGTCATTTGTGAATATTAATAATTTTTGAAATTTTGTTAAATTATACCAATATTATATTCAGTCACTTGACATATGGAAGTGACATGCAACTAACACTAAGGTCCTTAGCACTTGTGAAGTTATTTAATTAGCTCATTTGTGGAGTCCATTTGGAAGTTCACATTATATTGCACAGAACTGTACTTGTGTTCACTTCTGACCCCATCAGTTCTTTGATCCAGTGCAGCCCACAGAAGCTTGGACCCATATGTCCATGATGGATACATGTGGTAAATGCCTTGAGGTTTGTTTGTTTCTCTTGCTTGCCCTGAGCTGAAAGTTTTAATGTTTTTTCTTGAGTTACTGTAGAGGAGCTGACTTGCACACCCTTCTCCCTGAGGGAGAAAACAGAGCAGGAAGCAGTAGGTGTTCTGTAAACATAATGAAGAACAAAATGCATCAAGGTTATTTTGGTCCCTTAATAAATAATGCCACTCAAGCACATATTGTAAATAACTTTTATTACCTCACATCAAAACATTGTCAGTAACTGGAGAAATGCAGCTGTTGCACAGAGCTTGTACCTGCTGGGCAGAGTGCAAGAGGAGCCTTTTGAAGACAAGCAACTGTGTGTCCTTTGTAAATACTCTGCATTTTCTTTTGGAGGACTGCAGGGATCATTCAGCAGACAAAGGGAAAGAAGGAAAGCAAGACATACAGAGAAATGAGAAGGCAGTAAAACTAGAACTTGAGGAAGTTTCAAAGCACATCCCAAATGAAGATACTTAAGCAGCCAGAAGTTAGAAATAAGATTAGGATGGCACACTTCTTATATTCTATGTGGCTGGTGTTACAATACTTTTTCAGACAAAATGTGTTGTAGTTAGAACATTTTACATTTCTGAGAAATGGCATTTATAGAGAGATTAATGCAGAACTCCAAGCTTTTTAAGACAGTGTATGTCAGTCTAAAGGGAAATAATTGTAAGGAAAAAATCAGTGTTCTTCTGTTGGATGTGCCATGAGGTCTTTTTTGTGTAAGTATAGCAACAGTTACCACAAACTTATATTAAATTATAAATTTGTATTTTTGAACAGCATAAATTTGTGGAAGTCCAGTACTGAGCATTTAGTAAAATAAAGGCTGAAAAGGTATATGGTTAGGTTTTTTCCAAGAATAAATAGATGACTTTATCAGGTTTCCTCACTTCAGTTTAAGAATTGACACGCTCAGGCATCTTCCAGGCCTGGCACACAAAGGGGTCAGTCCCATGATTTCAGATGAAGCTGCTCAGATCCCGTGGCAGGGCAAGTCTAAGGTTTAACCAAACCAATAGAGCTCTAAACCAGACATCCTAACTCAGAGCTCCCTCTGCCACCATTCATATCCCTCGGTCTGCTGCTAGGCAGGGTTTGGGAAATGCTGTGACTGAAATCGTGTTATGGGAGAGTGAAGATGAAGAGAGCCAACAGTGCTATATTTGATTTTAATTTTTTTTCAAGGGAAAACCAGGGCCACCAGGGCAGAAAGGAGCAGTTGGGTACCCTGGACCAGAAGGCATTCCTGGGAATCCTGGCAAGACTGGGCTGTCAGGGGAGCCTGGCCCTAAGGTAAGTCGCTTTCCACATTCCCTCAATGTCATTTTGCATTACAGATTTTCCAGGGTTAAGGTACTTAAAAAGAAGAGACCATCCTCAGTTCTCCGAGTATCTTGAAAATTTTACCAATTTTTTTGTTTTCTTTCTCTTTTGCTCCTGATAATCCAAAGCCAAGATATAAAGTTAGCATAAGGAAGTGTGCTCTGAGAAGAGCTATTTCATTGGTATATGACAGAAGTAGCTACAGCTAAAGTTGTTTCTTAGAGAGGCTGCACAATTCTGTTCCTGAAAATGAGCCTGAGACTATTTCCTCTTAGGGTCTGAGATAATCCTAAATTTTCTTTATTGACTTAGTGTTTGTAACCTGTGTCTGTCTACCTAAATAATTACAAAGCTTTGTCCAAAACCAGTGAAATAGAGTATTAGGTATGTGAGGTATCTAAGAGCATTCTTGGAAATGGGTTTTTGTCTGACTGTTCTTTGCTGTGGGCCAAAGGTGGTGACCTGCTGCCTCTGGGAGCAGTGACACAGCTCTTAGATTAGTCCCTCCAGAGAGGGGGGGAATGATGGGAATGATTCCTGTTCCTTGAGTAGTTCTCATCATTGAAAGTCTGATCACTTTGATTTCCAGTATGAATTTCTCAGTTGTTCTACTCAGATGAGCCAGTAATTGTAATGAAAGGTTGCCAAGTTAGATTTGGCATTAGGAATTAGCCAAGATGCTGCATGAGACACTGTTGTTTCAGGTATAAATTTCCAATCTGGTTGAACAAAGAGAAAATTAAACAAGTTACCCGTAGGGGGCAGGTGCAGCCTACTCAAGCCTCTCCAGTCTCAGGTCATGAACCTCTGCCAAATTCTTAAAATTCTTTGGAGCTGGATTTAGGACAATCACCCCAAAGAATTTTTACATTTTTGCTTTTCCACTGAAGATGTCATACAATTATAGTAAAGACAACTCCATTACCCGATTACAGTTTGCAGTAAAGGGAGGCTTATAACTGATCTTTGCCACAATGAATAAAAAGAGCAGAACTTTTGCTATGTAAGTTTATCAGTCCATCAATCTATAAGCCACAGCACCATATTCAAAAGCCCAGAAAAATCACATTTAATATAAAAATCATGTTTTATACAACCATTTTATTTCTATGAGTGCTTAACTGAATGTCATAGGAAATAAGGAAGATTTATATAGTCATATATTTCTATTAATTACATCACAGAAATATTAATTTGTATGGTAGCAGATTTCCATTTTGTATTTTTTAACATGTCAAAAGTAGCTTAACTCCATGTACTCCCTAACATGCTTTTTCATTTAAAATAGTTGCTTTTTTTTATAGGCTGATGTTTTCATGCATTTTCAGAACAAATGCTCTGATCTTTTTTCATCTAGTAATGTTATTGTGTGTGAATCTTTACAGAGTGTACACAGCCATACTAGTATTACCAGTATGCCTGATCCTTATAAATAAACATGTTGAATTTTGAATATTTCTTTGGGAAGGTAGTCTCATTCTATTCCACGTGGAGTTACTTCTTCTTGAAAAATGAATACTGTGTTACTTTTGGAATATTAGAAGAAATCCCTATGATACTGCTGATCATTGTCTTTCTATATATTTTTATGTACTGTCATTGTGTGTCCATACCTACAGAAAGCTTTAAATGGTTTTGACTGATTTTATGTTACTTGCCTGTTTCAGCATACACTGAAAAGCACGCTTGGCTGTTCTGCTTGTAAACCATTCTTTTCAATTTGTTAAGGGCAATAAAGGAAACTCAGGCTTACCAGGTCTAGCAGGTTATCCTGGAGCTCGAGGTCCCAAGGGATTGCCAGGCATGCCAGGGCCCATGGGAGCACCTGGACTAAAGGTAGGGACACACATGGGATCTGGTTATTTGAGTACAGTTTTACTGATATTGCTTATTCCTCACACTGCATTTAGTGGCTGTGGAACCACCACACTGCTGTTAATCATGGGAGTAACAAACAGCAAGTCTTATTTGAAGGGTAAGATTACAAGTTGTGTTTACCACATTTCTATAAACTGTAAGGGGGAAATAGAGATCTCATCCATCTGAATGCTATTCCCAACTCCAGAAGCCATCAAAACACTTTGTACTTATTTACTCCATCTTTAGGGTCAGATGTTTCCTGACTTTTATTTCTAAACTTCTGTACCTACTAGAGCAGTTGGGATGATTTAAATATCTAAGCAATCTAGTAGCAGAGCATTACCATAACTTCAAGCCTAAGTCCCAGGTTTGGGGGCTAATAAGTGTATCTGGGATGTCCATTTATCACGGGACTTGAATTGTTTTTTTCAGCCTTTTCAGTAAAAAAGAAATCTGTGCGTGCTCCATTTTTCAGGCAGATCCAGGTACCTGATATTGGCATATCCTCATATTAATTAGACTCATTTCAGTTTTAAAACAAGCAAACAATGAAACATTATAAATAATTTTCTTCACTTAAAATTGAATTTTTTATCTAAAATCATGATTTTTATCTAATCTCATTTTCATATTGAGATTTTATTGGTAAGCCATTCTTTAAAACCTTAAATTACTTGGAAACTGGAAATACTCTTTGTTATCATTTCATGAATATATTTTAGTATAAACTGTATTCATTATTTGCAGTGTTTTATTGCCAATGCCTCCAGTCTGAATTTTACTTCTTTGCCTAAACAATGATCTGTAGGAGGTAGTTCCTGCTTAGAAGTGCCTGCAATCTGAGAAAGGCAAGGAATAGATGAGTTGAGGGGAAACTGTTACCACGTATAATACAGAACAAGTATTAATAATGCACATACTGACTCAAACCAGATAACACAAAGGTAAAACCTGGGGAAGAGCATAAGCACAAAGCATGATACCTGCATTTTCAGTCTTTATTGCACCTCAGTAACCTCCTGAGCTAGACATGTCTTCTGTGTATTTGATAGTCCTCGGAAGATTTCTCATGCAGGAACTTGTCTAGTTTCCATTTGAGTCAATGTAGATTTTTAGTCTGACAGCAGAGAGTTCAGCAAGTACACTGTGTCTTCCTCAGAGGATTATTTTTTAAATTTACTTTTAGCCTGTGTATGCTGTATTTAATTTTGTGAATTTTATGGCTTACAGTGGGAGATAGCATAATAGAATTGATCCAACATGTATGGTTTTCAATTCAAGGAGTAGTCAAGTCACATTTACATTTCAGTGTATGTTTGATTATTTTCCTGAGGGAAATAAAATGAATAGAATAAGACTATTTCTTAAGGAAAAAGCATGTTCCACACTTCTGACAGGAAACCTGTGTTTACATCTCTACCTTCCATAATGTAATAAAAGATATATTTTCTTCTTATTGACAGGGTGAGAAAGGGCTTCTAGGTCATCCAGGAAAGCGAGGCAAAAGAGGCCTGCCAGGATCACAGGGTGACCAAGGAGCAGCAGGAGACACTGGACTGAAAGGACAGATTGTATGTAATCACAGTGGTTGATGCAAAACAAGTAGTCCAAGAGTTAGCAACGTGAACTAATGGTAAGGATGCCTGCTCCTCTTACAGGGAGAAGATGGAGATCAAGGTTTAATGGGGTTTCAAGGATTCCCAGGTCCAAAAGTATGTGCTCGTTCTTTTCTCTTGGATCATAAGCTATTTACAGAGTGAGAACATTATGAAAGCAAAGAATTAATCAGCTTTAACACTAATTTGTTCAAAATATCTCTGAACTGTTGGAACATGGTAGGCAGAACTGTGTGCTCCCTGTCTAAGGACAAACATTCTGGGTCAGTGCACTTGGTATTTTCACTGTTACTGCTCTTAGAAATGATCTTACTTTCACTGATTGCAAGAGTTGGAAACAAGCTGATAGCTCCTGTCCATGTTTGATTAAATTGTTCCTTTGCATTTTCAGGGTCCTGCAGGGGACATTGGCTTAGTTGGAATTCTGGGCCCCAAAGGTCCAACAGGCCAAGCTGTAAGTGTTTTATTACATGAAAGGGATTGTTAGGATGGTTTGCAAATGGCATCTGTTTTTAACTTAGAGGATAAACTTTTTTCTTAACAATGCCACAAGCCTCTACCCAAATCTTTATATCTGAGTCTAGATGCAACTCTGCTCTGGTTACATCATGCAAACAGACACACAAACTGAGATGGGCCCTTAATCTTGAAAGAAAAAAGCAAGCTCTGCTGACTAAGTGTGGATCTCCTAGTGTAATATTATGATTTTGTATTTCTTTGTCTATTGGAGTTGAACATTCTTGATGGCAATTCTGCTGATTGTGTAACTGTGTTCTTACAGCAAAAGACAACAGGGGTCAAACTTTGCCTGCAGTAAGACACAGTGGTGCTCAGGCATTATTGATTAATAGGTAGCCTTTTTTTAATTAACATTTTGTTTTTATCTAAAATGTTCCTAACCTTCATTAGCTCATTCTTCATGACATTCTGCTTTGCTACTCACCAAAAAATGTGGAAATATCGTTAGCATATTTTGCATCCAGTGTGGCATCAAGTGTGAAAGGTTGAAGCATGGGGGCCTTACTACAACATCTTCTCTCACTGCTGCCTTTGCCATCACAGAAATGAATTTGTTCAGTTAACCAGATGCAGCAGCTTTAGGGGACTGTTCTAAGAGCTACTCTATTTTTCTAAACATTCCTATATGAGATAAACACTGGACACAAGCAGTTTGCTCCAAGTGAAATGGAACTGAAAAGTGACATTTTAGCAGCACTTACTGGCAGCCTTACAAGAGTACTTGTGGGCAGTAATATAGCTCAAGTTGTAGCTCAGTAAATATGTGGTCTTTTGTAATCATAGTACTTAAGTTTCCACTGATTTTAGTGCATCAGTTTTCACATTAAAGAATGTGTGGTGACTTTCCAAGCGCAATTATTACAAATTAATAAAATACTTACCTTATTGATTCTGTTTTAATGTGAACTCAATATTTAGAGAGTATCACCATGATCTTTTGGATATTTGACAGGTCTGTGTGCTGAGCAACTTTAAACCAGGACATGTCATGAGGATTTTCTTCATTTTGGAAACATGGTGAACTAATAAAGTCTTTGCTTGTTTACAGGGATATATTGGCCCTGTTGGTCAAGAAGGCATAGCAGGCCCAACTGGCAGGCCTGTAAGTTTCCCTTCACTTTTGTATAATGTATTTATTTCACTACCCTTTTGTTTAATCCTCTTGTTTTTCAACTAGCACCCTTCTTATTTTTCTGTTTGCAAATAGCAACGAACAGGACCTTCCTTGTTATACCATGCTGGTAAGTTAATGTATGTGACTCCAGCATCTGTAGTACAAACAAGAAAAAAATTACAGAAACCAGTGACAAAAAAGTCATTGCAATGGCCTTCTGCCTAAGTACAGCATGCAGAGGGCACATGACAGGGGCAGGGGGCAAGTCAAGGTATAAAATAGCACACAGTAATTACCACTTGGATATTCTTTCTCAGCCTTTGGTCTGAGATATATCTAGAGAGTATCCACTCACTTTCAATATAGTTTATTTCTTGTGGGCTGAACTGTCCAGAGTGCCCTTCTAGACACTCTGGGAGTGTCCATGAGCCCTTGTAAGGCTGCTCCAGGTTCTGATGAGGTCCCTGTTACAACTCAAGCATCATTTTGGCCTCTGACAACTTTCAATGCATCCCAGGTTCCCTGCACTGGGGGAGCTCTGCCCTCATCCCTGTTTCCATTTCTGTCACACTCATGGTACCAGAGCCAGATTTGCTTTGCAAGAGAACCCCGTGGCTCATGTCTCCAGACCACCCAACCATGCAAGTCAGGTTTAGAAGCTCTTTTACCATGAAGGTTCCTCTGCCTGATCAAGAAGACTTGGAGTAAATGAAAATGTCTAAAAGTCAAAATAATCATAAAAATAGTAAATATACAATAAAAGTAATAAATGCAAATACTTACAAGTGAAATTGTTTACAAGTGAAGGGGCATGTCCCTTCTGTAATTCTTTCCACTTGCTGGAAAAATCAGTACTTTGTCTTGCTCCATTCTTTCCAATTGCACTGAGGAGAAAAACTTTACAGTTGTGTGCATTTGTATGAAGGTTTTTAATAGATTTCATATTGAATGTAAAAGTTTTCCATTATCATCAAGAAAGCATTTTAGTTGAAGATTACTTCTACGTGTTATGAAACACAGCCATCAAGATGCAAAATTTTTCCAGAGAAGAATTTTAGGATGGTTTCTCATCCTTGGGAACACAATTTAAAACCAGCCAAAAGTAGGGACAGAAAAATAGTGTCTAATCTCATTATGAGAGTAGAACTAATAACAAAATAAAAACATATATGTGGTGAATGGATTTCAGTGATGGATAGTATTGAGTTTTGTTCTTCAAAGATGGTGAAGCACTGATGTGTTGAATGTGGATGAAATTGTGGAGAGCACAGCTGATCGATGGATGACACAGTTAAAATTACTGAGATAAAACATACTTGCAAGCTGAAGAACACAGCTTTCCACACATAGGAATTACAAGACGTTTTCAACTAATTTCATTTTCTAGTAGTACAGGAAAATTAAACCCCCAGATCTGTAAATACTTCCACAGATGAGACTGGACTTTTCATGTGAGCAGTATAATTCTCTTGGGTATTAATCTGCTTATTTCAGTCCTAGGCAGCTAGAAAGCATATTGGATTAACACCTGCTCTTTCTTCCAGGGACCAAGAGGTGAAAAGGGCACGAGGGGTGAAATGGTAAGATGAAACAACTTTTGTGCTTTCATTCTTTTGGCTGTGTAAAATCTATTCCTGTCTTACTGAATGTGCTCATGCATGCTCTGAATGCCAAGCAATTGGGTTGTGCTCCTGGAGAGCACTGCCCAAGAAGGCTGCTAGCCTGTGTTAGGAGTCTGACCTCCTTGTTCAAGTTGATTTATGCAGATATGCCCAGTTGGTGTGAGCTGCTGGGCTGGATGGACCCTGTCACACAGCACTCACATCCTCCAGATCTGTCCATGTTCAGAACTAAAGGGAAAATCTTGTGTCACATTTGTTGTCAAAGATCTAGTGCCCCACAGCGTGCAGATGTTCATAGATTTGTATCTTCTTGTCTGGAAAGGAATAGGCTCAGGAGAAGCCCAGACCTGCGGGTGGGTGTCCATGCAATGTATTCCATCTGTAGGAGCCATGGGCAGCACTGATGGGCTATGAATTTGCTGTAGGAGCCACGGGCAGCACTGATGGGTTATGAATTTTCTGACTTTCATTTTTCAGCAAGAATCGTACATTTGTGAATGTTTGATTTAATATTAAATTTATGTTAGAGCCAGTAAAGTCTCTAATTATGGCTATGTGAAAAGTCATTAAGTTATCATACCTACAACAAATATAAACACAAAGTTGATAACTATGATATTACCTTCTTTGACAGAAGTATAATTAGTTCCTTTTCCAGTAACTAGCAGATGTTATTTTGTTCCTTTTTCTCTTACCCTGCCTTTCACCCCATCTCACTTAAAACTATTTAGTTTCACTTACTGTATTTTGCTTTTACCAATCACCTCCAAAAAAACCTCAAACTGCCTTATAAAAGTTTTGAAAAATAAATCTGAAATATTCAAAACATTTTGAAGAGCTAAAGCTTGGAATGAATCTTCTTGTCTGTGTCTTGGAGAACTCTCCTCTTCGATTCCAATGCTCTTGAGGCAATTGCTATCTCAGAATAAGAGGAAAACTAGTTTCTCGATTTGCTGTTATCCATCTTAGCTGTCTTTTTCTACTGCTTGTTCATAAGAATTGTTATGACAGCATAGAGCTAAAAATGCTGACACTTTAAAAAGAAATCCAAAAATAATGCTTTAAAAAGCATCCAAAATTATGAACAAGAAACATCTGTTTCCATTATTGGTGCCGTGTTTAAGAAGTTATTTCCTAAAGAAGTTCTTGAATTCATCAAGATGAGCTAATCTAGTAAGACTGTCTTCAGAAGAAGAATGTTTAATTTTAAATCATATACAGTGGCATTACTTTCCTCAAGAAAGGGATTTGTTTCCAACTGCTTTCACATACAAAGGAGACCAATTTTTTTTCATCCAACTGTGTATTCTGAGCTTTAATTTATATCTTTAAAATTTATATTGGCATTCTTCCTAGAATCACATAGATTTTAACCTTTTTGTAGTCTATTTAGTTATGTTTTTTAGTCAGTCAGGGTTACAGAGTTCATTACTAGAAAGAAATGTCCTTTTATCCCCAGAGAAACATGGAATCTAAAATCTTCTTATTGAGGCCAGTGGTGATGCACACATTCTTTGTTAAAAATATTCTCTTCAAGAATTTAAAAATTCTTAGAAAACATGAATGTCCTTGGGATTGCTCGTGCTTTCAAAGTTAATCATATGTACTATTGTATGTAAAATCAGGGCCTCTAGCATTAGTAAAAGATTGGGAATTTAGGCTTTGAACTTCTGTTCAATCAAATGCAGTGATTAAAGAATTAAAGAACACATGAAATTAACTGGTTTAGTCTCTGCTTTTGTTTTTATGAACTGGAATTACACTTTTCTCACTTAAATTCCAAAGCGACCAAAGGTTAAATTAAGAAGATTTGTAAAAGTAATCCGGTACATTCCAGTAAAACATATAGTAATTAACTTAGTTCATGAAAAGTGTAATTTAGCCTTATTTTCTGCTCTGCAACAGAAAGAAAGAACATTGGTAAAATCCCTACTCTGTGCAGTACCATTATATTTTAAAGATTTGTAAAGATAATTGCTATAGCTCTCTGAAGTTTTAATGCATTTAAGAAATGTGATATTCCACAAAGTTGTTCATAAATAGTATTCAGTATTTACCTCTTTTTTTTCCCATGGGTTTCACTGGCAAGGAGACAGTGGATCAAGACAAATGACATACCTGTTTTGCAAAATATCTTAAACTCAGTGGAACAATGCAGGTTTTTATTTTTAAAACATTCAGTTCTCTCTCAGAAACCACTATAAATTTGAACTGCTCTTGTCCCAAGACTTCTTGAGTCTTAAAATGGTGACACATGCCAGGAGCATGGAACATTAACTGAAGCGTTCAGTCATCTAAAAAATGTACTGGAATGTCTAAATCTCAGCATTCAGAACAAGGACATCTATTCATCCGAGCACAGTGGTTACTTAGGGACAAACTGTTGAAGACTTTGTACCTTTTCTTGATTTGGTATTTGCATAATCAAGTCCTGAACCAAGATAAACAAATATATCCTTACAATGTCAATTTTGTTTCTCATTATTGTTTTCCACGCTTTCTCTTTCATTTTATACTAAACACACTTGGCCAAGCATGATCAGACAGGCCAGTAACGCTTTCATATGAGACTGAAGGTATCCTGGAGCAGTCTAACAGCACCTGAGCACCTGAGCTGATTAATTAAATGTGGAGTCAGCCTTCCCAGCTGGCATACAACACTACAGCTCTGTGAAACCCAATAGATTTGCAACAGCTGAGGAACTATTCCAAAATAGTAAATGTAATCTGTGTAAATTCAGATCAGTTTTGTAATAGTGAATAACAACAATATTTTATGCATATTTAATAGTAATAGGATTTTAAAAAATAATTCGAGCTGGGCAATAATCAAACTCAGAAAAGTAGAGAAAGCTAGGTACTTGACACAGAACCCACAGGGATATATCCATATTAGTACTACATATGCTAAAATTACTACTTCTTTTATTTCCATTTTCCAACATTAATGATTAGCATCTTTTATAAAGATGTTAATCATTAAATATCTACCTAAAAGATGGCTTCCAGTCCCTTCTATAGGTATAAGTGGATGAAAAATAGAGTCAGGATGTATCAGTGGAAAAGCTCACAATTCTTACAATCCATGGACCTTTTCTTATTAAGGTCTTCTTGGTTAAGTGTCAGAAAATCATCTATCTAAACATCCAGAAATTGCTTCAGTTTTGAATTTCCTCTGTTCTCCAAAGAACACGTACAAGACACGGATCCTGCCTCAAAGCCATTTACAGTCCATCAACGTAGCCTTGCACAGAGCTGGTGCTTGGAATTATATGATGGCCCCACTTTTCACATCCTTCATAATCCAGCACCTGATCCCCTGTGGCGTGGCCGGGGCAGGTGATGTGCAGACACACCTCAGTTGTGCAGCTGCCATTGTAACCCCTTGAGATGCATTCCCTGGCACTACCACATGCTCTGCCTTAGGACCTAAGAACTGATCAATTTGCAGCCTCAGTGACTTAGGTACATTGCTCCTGTCTGGTTTGAGATCCTTTTTTAAAAATACACATGAATGAATATTATATTGAATCTGGTCTTTCTTTAACCATTTCCAGCTGCCCTTGCTATTGGCAGCTTGAGCACAGCCCGAGTTCAGCAGTTGTAGCATGAAGTGACACTCACACAGATCTTGCTTGCTATGAAATCTCACACAGAAACACTTGTTATTACTATATCAAGTGATTTACAGCTTAATTCCTATTTGACTAGATCAGTTTCACACCATTTGTCAGTGTGACCACGTCACATCAGATTATTTCTCTTTTGGCAGAGATTTTGTACTGGCATGACCAGACTGACGTATGAGGGATTTTTCTGGAACAGCTTATTGTGCTCAAGTAATTGGTACAAGCAGCACTGACAAAAGAATGTTCTGCTTAAAGTGACTTAGCTGTGTTGAAAGGGTTTTAGTAATTTAAGGTGCAGATCTAGCCCATGCCTTTCATTCCTTCTTTTTTTCTCTCCTTAAGGGCATTGCCACCTATTCTTCTCCTTGTCACCATTTGTGCCATTGTTTGTTACAATAGCTCCTAGAAGCTTTGAGTAGATAGAGCTTGAAGATAAGAATCTAACAGAGACGCAAGTGTCACTGCATATTAATAAATGTCCACAGCCATTCCGGCTTAATGTGAATAGTTCATTACAGAAATAATAATTCAGATGGCTTTATTGTGTTGGAAAGGTCCATGTTCAATCCTAAGGCAAACAAAATCAGATTTACGTGCATTGTAGGCACTGTACGCTAGGGAAAAGCAATTCCTTCTCCTCCTCTCCTCTGCAATCATCCTACACACTAAAATGATGCCACTTACAATAAGAAAATAAGGATATAACTTCTTGAATAAAAAGGAAGTCGGCAATATCACTGTAAAACAATGAACATACCATGATCTGGCTGAAAAATGACAGTGCTGATAAATCAAACTCATAAAAGCCTGGCACATACTCATTTATTAAAGTGGATCAGTTCGTTTCTTGCAGTTACTCATAACATTATTTGCAATGTTTTTGTGATTATTTACCCCTTCTAGTACTTATCTTGTCAGCATACATGTAACACTGACACACTGTATAGCACATTATATATTAATACTTCTCTGACTTTTAGTTCCCTTCATATCAGAAGTAATTGGAGAAACAAGGAACCAGACAACATTATACACATTGGGACATTTTTATGGTTTAATAAATACATAAATGTAAACCCAGGGATTTTAATGTAGAACTGTTGTATTCTGTCTCCATTTCCTCTAGGGGCCTCAGGGAAGGCAAGGTCAGCCTGGACCACCTGTAAGTGCATAAAAACCTGTGCTTGTATTTTTTCCATTTTGATTGCACTGTATAAAGATCTGAAGCTCCTAATATCTGTTTTTTCCCATTTTCCAGGGACCACCTGGACCGCCAGGACCAAGGGTAAATTCTGTAACAACCCTAAGCTACAATATAGTGCTTTATTGAAAGTGAAAATAACAATATTATCTTCAAATGTACTTCTTGTTCCACTGCTCAAATAATTTACCACCTGCACTTTTGTATATTCTTGTTCATTTTTTGATATACCTGCCTTTTAGAAACAAGTGGATCTCAATGCTGCTGTTCAGGCTTTGTTTGAGTCCAATGCTGCCTTGCAGATGGAGGTATATATTTAAATGTATTTACATTATCATTCAGGGAATGCAATTATTATTTTATTTTCTGAGGACATAACAGGGTTTCTTTTCAAAGACTTAGTTTAAATTAATAATGGACAGTGAGTAATTATAGAGTTTAATGAAACATGCTAGGATTTATAAGATATAGTTGAAATTAAGAGAAGCATCGAGACTTCTACCTTTTGTCATGATTGGTAGTAATGGAAATTTACTGACTATCACATATGGTGGACTGTATCTGTTCAGACACAGATAACAATAGTGGCATTTAGGATTTGATCCAAAAAAAATTGACATATGTGTGTCTGGCTGCATTGGTTGCAAGAAAATCCCATACATGGGTGAAGTCAAATAAATTTGCCTATATATTTTTAGGCTAAGCCTAAGAGTAGCTTTCACTATTTAAAACTGGAAACCTCTAATTTTACTTTAAAAGTGCACCAATTTTTCCTTTTATTCCTTGTATCCGTATTTTTATGTCAATATATCATAAAGACAAATTTGCATGACCTAAACCTGCCTTAACATCACTGCTCTTGACAGTTTTAATAAAATGTCCCTAATTTGTTTATTGGGATTTGTTACCCTTGGGTTGTTTTACATGGCTGATTGCATTCACATAAACACTTTGATTCTGTCTGGCTGTTCAATGGCCGTTTGACATTTGACTCTTACTGCCTATACTGTTGTGACACTTCTTTGTGCTAACACGTTTGCTAATGGCCCTTGGCAGAAATACCAGAATACTGAAGTCACTTTACTAGATCACAGTACAGAGATATTCAAAACACTCCACTACCTTAGCAATTTACTGCACAGCATCAAGAACCCTCTTGGCACACGGGACAACCCAGCACGCATCTGCAGGGATTTGCTGAATTGTGAGCGTAAAGTGTCAGATGGTAAGTGCCACTTCCACACAAATACCTTCAAGAAGTGTTGCTTCCAAATGTTGCTTTCCACATTAAAATTCTGATTGGATAGATTTAATGGTTTCATTCTTTTTTATTGTATTCTCTTGCAGCGTGCCTGTCAAAAATATATTTATTTCATCTTTAGGATAAAATGTCTGAATTTTAAAGGTGGAAGTACGCAGCTATCTAATATTATATAAATATTAGACAGATTATATCTGTCAGTGGACAGCTGTATCCTGAAAATTGGAAACTGAATGCAATTTTGTGATTTGAAGTTTTCCAAGTATTTATAGCTAATCTTGCAATGAATTTTGTGTGGATCAGATTCTAGATTCCTAATGAGAAAGTTGCATACCATACATTACCACTGTCAGATACACTGAGAGTCATTGTATCTCAGAAGTTCCTGAATCAATATTTCAAATAAAAACCCCTCCTATTTAAAGCTGTAATGTCAGTGTAATTATAGTCAGAAGTGGTTTATTATGGTAATTTTTCTCAGTGTCTCTTATAGGTGAAAACATTTTCACCTTCCTTTTCTTTCATTTCCTTGTGAAAGCGTGGTGATATGTAATATTTGCCAAGAAGTATGAATATTTTAGCAAATTGCTTAGTAGTAATTATATTTTGGTTTTATTTTCTGTCTGGAAACATATACTAATAGGAAAATACTGGATTGACCCAAATATTGGATGTCCTTCTGATGCCATTGAAGTTTTTTGTAACTTCACTGCAGGTGGTCAGACATGTTTAACACCACTGTCTGTGACAAAGGTATGCATTGCTTCTAGAGACATTGTGTCTGTGCTTGAACTCTAAACAAATGCATGATTATTTATTTAACTCATTAAACAGAGTTATATTTCAGGGGGACATTATTGTGCATCTTTGTGGAAGGACATGTTATATATTCTGGTACAGAAGTTACAGATTTTCTGGAGACAATATATGTTAGTAATTCTCACTGTGTTCATTTTCTCGCCTATGCTGATAGAATTATTTTGTTTTGCTTTATACTTTCTCATACAAGGCATAAAAATAAGTCTGAAATACTTCTAAGCTACATTGGTATCTCATCATTCAGGGCACCTAAGTGTAGAGATGCTGAGGTTGTTACAATAGAAAGGATGAAAATTATTACTGCTTTCCAACTCTTAGGCACTTTTAAATGCCATTAGGGAGGGACTAGCTTTCTGTACATCATTAGTTCATGTGCCTCTTTACATGTAGTTCTTGAACTGTTGGGAGTAGAACTTTGGGAAATTCTGTATATACACTGTAGTCATTGAAGAGCTTCAGAAATACTGCTGAAGTTCACATATGCATTCCTACATTTGGAAGGTCCCTGAATATGAAATAGTCTTAGAGAAATTCTTCTTGAATAATGAGTTATTATATTTTCTGTCTAAAATCAAAATATACTCATGAACTTTTGCATTTGTAATGGACTATCAGTATTGCCAGAACCTGTGGTCTAAGAAGACTAAACAGCAGAGTGATGTGGCTTCAGTTGAAACATTGCTGCTGATTATACCTTTGTTTGAAACACAAAAGTATTTGTTTAGTTTCCATATTTAAAAATACTGTTTTCTGACCAGCTGTGCTTCAGCAATGTTATAAGCATCAGCAAATGTTTATATTTAAGCTTTGAAAATGTCCTATGAGAGCTTCTGTTTATAGTAATGACTGTAATAGAACCTAACATCCCTGCTGAGGAATGCAAATCATGCTCTTTGGCATTAACCCCAATGTAGATAAACATGTATACATGCTCCTGTGCCTGGACACCACACTTCCATGTCCATGGCACTTTGTGTTGCTGGGGCAATTCAGCAGAGTCCAGCTGTAAGTCTAACAATGCTCTTCTCTTGGAATTTAGCTGGAGTTCGGTGTTGGAAAAGTGCAGATGAACTTCCTTCATTTACTGAGCTCAGAAGCAACCCACAGCATCACAGTCCATTGTCTAAACACCCCGATGTGGGGATTAAGTAAAGCAGGTGGCCGGAAGACATCAGTTACCTTCAAAGGATGGAATGGTCAAATATTTAAAGCAAATACGCTACTTGAACCTAAAGTGCTCCTGGATGAATGCATGGTAAATACCTTTTAGGTCCACATTATTAAAGCCATGATAGAGGTACTGTTTAGACATTACTAACCTTCTGCATATAAATAATAATCATTTAGATTCACATCAGTTAAAGCTTGCTTCTTTACATAGCTCTGCATATGCCAGCCTTTAGATACTGAATTCACCATCTCTTCAAGGGTAGAAGCAATTGCAGTGATACAGGGGTGTCTGTACTTGCTATTTGCATTGTGTCTCGTGTTTTGACACTGTACAAAGACACTTCAGAAATAGGAGGTCCTCCAGGAAAATTTAGAAAGTTACCCTCAAAATGAAAATTCAGGCGTCAGAAATGGCATTTGCTAAATTACACAGTTTCTTTAGGAACTGCTGAGAGAAGAAATGGTGCTGTGCACTACTTCTCTTTCACTCTGTAAGCACTATTTTCATTTGTGTTTTGAAGCTCATCATTTATATGACTCATATGCTTCTCCTGTGCGTTTCAGATTGAAGATGGCAGCTGGCGTAAGACACAGTTCTTTTTTCACACTCAGGACACGAATCAGCTTCCAGTTGTTCAAGTTAATGCACTTCCTCACCTCAAACCAGGACAGCAGCACTTCATAGAAAGTGGCTCTGTATGCTTCCTTTAAGACTTCTGTCCTAGGTTTCTTGTTACATCAACATGGAGTAGCTGCACAGATTGAATACAAAAGTAATGATCCATTGCAGGCAAAATTACTAGGAAACTGAAGAATAATTTCATGTGGTGTTGGTTAAAGAACCTCAGGAAGAAAAAGACTTCCTCCTAAGGAGAAATGGCATTGAAAAATAAAAGAAAGAAAGAAAGAAAAGACTATAGCAATTTTCATAAAGTATTTAAAAATAAATTTCTTGGTGCTTTCTTGCATAATTTTCTGGAATGGAGTATCTGAACATGGAGTTTTTCAGGACATCAAGTGTTCTTTTTAACAGCACTGCACAAAAACCATCCTGAGGAAAGCTGGAGACATATGATACTAAGGAGCAAAACCTGCTAATGCTCCTAAATGTGCAATAGCTTTTATATGAAAAGTCATGAATCATGTCACAATACAGTACAATACGTCTTCTTTTCTTAAACATTGTTTTATTCCAGTCCTTCATGGACACACGCATCTGAACAGATGGCACACTACCTCTTTTGTGTTTCCTGTCCATGTTGCCTTGGTGCTCTTCATAACACAGGGTGCTTGTGGCCTTAGCAGAGATTATTTGAGTTTCTTTTTATCTTTCAGACTGTATGTGCTGGTTACATCAGGATATGTTTCTGTTGTAAAAGTACTTATTTTAAACCGTTGGTCACATACTTCACATAATGAAAACATTATTTATGTGGATTTCTCGTTTAAAATATTTTTGTGTACTATTTTGGAAATGGTGTATAAGACAGCATATTGTATATGATGCATATAGTCAGAACAGTTTGCGTTACAGCCATTGTAAAAATCATTGTAAGAAGAGCTACCTAAAGTAGTTTTGATCTTTAAATTCTGTATTTCAGTTAACATTGCTAATGCCAAAGCCATCTTAAGATGATATATTCTGTATATATTTTGTAACTTCTGAAGAAATCTACCAAGCGTGTCTTCTGAATGGCTACTGTTAAATTATAATCAGCATTTCATCCTCTTAGAAATGTCTTTGTTTTGAAAAAGTTATTAAATCATTTTTGGGTTTTAAAATAAAGCCTAAAATGTTCATTGAAGTTTTTTTAGTAAAAAAGAACAGTTTTACCACTAGGAAAAGCACTCTTTATATTGATGTGCCTCTATCTATTATCAATTCAAAGTGTGCTCAGGAGTACACAGCAAGGTGATACTGGACTGTATTTAGGGAAGCCCAGGAGTGTTCAAACAACATGTCTGTCTTCATCTGCAGGAAAACAACCACCAAAGTATAATAAAATAAGCTTCCAAGCTATCTCTTTGTCTTTTACTATTCTGTTTCATATTGTAGAGGTCATTCTTAGAAATTATGAAAATCCTCTAGAAGGGCACTTTTCTTAGGTGGCAGTGCTTCTCTTGCCAAGGGGAAATGCATATGCTCTGTGCCATGGAATACTGCCAGAGGGACAACGTTTGCTTTTACAAAGTAATGTATGTGCACATCTCATCTTACATTTTGTATCAAAGCATCATTTTTGACCATTTTGAGAAAAATCTGATAAAACGAAAAGCAAAGCAAGATTACGGAAGGATGAGAAAATGTCTCACTTTATGATTATGATTTGACATTTGGTCTTAGTTTGGCTTTGGAGGTGATGCTTTGGCAAATGCTTGGGGGTATTTTGTAAGATTATAATTTTTTAGGAAACGTCTGCTTCATGTATATTTTTATTCATCTCATTGCCCTATTTTGGGGAGTTCTTCATCTCAGAAACTACCTATTTTAAAAGCATGGAGTTTATAAAGCTGCTCGGATGTGAGTATGTGCATTTCCGTAGTTGAGGCAAAACCGCACATCCCACGCAGAGAGCGGGGACGGCGGCGGCAGCGGGACACGGGCAGGTAAGGAGCGATGTCCGGCGTCACCTGGCTGGGAGTGCCGCGCCGGGGGGCGGAAGGGTCCGATTGGCAGCGGCTTGGGGGACACCTTCTCTGTGCTCCGGAAAGCCTCCCTGGCTGGGACATCGGCCCCGGAGCCCCCCGGTCCCGCAAGTCCCGGAGCCCCGCTGGTCCCGCAGCCCCGCCGGTCCCGGAGCCCCGCTGGTCCCGCCGGGTCCGGGGAGCCTCGTGTGGCTGCGCTGGGGCTCGCGGCCGGCAGGCGGCGCCGCCGCGCAGCACAGGCCGCGCATGCCCCGTGAGGCCCCGCGGCGCGGCCATGGCGGAGCTGGACGGGCCCGGCAGCGCCGGACGGGCGGCGGGCGGCGGGAAGATGTCCCTGCACAGGTACGGCACGGCGGCGGCAGCGGCCGCACGGTGTTTGGAAGCGCCTTCCCCGGGGCTGGCGGGTGGCCCTGTGCCCTGCAGGGGCTGCTCCCGTACGGATGAGGCCCGAGCGAGCGAGGGGCCGCGCGGGGGGCGGCTCGCTGGAGCGGTGATGGGCAGCGGGCACCGCGGACATCCTGCAGAGCAGGGAACGGGAATCCCTGTTCAGAGCAGTCCCCGCTGCTGGCTTGCAGTGTTTGAAACCCTTTTTTCCGGGTATTAGGAAGATTTTGTGCTGCTCATTCACAGAGCTCGTCATTGCTGGGCTTGTCCTTCAGGCCCTCGCTACCAGCAAGCAGCGAGCACGTGGTGGGGAGAGGAAGAGAGACGGGTTAGGCTGACATTTATCCCCTAGTAGTTAAAAATGGTGCGTTTGTGCTATTCTCGAAAACTACTGATGTGAGGGAAATTGTTGTTGTTTCTCTTTTCTGTTTGTCAGATTTAAAATAAGTGATTATTTCAGTTGACATATCAATGGGGGAGATTATTTCAGTTGACAATCAAGAATGGGAGAAACATCTGTTTTAATAGCCTAGGTAAAAACATATGGTCATATTTATAGAGGAATTTAATTTTTCACTGATACTTACTAGTTATATTGATAAGCCTTACACATTGTGCCTGAACGGTTCCCTGCCTTTGGAGTTTGCAGTACTGACAGCCAGAAGTGGTTTGGCTTGTGACCATGTTGTCATGCTCTTTTTGTTCCAGTGAAAAAATGGGATGCATTGTTCAGGGTTTAGTGTGAATCCTTGAAATTTATTTTCCGTCTGCCTAAAACTGGGAGTGTTATAAGCCAGCATGGTATATTGCACATTGCAGGTGATGATAAAGGAGAAAAGCACTGATACAACCAGGCCACAAAGCATTAACTGATTAAGGCTATGTTTCTAGCTCTGCAGTTAGCATGTGGGTTTTTTTCTTTCAAGCATCTACAGTGTTTTAATGTGTGTGTGTTTGGAGATACTTCCCATAGCTTGTGTTGTTTTGTCTGCCACCTTTCCTAATCCAGAGTGTTTGTATTTTTTCTTTCTCCTTTGAAGGTGCACTTACAATAGCTTTTCCTGAAAATACTCATGAGTGGCCTAGTGCCTGCTTTTTGAGCAGGCACTCTCATAGGCCAGTTAGGTGCAAAAATGCTGCCTTACTGAGAAGTGTTTTTTACTTCTTTCAGGTGTGAAACCTGTAGCAAAGAAGAAGCTAAGTACAGATGTCCACGATGCATGAAATATTCGTGCAGGTATCTGTTATCTGAACTAAATAGTCTCGGTTATTTTCCCCATTCATGTGCTGAACATGTTAATTTTTTTTTTTTGTCGTTTCAGCCTGTTGTGTGTAAAGAAACATAAGCTTGCCCTGAGCTGTAATGGAGTCAGGGATAAAACAGCATTTGTCTCTGTAAATGAATTTACTGACTTGAACCTTCTGAGTGGTAAGAACATACCCTGTGTGTTCTAAAACTCCCTGTTTTTACTAGGCTGGCCCTACATTTTTCTTTGTTCTATTTAACCTGCAGATTATCGTTTCCTGGAAGACGTAGGAAGGACAGCTGACGCTGCTGCTCGACACTGTATTGTGCATAGTCCAGCAACTAAAAGACTGGTAAGATTTTGATTTTCCTTTTGCTCTGTTGGAGTTAGGGTTGGCTACCTTTGAATTCCAGCTGAGGCAGTGCCAACCCAGATTCCAGATCTGGTACCTCTTTTATGAAGGTATGAATGACCCTGAATTCTAGACCCAGAAATCAGAAGGAGTCTCTAGGTTTATGCAGCAATAGTATTGATGGCTACATTCAGTTGATTGGAAGAAAAGATCACTAACAATTCTTAAAATTTATGCATGACCATTCTTGCTGTTGGATAATAGATGTGTGTTAAGAAAGTCTGAATGTTTCCTTGTACCTCCACAACTTTAAATTTTTTAAGTACACACTTCTCAGGTGGATTTATTAATCACCTAAAAATTGTTATGTGGTTCCCTATATACCGAATGAAGACAGCTAGAGCTCTTCAAAGGCTAAATTTAAGCGAGAGTGATATAAAAGCCAGCCTCCTAAGGGAGAAGGACTTTTTGCTGAAGCTCTTTCAGCAGCCAAACACACTCCCCAAACTAAAAACAATGAATGAACAAACAAAACCCGAAAAAGCCCAACCAACTCTACTCCAAAATATTTTGACTTATTGATAAATCACAAGAAGGCATCAGGGCCATTTTGTTTTCTGGTCTTGTGAAGATATCTTGAAATATAGCCCTAAACTCAGGACTCACACTGATGACAGAATAAATTCAGAAGACTCCAGCTTCCTCTCTGGCTGGAGTCATATTCCATGTGTGTATTTAGCACCATGATGTGCTGAAACTGTGTGCTGAAGATGGTGAGATGCTGCATGGGTGGCAGTTTTAGGGGTGTGGTACTGGGATGTTAATGGGATGATGCTCTTTGCTACCTTCAAATCAGAATTTGGCAGTGGCTGGATGGTGCTTGTGTATCCATTCTCCCAATAGGGTTGTAGCCCAAAAAGCAACCTCGTACACCCACAATGATCACATTGTGACTTTCATGGTATGTTAAAGAGCTTCTGCTATGAGGAGGACATTGGCATGTTCTTTTTTAATGGTAGAAAACTTAAAAAAATGTTTCAGAGAGTTTCTAGGCTCACTTCATTTTTTTCATGCAGGATGTTTTTTTAAAAATTCAGAGTATTTCACTAAATATGGCCTTTTCTATAGTATTCTCATAATTTCTATCAGCTTTTCATTGTTCAATTTTCAGGACGTTTATATAGTCAGATTTTTTTTTATGTTTTTATTTTTTGCTAGTTATACTGCTTGAGAAACAAAGCTCGAGGGTGTAATA